AACAACAAGGTCTCTTTTCTCTGTTCTGAATTTGACTCATGGTATGTAGAACACCTTCGTTCCCATGAGCTGTCACCCACAGGAGCTTTTCTGTCCATCCATCTGAGCTCAATGACAGTGTGACGTTCGCTGCATACAAGATTGATGGCCATTTATTGTTGACTCAGAAGAGGTTCATCCCAGTGAAGCAAGTGGAGACCGTTTTAGCGTGAGTTTTGTGTTCATTTGTTTTTGTGCTTCTGTATTAAAAAACTTTTTGCTTCTGTATAAAAAAGTGACTTATCTGGCTATTATCTCTTAACCCTTAGAAGCCTAAGCCTGTGCTTTATGGGTAGTTTGCATGGTTATTTTCTAGGCTTCATAAGTCAGGGAAGAGTTAACTTACAAACAGGATACATACACTATATGGGAAAAAGTATTGGGACACCTACAGGAGCTTTTAACATCCCATTCTACATCCATAGGCATTATTATGGAGTAGGTCCCCCTTTGCAACTGTAACAACTTCCACTCTTCTGGGAAGCTTTCTACAAGGTTTTGGAGTGTGTCTTTGGGAATCTTTGCCCATTCATCCAGAAGAGCATTTGTGAGATCGGACGCTGATGTTGGACAAGAGAGCCTGGCTCACAGTCTATTTCCGTTGTATTTCATCCCAAAGGTGTTGGATGGGGTTGAGGTCAGGGCTCTGTGAGGGCCAGTCAAGTTCTTCCACAGCAAACTCACCCAGCCAGGTCTTTATGGAGCTTGCTTTGTGCACTGGGGCTCAGTCATGCTGGTCTGCTGAAGGATTAAAATTTCCCTTCACTGAAACTAAGGGGTCTAGGCCAACTCCTGAAAACCAACTCCATAGCATTATCCCTCCTCCACCAAACGTTACAGCTGGCACAATGCAATCAGGTAGGTAACGTTTTCTTAGCATTCACCAAACCTAGACTCGTCCATCAGACTGCCAGATAGAGAAGTGAGATTCATCACTCCACAGAATACGTTTCCACTGCTCCGCTGCAGTTATTGAGTCAGTAGAGTGTCAACAACTTCTGCACTATGTGTCTCAGCACTCTGTGACCCGCTCTGTAAATTCACATGGTCTGAGTTGCTGCGATTCGTAAACGCTTCCACTTTTCAATAATACCACTCACAGTTGATCGGGGAATATCTAGGAGAGAAGACCTTTCCCTCCGACTTGTTGCATCCTATTACATTACCTTGCTTAAATTCGCAATAAACCTGTGGCAATGGGACTGAATGAAACATCTGAATTCAATGATTAAGAGGAGTGTCCCAATATTTTTGTCCATATAGTGTAGGATAGAGTCAGGTGAACTGCACACAAAGAGAATGCTTAGGTGGTAAGTTTTTAATATGTTTTGTCCTAACAGAACAATGGCAGCTGCAGACCCTCAAGCCATGATACTGCGTGTTGTTGATAAACATAGTGTAAGGAAAGTAAAACTCAGTTCACGTCCAGCATCTGTTGATGACCTGAGCAATGTTTTGAAGGACCAGCTGAACTTGGACTTGAACTTCAACTTGCTGTATGAAGATCCAGACTTTGATGGGGAAACTTACCTCTTTAGTGGACATTGATGAGTTACCGCAAAAGGCAGTTATACATATTTCATTTACAGAACAGTCTGGTTCAGAATGTAGCGGTTCTATTGCAAGTTCTGAAATATTCTCAGATGTGTCATCCCCTGAGCATCTTGGCAGATGGCCTCCAGACCCTTTTCCAGTTCCAACATTTTCTTTTGATGTTGAGCTGAGGCTCAGAGAAGGTAATGCAGACTTTGAAAAGAATGGAAAACAGCTAAAGTTGACTAGAGACCAAAAACATGACATTTTGGAGAAACTTGCTTCTGCCATTTACGGTTTCAAGGCTTACCCAAGTGACAGAGAAATAGCATGTGCAGCTGAGGCCCTAGTTTCCAAACGTCCTTGTCTGAAAGAAGCTGGATCCTGACATAGGCTGGAATGGATGGAAGACCAGCATTAAGTTCAAGATTGGCAACTACAGGACCAAGCTTAGGAGAGCAGGATGTCTGGAGGTGTCTGTTAATGCTGGAAAAAGAAGTAGAAGCAATCCTGAAAAATGAACCATCACAGTCAAACATAAAGAGATCAAAGCATGCTGAAATCAACTTTTTACCAAACTTTCCCCAAGGACATGACCAAGCAACCCTTGAAACCCTCAGATAGGAAATTGCTGAGGAGGTTAAAAAAACTGAAAAAAATGCAACTCTCATCAGTAAAATGATGCAGACCACCTTTGCATGACAGATCATAGTCACGACCAGCCCACCAGTGAAACAATTCCTTGAACTGTGGCCTGCTGTACGTATGGAGGCTGAGGTATTTTTTCTCCAGTGATATTCATATAAAATGTATTGTACAATATCTGTATATGATGTATGTTAGAATATATCACTGGCATGTTTTGTCAACAGGTGTATGCCGAGTTCCGGAGGATCACAAACCAAAAAATGCCCAACAAATTTGATGCAGAACTGGATCATCACACGCCTCGTTTTATGACAAATGTTCAGACAGAAAGCATCAAAGACTTGGATTTCGGATGCTCTTGGTGATATTTTGAAGGTCCATGATGAACAGGTTAGGAGAGTTTTGAGATTGTAAGGTAATTGTGTGATGTGCAGAAACACTGTATAAAGTGTGATTACCTGGCTTGTTGAGTATATCATGATCGGTCATTATTTGTTCGGAACTACATGATATCCACATGAGGTGAACTAAAGTTCTTCGTGCTCTTCCTGTCTTGCTGTGTGAGGGCATCTCAGGTTTTTACAAGACATGCATGGTAAGTTTTACATGTGTAGTATCAAGTTTGATCATGATTACCTGTGCTATTTCTGTAAACTATATATAAGTTTTTTGCTGTGTTCACTTAAAATGTGGTAGCAGTGGCGGCACTAACTTACTTGGTGCCCTAGGTGAAATTTTACTTGGTGTCCCTTCCTAATAAACTTCAAGTTTCCTGCCCCATCCAAATTTCCAACACTTGTGTGTTTCCCAGATGTCTGTTGACAAATTTGAAGCATTTTTTGTTCAGCTTAAGTGATTTTAACTTAAGTAAATTGTGAACTTCAAGATCAAAATGCTTGCCTACATTTTTGAGTAAAGTTTAATAGTGCTGCACCTAACGATTATTTTTTAATCAATGAATCTATTTTTTAATTAGTTGTTTAGTTTATTACTTGATTAATAATTAATGTTCCCAAAATAAATACTAAAACTTGTCTCATTAATATTTCAATATTTTATTCCATCATCTTCATCTTAAAAACAAACAAATGTAACAAGAAACAGTGTGCACTGCAGGGCATTCTTTCTTGACCCCTCACAATAGCAAGGGGTTTAAAATCTTTGGTCTAGGATGCTGTCAGAAAGTTCAGCAGCCATCGGGGGGTGTGCATGAATTTGGATTTTGTGGAAATCAACACTGCTTTGATTCAGCCTATAGAAGAAACACTCACAGAACATAATAATAATAATATCGATTATTCCATAATAATAGAATAATGATAGTAGTGACATTTTAAAATTAGTCCAATTTTCACATCACTGTTGATAATAATAATAATAATAATAATAATAATAATAATAATAATAATAATAATAATAACAACAACAACAACAACAACAACAACAATACTACTACTACTACTACTACTACTACTAATAATAATAATAATAATAATAATAATAATACACCCTGTTTTTCAGATGTCTTATCAGAAAAATTCTGGCCCTCAAATTCAAAAGGGTTGCTGTGACAAAAATCATTTAATGATTCAAGTTATGTCATAGAAACCCTTTTCCTGTACTAGAGAATCAGTGTTTTTGCTTGACTTACAATTATGACTAAAATTCTTTAAACTGTAGAATAATATGCTTTTAAGAAAACTGTGTGGTGTAATGTTACATTATCATAACTGTAGCATTGCAGAGATTACCTTTTAACATGGGGCGATGAAGAAACATTAGAAAATCTATTTTAAGTGACTATTACTGTCAGAAACGCATTCTATATGTTGATAATTCTAATATATCATGCTTGCGTGGACAGAAACAGTAAACAAGACTTGCGGTGCTGTCTTATTGCCATCTAGTCTAGGCTCTCTGGGATGCTCTTGCTTTAAGTGTTTGTGGATAGCAGTTGTTCTGCGGTGATAAATGATTGCCAATTTGCAGAGCTTACAGAAGAGCACATGGATGATCCTCTTCATAAAATACTCACGGACCTTAGATGGTTGTAGATGATTTTAATCAGCAGCTTGTTCTCTGGGGGACTCCATGCTTTGACCAAGCACAGCCATATTGCATTACAGCAACACACCCACGTACGTTATGCAAATCGGCGTATTTCCATAATCATTATGTTGAGTCGCCCCAGCCCTGAAGTATACTACCCTTTACAGTAAATGTCATTTTCACATGGCTTTTATTACTTCACTGGCAGTTTTAACTCAGCTGTCAGATAGATAGATAGATGGATAGATAGATAGATAGATAGATTGAATGGATGGATTGATGGATGGATGGATGGATGGATAGATGGATGGATAGATAAATGGATTGAATAGATTGATGGATGGATGAATGGATGGATGGATGGATGGAGGGATGGATGGATGGATGGATCCAGCACCTGACGGACAGCATAGACTGGCGTGCCCTCCCCCTCCAGCGGTGCACGCCAGATGGAGAATGGTGGCTATGGCTTCATCTTTAGAGTGGTTGGGATGATGCACAAACTGTAGAGTGTCCAGTGAAGGAGGCAGCTGGGTCTTGATGTGCTTCATTACAAGCCTCTCAAAGCACTTGATGATGATGGATGTGAGTGCAATGGGACAATAGTCATTGAGGCAAGACACTGGAGATTTCTTCAGCACAGGGACAATGGTGGTGGCCTTGAAGCACGCTGAAATAACAGTGCTGCTTAGCAAGATGTTAAAGATGTCCTGGTCCTCACTGTGCCTCATCTAGTCATTCAGCGGACCTGGAACCACAGGCTTAAGGAGGGAGATATGGAAAGAGAGCGAGCTATAAAATTGTGTGGGTAATTTAAGCCAGTAAGTGACATCATTTATCTGTTTAACATTCTGGAATGGACCAATGTACTTTGGCTGCAACTTACGACAACCCCAAACCTGAGGTCCTGAGTGGAGAGCCAAACCTGGTCTCCAAAGGAAAGAATGAAAGGATGGGGTCTCCCCCGACGCCGATCTGCTTGTTGTTTAGCACACTGCAGGGCCTCCTCGATGTTGCAGTGGGTCTGTTCCCAGACCTCCTCGGTGCACTTCATCCAGTCGTCTACAGCTGGAAAATCTGAGGGAGTAGCAGTCCAGGGGGCGAGCGGAGGTTGATAACCTAAGGTACACTGGAAAGGGGTCATACAAGTGGCAGAGCAAACCAGAGAGTTCTGGGCAATTTCAGCCTAAATAAAATATTTTGATAAGTGAAGGAACTTGCCTAACTCTTGATTCACCTGCCCACATTGTCCATGTTGGTGATACGCAAAAGTGAGGCTAAGATTGATTCCTAAATGTTTACAGAAACCGGACCAGACTCTGGATGTGAATTATGACCCTCTATCTGAAATAATGTCTTCTAGAATAACAAAATTATGGAAAACATGTTCATACAAGGCTAGTGCTTTGTCAAAAACATTGGGAAGTAATTTGAATAGGAAGAATTTTACATCCCTTGAAAAAACAGTCAACAACTGTCAGTACTGTAGTGAAATCTTCAGAAGGTGGTAAATCTGTGACGAAATTGAGAGCTATATGGGAACAGAGTGTTCTGGCAAGGGTAAAGGCATGAGTTTACCAGCAGGTAGAGTCTTGGGTGTTTAACTTTGTGCACAAACTTAGTAAGATGATACAAATTGATGTACATCCTGTACAATACCAGTTTGATAATAATTGCTTAGCACAGAACTCACCAGGATGGCCGGAGCTAAGAGAGGAGTGAGCCCAGGTAACTAAATGATCATGAAATTGATTGGGTACAAAGATAAATAGGTAGACAGTTATCAGGGACCTTAACTGTTTCAAGAGTTCTCGTTATCTCATCATCAATCTCCCAGCGAATGGAAGAGTTTTGCACTGAAGGAGGGAGAATAGGCTCAGGTCCAGGAGGACTCTCTCTCCAGGTCACTCTGGTGAATTCTAGAGACAGCATCTGCCTTAGAATTGTGTGAGTGCCAGTATGATATGGAATACTGAACTGGAAGCTGAGAAGAACATTGACCATCTGGCTTGTCTAGGGTATAGATGTTTTGCTGATTGAAGATATTTTAAATTCTTGTGGTTAGTGAGCACTATGAATGAGTAATCAGCGCCCTCCAACCAGTGAAACCACTCCTCTAGGGTGAGTTTTACTGCAAGGAGTTCACGGTCTCCTATGCCGTAATTTCTTTGTGCGGGACTTGATGCTGAGACAAGAGCGCACCAACTCTGGTCTCTAAAGCGTCTACCTCTACTATGAATAGTTTGGATGGGTCTGGATGTTTAAGAATGGGCGCTGAGGTAAAAGCAAGTTTTAGATAGTAAAAGGCTATCTTTGTAACTCATTTACATTTGTGGGAGTAGACTAGTCTACCACTGCATCACACTTTTTGTCATCAATGAGAATTCCCGGTGAGCTGATTATGTACCCTAGGAATAAGACTTGTTCTACAATCCCATTTCCAAAAAAGTTGGGACACTGTGCAAAATGTAAATAAAACCAAAATAGGGCAACAGAAGACTGATAAAGTCATGTAACACTAAAAAAACACCTGGTGGTTAATTGCCAACAGGTCAGGAACATGATTGGGTATAAAAAGAACATCCTAGAAAGGCTGAGTCTTTCAGAAGTAAAGATGAAGAGGAGTTCACCACTCTGTGAAAGGCTGCATGATCAAATCTTGCAACAATTCAAGAATAACGTTTCTCAATGTAAAATAGCAAAGAACTTTTGCTTTTCATCATCTACGTTACATAATAATATTAAAAGATTCAGAGAATCTGGAGCAATCTCTGTATGTAAGGAATAAGGCCAAAAACCAGTATTTGCTGGCAGTGATTTTCGGGCCCTCAGACAGCACACCATTAAAAACAGACATAATTCTGTAGTGAAAATCACTGCATGGGCTCAGAAACACTTCTGAAAACCACTGTCTGTGAAAACAGTTCATCAATGCATCCACAAATGCAAGTTAAAACTCTAAAACACAAAGAAGAATTCATATATAAACAGGATCCAGAAATCCTGCCACCTTCTCTGGGCCTGAGCTTATTTAAAATGGACTGAGGGGAAGTGGAACAGTGTCCTGTGGTCCGACAAATCAACAGTTAAAATTCTGTTTGGAAATCATGGACACTGAGCCCTCCGAGCAAAAGACCACTCAGCTTCTTATCAGTGCGCAGTTCTAAGCCAGTTTTCATTATGGTATGGGGGCAATAGTGCACATGGCATGGGTAATGCACACATCTGCGAAGGCACCATTAATGCTGAATGATACATACATGTTTTGGCAACATATGCTACCATCCAGATGACGTTTTTTCAGGGAAGGCCTTGCTTATTTTCTTTCTTATTTGCAGCTGGTCTCCTCAGTTCCCAAACACTTACAGAGTGTTGTTCAAAGAATATGTGATGAAACACAGAGGTAAACATGAACCTGTCACAACTTTTTGGAACATGTTGGCATCAAATTTAAAATGGGCATGTTTTTCAAAAAACAATAACATTTCTCCATTTTAACAATTGATATGTTGTCTTTGTAGTATTTTCCTTTAAAATTATGGGTTATATGATTTGCATATTATTGCACTGTATTTTTATGTACATTCTGCACAGCCTACCACTCTTTTGGACACGGGGTTATATTTCTTAAGGTGTTATGTCTGCCTGAAGGGAATTTTGGTTCTGAGATAATGGAGGCAAATTCTTTCCAGTTCATCTGTAGATTTTGTGTGGTCCAAAATATTTTATCTCTTGATGATCTGAACATCCACATTCACACTGTAACCAAACAGCAGTATCCAGATGCGTGCGGATTAACTGAGTAAAAAAGGTTTTATTATTGCTAAGCAGGCTCATTGTCAATACACAGGCAGGGATCAAAACCAAAAAGCGGAGTATGATCACAATGGTGATCATAACAACAGGCAAATAAAACCAAAGGGACAAGGCAAAAGACATGGTCAAAAAACAGGCAGGCAAGTTCAAAAACACAGATCAAAAAAGACAGGGCAACGGTACAAAAGGGGCAGGCAAGAGGCAAATCAAAGAATGAAGCAAAGGTCGGATAATCAGAAATATACAGATAGAGAGAAACGCTCAGTAAGTTCGCTGGGAAACAATACTTCACACTGACTCTACCTACAGCCTGGGCTTAAATACTAAGCTAAACAGCTCACATGATAAAAGGACAGGTGAAACAGGTTAATACTCAGGAGACTTTGATCGTTGACAGGTGCGTGAAACATTGTCTGAAGTCACGTGAGCCTTGAGTGACTTGTGGGTATTGGAGTCCTTCTCTGACTCCAACTTGGCATGAGTTGGCATCTCTGTCACATGATCTCCCAGAGTATTCTGGGAAATGGAGTCCGACTCTCCCTGAGAGTTCGTTACATGCGTGACACACACCATGTGTTAAAAATATTTGACATTATTTTATTTTAGTGTACAATAAATTACTTTGTCTTTATGTATAAATGATTTGAGTTATATAGTTTATTGAGAAATTATACTGGTTGAGTCCTTCCAAAGTGAAATATAAAAAGTAAACAAACAGTCTCGAGTTTCCAACTAGTTGCTTGTAAGATGACTTTTAGCTTTTTTCCGTGTTAGCCACAGCTTATGCTACCACCTCTGTGGCAGCTCTGGATAAGCCTGCACCTTTCAAGAAGTAAAGAATATAAGTAAAGAATATATGGTTTTCAGTTTATAATAGGTTGAACAGAGTAAACCATACTTCCAGTAGAAAATTTAAGAAACTGTAGTTTACAAATTACAAAAAAGTATTCAAACAAAGAACAGATATAAATGAACAATGGAAAACAACACTAAACACAAAGTACATAATGTTTGGATGTTCTGATCTTATTATTGAAATGCTGTTTTAATTAGTGTGTAGATGTCGGGTTTTCCATCACATCTCTCAAAGCTGAGGGTTTGAAGCAGCAGCAAAGTGTGTTCAGCCACTTCCTGTACTGCTTTCTGACCTGAAAGTACATGATAGAATCAGGTAGTTAAAAACACTAAAAGAGAGTGACAGCACTGAAACTCAACAACGTAAACATTAATAGTCAAAAAGTATTTTTTTCTTCCAAGCCTTGATGTCTGAGTGCCGTTTGATCTCAGGGCATGCCAAAAATGTCTGGCCAACAATTTAGATATTTCTGAATAAAAATTGGAATGGATACTGACCACTGCACTGACCTCTAAACAGAAAGAGTTAAAGTGCATAGAGGTGTTACGTTTGCCTTTTATCCAGAACACACAATATGCACCTAAGCTGAGTGTGTTACCAAGCATGGCCTTTGGTATCGCCCTGTGATATACTTTTCAAAGACCTTGGATGTCGTAGCTCAGAGATTGCCCGGTTGTCTGAGGGCTGAAAACATCATTCTTTTTCTCGCCACTCGCCACTCTTCAAGTGGAGAAACCTAATTTGTTGCCTTCTACAGGCGATTCCATGTATGATGTGGAGGAAGGCTGCGATGGTTTTGTCTGTGATGTTATTTTCAGCATTTAGCTTGCCCTAACCCTCTGGGCCATATCAGTGTGCATTTTTCAGAGGAAAAGGCAAACCTCATTTTAGATAAGAGAGCAAAAATGGCGAGGATTTTGGAGAAATTTTAAATTTTCCAGCCTGTACCTCCTCCTGAGGCCTCTGAGGATGTCGATGCAGCAGGCCTGTCTGGCCCTGAGGATTTTGCAGTAAGCTTGCCAGCACTAGAAGACATCGATGCAGATCAGCCTGCCTCTGTGAATGTCAGTGCAGCCCCAATACTGCCCTGTGCTCTGGAGAGCACCTGACAGTTGGCACCTTTCCTGACCGCATTGTCTTGTGGCCCGGAGAGCACCTTCAAGCTGACACTCATGAAGTGCATCTAGTGCATCTAAGGGTGATGTAGACTTCCCTGCTTCTGAAGATATCAATGCAGGGCCACCAGAGACCATGAACCTATCAGTCTCTGGTACTGACCCAGCACTCTCCATTACTGACTACAGTCCCCTTTGACTGCAAAGCTGAAATGGGTTGCATCCCTGGTCCTTTGCTCTGACCTGGTTCCTGTTCCCTCTGTTCCCTCCCTGGTTCCTGTTCCCTGCCCTGCCTGTGGCCTCCATATCTCCTGACCTGCCTGTAGCCTCCAAGTCTGCCTTACCAGCTGTCAAGTGCCCTTCTCAGTCAGTCTTGGTCCCTGAAATTGTATCCTAAACTGCTACTGTGCTGGTTTCCAAGAGTCCCTCTTCCTGCTCCCTGGGCAGCTACAGTCCCTGCATAGGCCTCCCAGCACACTGTTCCAGTGCATGTTCCACACCCAGCCTCCTGCTCAGTCAGCCATCAACATCAGTTCCTGTTTCAACCTTATAGTTCATACCAGTCCCTCTTAGTCTCTTTGCTGTAGTCCCTGTCACTGTCCTTGTTATGATGCCCATTCATTTTAGTGACAAGTCTTCAGCCCAGACTTGTCCTGTCATCTGCCCAGTCTGGTGTATTGTCTTCTGTCTCACCCCCATCAGTTCTTCTGTCCAGTCTTCACTCAATTCTGTCCATGTTCAATCATTTCTTCAGTCTCTTGTTCTGTCCCATGTACAGCCTCCTGTCTCATCCACCTTCATCAAGTCCCATCTCATCTGTTCCTTCATCAAGTCTCATGTCCAGATGTCTGGTTAGCCTCCCTGTCACCTGTTCGCTCCCCATTCAGTCATCTTTCCAGTCTTTTGTCTGCTCCCCCATCCAATCTCCTGTCCTGTTTCCTGTTCAGTCCCCTATCCAGTTCTGTAGCTCTGTTTCCGAACTCTCCTCTAGGCCAGCTCCTTTGGGTTCTGTCCCATGCCTCAGGAGCTGCATGTTAGAGAGGGGGCTTCTGTACCATCCTTGTTCTGAATCTGTCTCTGTCTGCCTCTGTCTCTGTCTCTCTTATGTCTAGGCATGTGCTTCTGTTTTTGTTTTCCCTTTGTTTCCAATGTTAGAACATGAAAAAAGATGTGTGCTGCTTGTTACCTTATTTGTTTGATTTGGCAATATTCACTGCTCAGTTGTTTTTCTAAGAGTGATTTATGAAGATGATGATGATGATGAAGTTGATGTAGGAAATAATTATTTCATTAATTCTGATTATTTACACATTATCATTCCTGCTGCATAAGCCAGTGTGATAAATTTATTGGCCCTAAGAATACTTCAAATGCTTACTCACAACCATGTTTCCAAAAAAATTGGGAACCTCTGCCAAACTAAAATTAATTATATGATTCAAGTGTATACATTTTGTGTACTTTATTTAAGTCGATTGGGAGAACCTGCCAGAAAGACAATGACTTCTGCAGCACCACTAATCAGGACTTTGATGGAGATCAAATGGATGACAAGAAACATTCTATGATCTGATGAATACAAGAATGAACTCTTTGGTCTGAACACAGAGTATTTCCTCTGGAAGATACCAGGCATCCCTCATAACCTGGCCAATCTCTATGGTGAAAAAAGGTGATAGTAACATTATACTGAGGGTATATTGAGCAGCAGAGACTGGATGGCTTGTCAGGATTGAGGAAAGATGATCAGATCAAAAGAGAGAAATCCTTGAGGAAAACCTGCCCAGCATCATTCCAGACCTTAAAATAAGGAAAGTGTTCACTTTTCAACATGACAGTGATATGGAATGCATGTAGCCAAAACAAATTCAAGAGTTGTTTTTGTACAGGTCCATGAAGAAGTGAATGCTTGCCATCAACATCCAGACCAGGCCCAACTTCTTGTAGCCCAGCACACTCTGGTCGATTTCCTGCCAAAGTTGCTCAACCTCCTCTGGCAGACTTGAGCAACCCCACTTATGACACCACTGTTATGTTCCCAAATAGGAGGTGGTACAAGGGACAGTTCCGAAAATTGTGGTCTTTAATGGCTTACAACACATTTGGTTGCAGCCAAAGAATTGAGCACCACCCCCTGAGCAGTGGGGGGAAACAATCTCACATGAACTTTGCATGCATGGTACATCAGCATTTAAATATAAGAGCTTGTTAAGTAGCTACATAAACACTCATACACCGTGTATAGCACAAAAATAGTACAGAACTGGTGATGGATTTTGAGATGGACATTTGGGTCTTTGATTGATTAGTTACTTTTTTTTTTTGCTTATGGATTTCTGTAGCATATACTAACGGCATGGAAGTGCTATGGATTAGCACAAAGATGCAAGCACACCATTCATATACATCTTTAATGAAGATGAACGAGGTTTAAAGCTACAGACTCTACCTCACCGAAGGGCTGGAAAGGAACAATAATGAATAAAAGTGAACAAAGACAGAAACAAGTTCAAACAAATTTTCCTGGTAGTAGAAAAAAGACAAATCACTAAGTGAAAGTGGCATGTTTAGGATAAAATGCTAGTTAAATAAGATACAAGCAATGACTGACCTCTTGGTTGAAGATGCAGTGGACCAGGAAGATGAAGGTGCCCTGCTGAGAGTTGAGGAACAGGAAGACAATCTCCAACACCCTACTGCCATTTACGAAGAAACCCAGGATCCAGGGACAACCGAGGATGACAATCTGGACCAGTGTTTTAAAGACAAGAATTCTAGAGATACAGAGAAAGAAGAGAGAGAGAGAGAGAGAGAGAGAGAGAAGGTGGATTCTGCCTGTTTATCTTTATTTTATATGTTAGTGGATACATCATGGTTGGCGTACCATAGTGCATAACACCTCTGTCCTCCACATGAGACACTGAGCTTCAATTCCTCACTTGAGCAAGAACAACACATTATACTAAAAAGTGTCATTGAGTAAAATTCTTGCAGATATATTTATCTACCTCTGTAACTAGATTAAACTGTAAATTACTCCAAATAAGAGTGTCTGCAAAGTGTGATAAATGGAAATCAAAACTTTAACAAAGAATTCAATATGTGCATGTCAAATTGTGACAATAAGATGTGTGCTTTTTGTTACCTCATTTGTTTGATTTGGGAAAATTCACTGTTCAGTCCTGCCACGTTTTTTCTCAGAGTGATGATGATCATGATGAAGAAGATCAAGTTGAACTGCAAATGTAGGAAACAATTATTCTGATTATTGCAACATTATAATTCCTGATGCATAATCCAGTGTGATATATGTAATGGCCCTCAGAATACTCCAAAGGCTTATTCACCTACCAAATTACTTCATGTGGTAACAAGTAAATTAACTAGTTTTATTCAATCTAAATAAATGCTTTGAATGAATTATTCTTGCAATCAAGATACATGTAAATAAAATCAGAATGTAATGATGTGCGAATCATTTGAATCCTATATTTAATTTAAAATAGTACTTTTTATAGTGTACTGTAGAAGAGATTTCTTGGAACTTACTATAATAATAAAACATACGGGACCCAGAAAACTCCAGACAAAGTCCCTGTCTGTTTTAATCCAACATCTGCAAAAAGGAAGACACAGAATGTGTCACATTGTTATCTGTAGTTATCTGATTGCTATCTGTGAAATACATCATAGCATTTGCTTGATTCTATTTAAGAAATTACTATATTAAATCAATTCTAATTAAGAAATTAAATTCTAACTGAGAAAGTAATGTAATGAAACCACGCCCACTCTACGTTCTTACTGTTTACTGCCGTATCCATCAGGAAACAGCCCAACAGACACTCCCACCACAATCAGAGGAATAACATATCCAATCACAATCAAACATTTCCAGCCGAGCACCTCCTTCTGCTTTGATCTGATCTTTGTGAGGTTCTTCACAGAGATCAAGAGAAGAACAGCTTCAAAGAACATCCACACAAAAGCAGAGAGAAAAAGGAAATGCAGAACACCTGCCATCGCTGCACACAGCAGCTGAACGGAGAGAGAGAGAGAGAGAGAGAGAGAGAGAGAGAGAGAGAGAGAGAGAGAGAGAGAGAGTGAGTGAGTGCTACTTTATTATATTTTAATCGTAACACTCTTTAATATGAAGCATGTTATACTTTAGTATTACCATTATATTTACAAGTAAATAATTCTCACCTGATTAGTCTGTATGTACTGCAGGAATGTCTGTGTGAGAAGGAAGAGGAGGTGAGCCAGAAACAGGCTGATGCACAGGTTTATCAGTGGAGCGAGGTTAACTCTCATGTTTCGACGACAAAGGGCAAAGGTCAACAGAGACAAACTCAGGAAAAACAGCCCCACTGCCACAGCCACCGTGTTGAGCAGCTCCAAGAGAGGGTCACTCTGGAAATGAACAGTAAATACTTAATAATCTCATTTCTTATTCTGATTGTAATGATACAAAAATTTACTTTAAAACAAAAGAATCACCCACAATTTACTTATAAAGAAAATATTTCTTAAGATCTGCTCACAGTGAGTAAAAACTTTCAGCTCATACATGGCAGGTGACAATACTGTGCTTACATCTATAAATTGATTTTGTAAAATATTGTTGTGTACCATATATATATATATATATATATATAAAACGCTGAATAGGCTGAACATTAGTGTACTTTTCACTCTGCATTGGTCATTTTATAGCTGTTATCCTAAAACGATCATACTGGCTTCAACATTCTTTTGAAAGCAATTTTAGCTCTTTTTTCCAATTAAGTGTAGGAGAACTGCGTACCTCCTTTGAAGCAAGCAAGTGTGATAATGGCAAAGAAAAACTCAAAATCAAGAGGAAGTACCCTTGACAGGAGGCAAGTGTGAGACCCGTCCTTCTTTTGTCAACACCAGATAGCAAAACAAAATGCAACAAAGCCAATAAGCAATCATTTGAAGTATGCAGTTTAAATTATGTGATGCCTTTGTTTTCCCACAGCCTCAGAAAAAGGTGCTGAACTGTCACTGTGTCTTATCACTGGAGTGGTACCCTCAGTTGCAGTCCATTGCAATGATATATTTAAAGTTGCATTAACTCCACACACTCCACGCCAGGACCTAGCCCTGGAGCCAGGCCTGGGGGTAGTGTTAGTTGGTGAGCTCCTGGTGGCCGGGCATCCCACGTAACCTGGCCGGCTCAGCCCGAAAAGGCAACATGGGGGGGGACCATGTGGGCCCATTACCTGCTAGGTCCAGCATGAGGGACCAGTGCAGTCCCATATAGGCAGTGGGAGATGGCAGGAAGGCCCTTGGCAGCATAGACCCCTGCGGCAGAAACTGGCTCTTGGTACATGGAATGTAACCTCACAGGGAGGGAATGAGCTGGAGCTTGTGCGGGAGGTTGAGAGGTACCAACTAGATATAGCCCGGCCCATCTCCACCCACAGTGTCTGCTCTGGAACCAAACTCCTGATGGGGTTTGTCTCTCTCCTACTCAGGAGTTACACAGGATGAGAGGTGCCGGGTGGGTGTGGGGATACTCACGAGTTCCCAGCTGGCTGCTGTGCACATGGAGTTTGTCTCAGTAGATGAGAGGTTTGCCTCTTAAGTGAATTAAAATCACAGAAAGGAAAACTCTGACTGTTGTGTGTGCTTATGCACTGAACAACAGGTTGGAATATTTGGTCTTCTTGGAGCGAGGGGACGGGGTTCCAGAAGGGGCCCTGCCTACAGACTCCATAGTCTTGCTGGAAGCCTTCAAAGCTCATGTTGGCAATGACTGGGAGACCTGGAGAGGTGTGGTTGGGAAGGACGTCCTGCCTGATCTAACCGCAAATGATGAATTGTTATTGGACATCTGTGCCAAGCATGGCTTGTCCATCACAAACACTAAGTTCGAACACAAGGATGTTCATAAGTGTACATGGTACCGGAGCTCCTTGGGTCAAAAGTCAATGATTGATTTTGTTGTCATTTCATCTGACTTAGGACCATATGTTCTGGACACTCGGGTGAAGAGAGGTGCTGAGCTGTCAACGATCACCATCTGGTGGTGAGTTGGATCAGATGGCAAGTAAGACTGATGGTCAGACCCGATAGGTCCAAACGAATAGTGAGGGTGTGCTGGGAACAACGGAGCCTCTGTTCAGAAGGATTTTAACTCCCACCTCTGGGAGAACTTTTCTCATGTTCCGGAGGAGGTAGTGAACATGGAGTCTGAATGGACCCTGTTCAAAACCTCATTGTGGAAGCTGCTGGGCAGCAAGCCAAGAAACCTCTTGTGGACACCGGTGTTGAGGGAGGCCGTCAAGTTGAAGAAAGAGGCCTTTAGGGACTGGACGGCCCGGAGGACAATTCAGTAGATAGGTACTGACAAGCAAAAAAGGTGGCAACGGCAATGGTGGCGGAAGCAAAATCTAGGGCATGGGAGGAGTTTGGGGAGGCCATGGAAAAAGACTTTGTCGGCCTCAAGGAGGTTCTGGACAACTGTCCGGCAACTCCAGAGTGGTCAGAGTGGCTTCGCCCAAGCTGTACTTGGCAGGGGTGGAGAAATATTGTCAGTCGGCGGAAGGATCACTTTGAGGAACTACTTAATCAGAGAGACATGCCTCCCTCTTTGGAGTCAGGGCCAGAGGCTTCTGGTGTGCCAGGCTCCATTTCCCTGATGGAGGTCACTGAAGTAGTTGGCAAGCTCCTCAGTGGCAAGGCATTTTCGGAGATTCGTCCAAAAATGCTTAAAGCTCAGTATGTTGTGGGGTTGTCATGGCTGACATGCCTCTGCAATATTGCATGGACCTCGGGAACAGTACCCTTAGACTGGCAGACTGGGATGGTGGTCCCTACTTTAAAGAAAGGGGACCGGAGGGTGTATGCCAACTACTGGGGTATCACACTGCCTAGTTTCCCTGGGAAAGTTTATGCCAAGGTGCTGGAAAGGAGACTCCGACGAATCATTGAACCTCAGATTGAGGAGGAACAATGTGGTCCAGTCCACATGTGTTTTGTGGACTTGGAGACGGTTTACTACTGTGCTCTCCAAGATATCTTGTAGGAGGTCCTCCGGGAGTATGGGATGCCAGGGCTCCTACTCAGGGCTATTCAATCTCCGTACTTCTGAAGTGAGCGCTGTGTTTGTATACTTGGCATTAAGTCAGGCTCTTTCAGTGTTAGCGTTGGACTCCACCAAGGTTGTGCCTTGTCTCCACTCCTATTTGTGATATTCATGGACAGGGCATCAAGGCATAGCCGAGGTCAGGAGGGCATTATGATTGGAGGCCAGAGGGTGGCGTGTCTGGTATTTGGCATGGCTATATTTTGGCTTGATTGTACAGATGCCTCCAGATTTCACTGAAGTGGTTTGCAGCTGAATATGAAGTGGTTGGTATGTGGATTAGCACCTCCAAGTCTGAGTCCATGGTCCTAGCCTGGAAAAGGATGGTACGCTCACTCCAGGTAAGGGGAAAGGACCTGCCCCAGGTGGAGGAGTTTAAGTATCATGCACGTAGGTCTCACATGAATTACATATTGGGGAAATTAATTTCGTCCTTTCACAGATAGAAATAAAAGTGAAAATATATCGGCATTTTCCTTTAGTTTTATGGATGCTCCCGGCCTTTTATAGGCCTGCACAAAACGTCTTTCCAAATGAGGCAATTCGAAGCGGAGTTTTGTAGAAAGTGTGTTCATGCTGTGCAATTTAAATTAAGAGTGGGTATTCTATTGTTCATTGAAAAGGTTTATTGATGCTAAGCCAGGAGCTGAAAAGGTGTTTCAATAAACAGCTTTAAAAAAAAAAAACAGCTAGTTCAGATCAGGTTCCCAGTGCTAAGCGCAAGTCCTTCCAGTTTGAGGCATATGATAGATCTATCTGTGCATAGTGCAATCAGCATGGACACATAACCTGGTTTTGTTGAATGGGTAGCAGAGGTGGTTATTTAGCACTCACATTGCCAGGAACTCTAAGGCTATGTTCACACAAAAGGCAAATGTGGCCCAGACCTTTTTTTCTCAGAAAATCTGATTTTTTGTTAGATTGTTCACATTATCTTTTAAATATGATCTATATGCAACATTAACCTGAACAGATCATGCTCCTAATTTGACATACATGTCCAAAAGAACAATGCTTTATGTATCATGCTCATCCAGAGGTATAAAATCAAAAAGGAATCAACAGTAACAGCCATTCCTGGAGATTTCAGGTTTATCTTTGCCAGCATCACAGGAGCTAATAAGAAGTTCCTCATTCGAGCTTGCTGTAAAAAGGGCATGTTATTTAGTCACGGCCACTTTCCATTGATGATGCGGAAGAGGAAAATTTGCTGGTAGCAGTGCCAGCAATTCTCAACTCAAGACCCCCCTGGTAACTGGGGGTTTCACGGGAATCTCATGCAGTTTGTCCTTAAGTTGCCCCGCCCCCTGTCTGAATGACTTCAATCCCTACAATCTCCCTTTTTCACTGATTGTCTCACAACCAGAACAATCAATAGGGGCTGCTGCTCACTTGGCGGTACAGAATATAAGTTTAGTCCTTGGCAGTAAGTAAGGTAAAATGGTTTTAGATAGATTTAGATGATAGAGTAAGTCACTGGGATGGTGTCATGTCAGCTGAAACAAATGTAACTGGCAGGAATTAAGAGCCTTATAACTTCCAGGGCTTTGGGACCTTGAGGTGAAAAATGTTAGTAATTATTACAAGTTTCTTAAATCCAGCCAATCATGCATATGTTTTTAAATCTTCCGTTGCAGCTGTTCTTACATCGTCTGAGGCTTGGTCTGGGTTGGTCTGCATGATGAGAGCGAAGGTTGACAGGTGAACACAGGAGCACACAGAGTGGCTGCTGTTGGTCTGGAGAAGGGAACACCCATCTTCAACCCATACGGTGTTATTCCAGTACACACAGGAAAGTGTACCACTAGGATCAATTTCCTAGAAAAAAGAGAAAGGAAATGATTGTCTTTGAGGCTGTGGTAATCATATTGTGCAGTATAAAAAAGAGATTGCTACTGTATTGCTAATGTACATACAGTGCTGTGAAAAAGCATCTGCCCCTTCCCAGTGTCTTCTATTTTTGCATATTTGTCACACTTGAATGTTTCAGATAATTAAACTACATTTAATATTAGATAAAGTTAGCCAGGAAAACAAAAAAAAAGCTTTTTAACGACCATTCTATTTATTAAAGGAAAAATGCTGTTCAGCCCTACCTGGTTATTGCCCCCTTAGCTACTAAATCAACCAATTAACCGAATTCAATTGACTATTGGGTTCAGTTTCACTAGCCACACCCAGGCATGATTACCACCAGACCTGTTGAATCTAATTGTCACTTAAATAGAACACGTTTGGTAATGCAAAGCAGGCTAAAAGGTCTTTTGAGCGGCACATTATGCCATATTCTAAAGAGATTCAAATACAGATGTGAAAAATGTCATTTAAATCTACCAGTCTGGAAAGGGTTACACAGCCATTGCTAAGGCTCTGGGACTCCAGTGAACCACAGTGAGAGCCATTATCCACAAATGGAGAAAATTTGGAATAGTGGTGAAGCTTTCTAGGAGTGGCCGGCCTACCAAAACTACACCAAGAGCACATCAACGACTCGTCCAGGAGGTCACAAAAGAACCCAGAGGATCATAAAGAACTCCAGGCCTCATTTACCTCAGTTAAGGTCAATGTACACAAATCTACAATAACAAAGACGCTGGGAAAAAAATGGCGTTCTTGGGAGAGGTGCAAGGTTTAAACCGCTGCTGACAAAAAGAACACAAAGACTCACATTTGCCAACAAACATCTAAATGACCCTTAAGACATTTGGGATAATATTCTGTGGACTGATGAGTCAAAGGTGGACCTCTTTGGAAGACAGCAGTCTCATTACATCTGGCGTAAAGTTAACACTGCTTTCCACCATAAGAACACCATACCAACAGTTGAAAATGGTGGTGACCAAAAAATTGGTAAATTAGCTTCATCTCATGCTGAAAAAAATGAGAAAAATATACAACCTTTAATTAATCCACGAAATAATATTTTTATCAAAACCACATTTACCACATTGTACAACATCCCTTGATGGTCCCAAGACCAGTCTTTTTTACAGAATCTCTCCAGATCGTCCAGGGTCCTTGATCATTTCTTGTGCACACTGCTCTAAGGCTCACCCCACAGGTTTGCAATGGGCTAAGATCATGGGACTAAGAAGGTCATGGCATAAGCTTGATTCTGTGTAAGTAAACCATTTCCGTGTTGATCTGGACATACGTTTTGGATCACTTTCCTGCTGGAGGATCCAGTGATGACCCATTTTTAGTTTCTTGGCAGAGGCAGACAGATTTTGATTTAAATATCCTGGTATTTCTTGTAGTCTATGATGGCATGGACCTTAATGAGGTTCCCAGGGCCTTTGGAGGAAAAACAGTCCCAAACCATCACAGACCATCCCCCATACTTAACAGTGGGTATCAGGTTGTTTTAAGTGTAGTCATCCTTCTTTTTACACCAAACTCATTTTTTGTAGTGCTGGTCATTAATACTGTATGCATTCTCATCAACATGTCAATTCTGAAGTTTTTACTTAAGACACATGTAAAAATATGACAGCAGTAAGGAGAGGTATGTGCACTAATCACCACCAAGATGACTTTATGAATGGGATTTAATTACCATGTCACACACTTTGTGTGGTGCTGTGTTGCTACTTCTTAGTTGCATCCATGATTCTGGCTCAATATCTCAAAGCGATTAGTGCAAATTCCTGTTTAATTTCTGCTTTTTAAAAGGCTTAACTGGATTTAGTTTATTCAATTTGATTCCAGTTTATTATTATTATTATTATTATTATTATTATGATGATGATTAGTAGTAGTAGTAGTAGTAGTAGTAGTAGTATTTACTAACAGATTCCAGATTTACTAAAAGATGGAAAGTTTAACAGGTTGTCTTGTGAGAATTTTAATGCAAATGAAACCAGCTGCAGCTTCATGGCCAGCTCACCTACTTTTTGTATGATAGCAAGTTTTTACTAAGAAAGAGAAAAGAAGTTTTAAATTCTGATTAATCTGATACAAGAGTAATTTTCTACGAATACTGTAATGGTGGGATGATATTTTAATATATTTGATAAACTTTCTCTCTGAGCACAACCAATGGTAGCCACATTAGTGCCAAAAACAAAACAAGCATTTCACACGTCAGTGGGTCTTTTTAATAATCTCCTTACAGTATTTTGTGCTTTAAGAGGGAAATGCATTAAATTAGAACAGCCACATTTTTTTTTCCAAAGAGGCAAAATTTCAAAAGATCAGTGACCGCCTCTTTGAACTTATTATGTTTGCTACCTGGCTGTTAGGCCTTTATAGTACATTGCATCAGGCACTGTTTAATGCTAAAATAAGGTAGTCAGCTTTATAAAACATCATTTAATACATGCTTATTATAAAATAATGCTTTTTGAATTAGAAATTAAATATATCATCACTCACCTCAATGTGTTCCAGGGTGAAGTTGACCGGTCTTGGGAGCTGTGTGTTGGTGGTTTTGGGCAGTGTTGCTGACACCACAATGGACATCATGGTTTTTACTGTGTTGTTAGTTGTGTTAAAGAAACTGGGTTTCAGCATGCTCGCCATGCTAGAGAAGCACATGAAAGCTGCAGCAGCTGATCCTGAAGTACAGCAACAAAACTGTATTACTATAACGAGCATTGTCTACTCAAACACTAAAGAAATCAATAAAAAACTGAATGAAACACATTAAACACAATAATCTCTAACAAAGAACCACCACTTTCCTTCCCTACAGCTTTTCAGATAATAATATGTAAGCCTCACAATAAAACACAAGACTCAAACTATTCCTTTCATGAAAGCAAGAACAATATTTCTGCCTGTTGTTACTTACAGTATTTCTGAACATCAGAATGTTCAATAGCTCCGTATCCACCAGGGTTGATTCTAGACCCTTTTTAGGGGGGCACAACCCCCATGTATGTAATCTCAGCCATCTTCATTTTTCTACTTAAATTTATTGGATTTTGTGATCTGTTTTTCTCTGCTTTTACTACCATGCTGCAAGAAACAATCAGCAAACTATCCTTTGAGTTCTCCTTCATTTTGTGACTTCTTGAACTGAATTGTACTGAAGGTTCTAGCGCGAAGCGTTCCATAACCCACTATTGCTTAGTCTGAATGAAAATGATGTGCAGGGACGAGTTGGATGCCTCACAAGATAGCTGGCTAGTTAAGATCCCAATAGATCAGGGTTGCACAATTCCAGTCCTGGAGGGCCAATGTCCTGCGGAATTTAGTGATTTTTTCTGCTCCTAATTACACTTATCTGTTAATTGCCAGATTTAGTGCGTGTGTTTGAGAAGGGGAACTACCAGACTGTCTAAACTAACGGAGAACAATGTAAAAAAAGGGACTATTTAGGAGGGTGCATGCATACTATGAGCCTATGCATCGGGCCATCTGCCTAGACACACCTCCAGAGTCTCTCAGTGCCAGCACCAGCAAGCCAGGCCGTTTGTTCCATTTGCAATGGTTTCTTTTATAGGGACTCTTATTCTGAAGGGCTGTGAATGTGTGGTGGCAGTGTTTCACAGGAGCTAGTACTTAGCCAATCCTGGACTGTGCATGTCACGGGACGGCAGGGAAGTGGACCCAAGTGCAAAGATGAAAACCCATGAGAAAGGGTGTTAAATAAATTTATTGAGGCAATGGAGTGTGAATTTTACCCAGAGCCAGACTCAACCTGCTAACGTACTGATCAGCGGTCCATGGAGTTACCGCTGCGCCACTGGGAAGCACAGGCGACAATGGTTAGAACACCTCAAGGAACGGGAAATAAAAGGCAGGAAAAAGAGCAAACAAAGGAAACGCTGAAAGCAGCTCAAACAAAGGCTGAACTAGAAACATGAGATAAAAGACAATGAGAAAACAAAAGACTCTTCCACTGTAATTATGAAGGGAAGGCAGACTTTATGTTTCACTTTTTTGTTCTTAGCGGAGAAAACACCTTTTTGTATGGATTGGAGCCGTTTGTAGCTCAAGCCTTCTTGCGTTTTGAGTAGTTTTGGGGCAATTTCTCTCTGTAGCTTTTTTTTCAGCCCTCTTTTCTTTTCTTTTTTTTTAATACCCACCTGGGCTGAGTACCATACCTGTCACCCCTCTACAAAGGTGTGACAAAGGGCTGCTGTTTGCCATAGACTTAAGTAGAGGAATCCACAGGTGTGTCAGGTTGGGCCTAATCAGCCCGAGGGCTTCTGGGAAATTGGAGTTCCCTGAAGTTATGGCACTTCACCACCCTCTGCTGGCGGTGCAGGCTGGACCCTTACAGTGCGAGCTAACAGTTTTAGCCCACACCTGTGACTCTATTGAGTTTCTTGACTAGAACTACTTTATCTAAAAATAACATTTTCTGCAAATGTTAATGCCAGTTACTTTATATAAGTCTTGATATCCTTCCAGTTGAATTTAATTAACTTGTTATGCCTTTATTGGCTCATTAGGTCTGATTAGGTAGGTCAGTTATGATCATTAGGAATTGTGGACTGATGATAATTCCAGAGGTAAAATTCTCTAAATCTTTAAACTTTGTGCTAACACTCAATAATCATAGGTTCCTTTAAGCAAGAGGGATATGGAAAAAAAGCTAATTTATGGAAATTAAGTCTATAAAATCATATAAAATTGTTTCCACCTCACAATTTCCACTGTCCAAAATGTCACTAAGAAATGAAAGCTAAGGGGAGCTGTTTAAATCAAGGCAAGATCTGGAACACCATGAAAACTCTCAGATAGAACTATTTATATGCCAGAGAGTAAAATGTCCATTTGACAGCAAAGTACCTGCAGGAAGGTTTAGCTGACACAAGAGTGGTGGTGCATCATTTTACTCTACAGTGTTAATGGAAATTCTTCACCAAAATATTTTCACTAGTAAGATACTGTCATCCAGACGCATATTTGTCCAGTAGCTATGCACATAGAGCACCATGCAAAAGTTGTAGGAATTCATGAAAACTGTTACTTGACAGTGAGTGTCAGTTAGCATGTTTTTGCCTATAAAAACACTTTAACACAAAATGTAATAAGATTTTTTTTGGTTTAAATACATTATCTTGGTAAGTCCCTGTTATAGACTGGCAACCTGTCCAGGGTGTTTCCTGCCTCCCACCCGATGACTGCAGGGATAGGTTCCAGCACTCCCCGCATCCCAAGAGGTTAAGGTTGGGGTTAGGTTTAGTAGTATTTAGCTACAGTAACACAAAAATCAATAGAAACCTATGGTCATCCTCATATGTACAGCAAGACAAACGTCTGCGTGTGTGTGTATATGTGTGTTTGTAACTTGGTTAAGAAAACAGTTTAGAGGAGAAGCTTTGAAAATGGTTAAGATATACCTATAAAATCACTACATGCGTGTGTCATGTAATATGTGCCTTCTGCCCAGAATAGCATACATATTTTCTCACATAGCCTAAGACCTTTGCACAGGACTGCATATAGTGAATATGAGTATATGAATAAATGCACTGTCCCTTTGTCTTTCATGTCTTAAAGTGACCTCTTACTTAATACACAATTTACAAAATAAGAATCTAAATCATTGCTTTTTTCACATCATTTTACCAGTAATTGGTCACTGTGGGATTATAAGTAAAGTGTTCCAGTAATGAGATCTGTGCAGTGAAGAGCATGTAAAGATTGCTACTATACCATCATTATTCTTTGAAATCTGGATGAGGTCGATGTCCATCTGAGTGCTGTTTATCCTCAGTTGAGGGATTTCATTCAAGGAAGCTTTTGGTCCAACTGCAAAGACTTGAATATCTGAGAAACATAAACCATGAATCTTAAACTATATACACACATAGCTACGCCATACTAGTGTTTTGGATGTTATCAAATCAAGAAGATTCTTTTGTACAAAGCACAAGTAGTTTAATATTTGAAATATTTTTTGTCTCATTACATTTGGACAAACTAGTTTTTGCTTCTGGATCTTGTTGAAAGATCCAGTGGTGGAAATAGTGGATATAATTCAGTCACTAAATTATGTGCTTATGTAGTTGTTTACCTAAGCCATTGCGAGAGATGTTAACTGAGTCTGTGGTCTCTGTTGGCTTCACCAGTGTAGACACCAGTTTCTCAGTCCTATTCAGCACTGTGTTCCCATAAGATGCCATTTTCTCTGGACTTGCTGTTTCAACCTTTAGAAGCTGCTCCTGGGTATTCAGCACCATGTCTAAATACGTTACTACTACCTGATCAGTAATCAGAGAGAAATTTACATACATTAGCCTATTGCATACAGAACACAGTGCATGTTACTACTATTTTATTACATTGTATAAAGTGGTTCGTCAGATCTACTTAAAAAAAAAATAGTTAATGTGGTAACAAGTAAAGTAACTAGTTTTATTCAACCTAAATAAATACTTTGAATGAACGATTCTTTCAATCAAAGTATGTTTTAAGTTGAATAAACCTAGTTCAACTGCTTGTTACCACATGAAGAAATTTTTAAGGTAGATCTGACGAGCAACTTTATACTTTATTGCAGAACTTACTTGTGGTGGGAGCACTTGAGCAGTGATGTTCTCAAGTTGGTTAAACAGATCTTCTCCACATTTTGGTGTGAAATTGTCCTGAAACAAAAAGTCAGTTAAAATAATTTGTTTTAAAGAAATCATAATTAAGAGACATAATGTGGAATTAAATTGTCACAAACCTTGCATTCTGTAGATACTGTAATATTTGGCACTGAAAGAATAAACAGTAAAGGAACATGTTTTAAGATCAGAGTTTTTGTTATGCCTGTGGAAATAAGCTAACATATACCGGCTGTTTATATATACAGTGGTAGTTATAATTGTCAGTACATTAATAATTGAAATGTATATCACGTATTGGAACCATCTAATATTAAATACTCCCTAATAACCTCTTTAATCAATAAGTGTCATGTTTTTTGACCAATTTGCAGAGATTGTACTATAAAATGTCCTCAGACTTCCCACATTTTATAAATTGTTAATTTTAATGTATATGATTCAAGTGTGTCAGTTGGTGATATATGAAAAAATACTTAACATCAACACAACTAATGTTGGTGTTGTCACTGAATGTTTTTGTTTTGTCCTTCACAACTCTCACAATGTTTCTGTCATCAGCTGCTGTTTTCCTCCTGTTCAATGCCTGGTTTATCTCAGTTTCCATGATTCAAAGTTATCAGTTGGAGATGCATGAAGAAATGTTACATCAACACCATTGATGTCTTTCAGTTTAATTCTGTTTGCAAGACGTGTGCTGATTTAGCATTGTTCATTCATGTACAACCAATTGCAATTTTTACTTACATTTAATTACATTTGAATCATGTACAGTTTGCACCCTATCATTTTTGGCACCCTTGGTAAAGTTAAGAAAAAATCATGGAAATTGTCTTTATGGATAATTGGCCAGTTCAATCTCACACTGAAAATATGATATAAAGCCTTTAAATGAAATAAACTTAGTCTAAGAAAGTAAAAATGTAAGGTGACACAAAAGCCAAATTCCCTTAGTCATTCATCAACATGAGAAGATAAGACAATACAGAAAATGAAATAAGATGTATGATATGAGATGTTGACCTCTAGAATATAATATACAATGGCTAAAAATATCTTCTTGCATTAAAATATCCATGTCCATTTTAAGGACAATAATTAAACAACCAGACCAATAGGGAACCTGCCTGGAGTATTGAAGTGTATTTTGCCCCTGTGCACAGTAAAGAGGATGATTCTAATGGAAACATTGACAAACTGACATATTGATATAATTTATCTTCTGCAAAGCTGGAAATTTGCAGAAGATAAATTTTGGGGTAACCAAGTCCTCAAAACTATAATAAGATGTGGCCTCCATGCCAACATACTACTTGGAAGGCATACCAGATGAAACCCTTTCCTTTCATATACATGGTACATGTTATATTTTATTATATTATATTATATATATTGTTTCATAAGGTATATATATTACATTATCACAAGCATGTGCTGTACTTTTAGTCAAGGCAGCTATTCATTTTCTTCTCATTACCACTATTACTATTGATGTTATTATTATTATTATTATTATTATTATTATTATTAATACTACTACTACTAATAATAATAATAATAATAATAATAATAATAATAATATCCAGACAATCTAGTGAAATAATATGAAATTTAAATGTACCTGGTGTCTCAGCAGCAGGTGTTGAACTAGGAACATCTGAAACAAGACAAACCAATGTCAAAACATACTCAACAAATAGGACAATTACATTAAAACAGATTAGCATGTCTGAAGACTTTACTGTGCTTGCAAGGCAAGAAAATGGCTTCTATTGAGTGTATGAATGAATGAATGAATGAATTAATAATTCATCCTACATACATCGATACCTTATGTTCTACTATATTTTTACAGTAACATATACATCTACACCTGAGTTCTACCACATATGCACCCTGTCACATACAGGCAAACATCTCTACCTGTATATATTCACACACACACACACACACACACACACACACACACACACATACATATATACACCCATATATACAGAATCCAGATATAAGCTAGCAAGATAAACATAAAATGACATAAAATAAAAAAAGGAAATGTATGAAATAGGTGAGTAAGTTAAGTACAAACACAGTGTATCAACTTTCTCAGCAATGCTTACAATCTCCTTACAGAAGTATTTAAGCTGCAGATTTGAGAGAACAGATTAGAATTTTAGCTTTTATTTCCTGATATTTATATCCAGATGTCTTCTTAGAACATATTTACATCTGGAAGTCATTTTAGAACATGGCACCTGTCAGACCACCCCATTTTAGACAAGTCAAAGTCTTAAAGAAAATTAAAGTTATTAACGCTTAATATCGGGATGAATATCCCTTACTTGCATTAACTGTATCAAGAGACTCACTGACATCACTAAACTGTTGCATTCTTCATTTGCAATGGTTTTCCAGGCTGCTTCTTTCAGTTGTGGTTTGTTTTGTGGTTTTTCTCTCTTTCCTCTTCAGGAGACGAACTGGTGCTCAATGGGGTTAAGGTCTGATGATTGACTCGACCAGCCTAAAACCAAGCACTTTCTTCCCTGATGAAGTCCTTTGTTGTGTTGACAATGTGTATTCGGTCATTGTCTTGAGTTCTTCCCTATTAAATTGGTAGACCGAATGTTTCTGTAGGCTTCTCAATTTATTTTGTTGCTACCATCATGAATGACTTCATCAAAAAAAAGGTGAGCCCCTTCAGCCATTTCACCCTCTTGCAGCCATGCCAAGCCCAAGCCATGACACTTCCTCCACTGGGCTTGACTGATGAGTTTCGGATCGTTCTCCACACTTTGGCATTTCCATCATGTTGGTAGAGGTTAACCTCGGTCTCATTAGTCCATCAAACTCTGTTCCAGAACGTTTGCAGCTCATTTCTGTATTTCTTTGCAAATTCCAATCTAGCCTTCCAGTACTTGCTGCTGATGAGTGTTTTGCAGCTTGTGGTATGGCATTTATATTTTTCATCTCAAACTTTTTTGAACAATGGTGATATCTTCATTTTTCTTCACAGCTCTCATGATGTTTCTGTCATCAAATGCTGTTGTTTTCCTTGGCCAACCTGTTCAATGTCTGGTTGTTAGTGCACCAGTGGCTTGCTTTTCTCCCATAGCCAGCTCTATGGTCTTCATGTTGCTTTTTCATTTTTAACAACCAACACAGTCTTCACAGATGAAACCCTGGGCTCAAACCACAAGTAAATATTCAGAGAAAATAATTGTTTAAACAAACAGTCTAACAGGGCACACCTGGGCAAGAAGAAACACCTGTCAGTCACATTCCATTTTGGCTTACTTGAAAAATGAATGGGTTCATGCTAAAGGTGCCATGTTCTAAATTGTCTAGCACATTTAAAGATGTTAATGTCAGGAAATAAAAGCTGAGATTCCTTCATTTCATGTTAATCTTTTGATCTGAAAACTAAACCCAAAACATGTCTTTAGTGTGTAATAAAACAAAAGAATTGGGCTTGATGTTCCAATACTTTCAGAGGAGACTGTAGGAGTTATTTTTTGTCTCCTGAGTAAACTAATTCGGCTCAAATCACTTAATCTACAGACTTTTTTCAAACTTAATTGTATAGATAATTTCAGCACAAAAAGTGCTTTTCATTTCATTCCTCAGTGTTCGATCATATATTCTTTATTTTGTGAATTTAAATCAGTTTAAGCCTTCTAAACTTCATTATCTATTTTTATTGATTTTTTTATATTTTGTCTTGTTTTTTTTTCTTTCTCCACTAGATGGCACAGTATACCACAACTGAGAATATCTAATAGTCGACACACTTTCTGTTCCTATGACATTAACTCTTAGCACTGCATTATACTGATGTTAACACCATGGCTAGCAGGCAAGCAGCATTGTTAAAATGATCCAGTATATCCAGTAGAGGGGCAGATCAGGGCTGAAACGTCCCCAAACCAGAATGAATGCAGGATGTGAGTGGCAGCCATTCTATACTCTCAAGTCTGAAGCTATTTTATGGAATCTTTTAACGTCTGTCAAAGGACAACAGATGAAATTTTGCCTTTTTGGCCATTTACATTTCTTTTGATACTGTTGACACAATTTCACTGTCCCTGATAAATAAATGAGTAAATAAGTAAAAATCAAAAGGAGGTAGGTTTTGGCCTCTATTGTCTTCTTTTTTTCTCTTTCTCTTTTCATATTTTAATCCATTCTTTCACTCACATAAACCTTGTAATTCTTTATTTTCTTGCCTTATACATACCATATGTCAGGAAAAGTACATCTAGGTTATCTTTTTTTTTAATTTATTTTTGGTAAATTTCATTATTTTCATTGAACACAATTATTTTGCCAGAGATCAAGGGAGTACAAAAGAGGGGGTTATAAAATTGAAATGGAAGCCTAATAAAACACTTATAATAATCATGAGAAATCTGCCACTTAAAGCTCAAAAGATACTCAGAGTACCTGCACAGTAAGCTGAATTGCAGATGTTTGGCCTGACAAACTCATAGACGTAATAGTTTCCTGGACATGCTTTGACTCGAATTGGGATGGATCTGTAGTAACAGCAGTCACTTCCTGAATTTCCACAGACTCCACAAGCGACTATTCCATCCTCTATCTGAGGGTGAGATCCATTCAGCCATAGTGTAAAATCAGTGCCACATCTGGATCGATTAACACAGCTGTCTGCCATACGGACGCTCATCCCATTATACAGCAGCTGATACCAGCCATTCCAGTTGAAATAGTTGTCACAGTTGGACCCTCCAGACTCATTAGTGCCTCTCCAGGGTTGATCCAGAGAAGTGTAGCTATTGCAGGGATCATAACTGGGAGTATTAAAAGCAACTGTAATGAAAACAGATGGACATGTTAAAATGATCGAAACCCTAAAATGATCAAACTAATATTTAGTATTTAGTGTGTGTGTATATATATATATATATACTAAACATCTTTTTTTACTTTTAATAAAGCACCATTTATCAGTGAAACCCCTAATCTGTTGTAGTATCTGATCACACATTGTTCTCAAACCCCATCTCATTTTCTTGGCTTTCCATTCAGCAATGGTTTCTATCAGCTATTACCTCGGTCAAGTCTTCAGTTCAGCAGTACACCAGATTTAAAATGTGGAACTCCCGATATAGACATATAATGTGTCTATAGCCAGAAAGCCTGACAAACTGAAGGATATTGTTTTCGACTGATTTACAATGACTAAAGAGAAATAAAATCCACTAGCAAAGAGCTCTCTGTGGTTAACCACTAAGCACATCATCTAAACACATATAATGGCACTGTCTGCTCAAAGGTGATTTGTGTAATTAGCTGTTTAGTGGAATTATTAGTTCCCTTTTTATTGTCATGCTAAAAAAAGTTAGCAAATGGTCACTGAGCCATTCAAATCATTGCTCACTTAAAATGGTTAAATACATAAAAAGTATGAATTGCTCACTGGCTGTGCAGTAACTAGTATTAATGACTGCTTAGTAAGGGTTTCTAGTCTTTAGTTTAGCCAGTTCAGCCATGAAATAAAGGAGCTGATCAAACCCAAGCCAGCTGGGAAAACTGATGCTTTTTTTTTTTCATTCCTCTTATTCTTACATTGAGTGCAGAGCATGTAATTAGACTTTTCTTTTAGTTTCATTCAGCTGTCATCCGTTTTGGAAATAACTGTTATAGCCTACATGATTTTAATGAAAAGCACTGTGTTAAATTCAAGAGAAATGCAGCATGGAAGCATTTTCACTAGCAGTCTCATACTTATGTCCCCCACTGTGTGTGTGTGAGTGTGTGTGTGTGTGTGTGTGTGTGTGTGTGTGTGTGTGTGAGTGGATATATGCTGTTTGGACCTCTGTCTTTCTCACTGTATATCTATATCATTAGCTAAAAGTTTTTTTTTTGTTTGTTCGTTTTTATTATATTTATTAAATAATATGATTATGGCTATAATTCTTGCATATTTTACACATTTGCATATTTATCATTCATATTTTCTTAATTTTAAAGTTCCAAAAGCATCTTTAAAACAGATTTAACAGTGTCTAGTATACTTTTATTAATTTGTAGATTTTTTTTTAGTTTTTAGTAGATATTTCATGCAATGTGTTGTAATGTGTGTATAGAAATAATGGTGTATCCATCACTACAACTTTTTTTTTTTTACTACTACAACAACAACAACAACAACAACAACAACAACAACAACAACTACTACTACTACTACTACTACTACTAATAATAATAATAATAATAATAATCATAAACGCAGCTCAGTGTCTTGGACTAATGTTCTAGCACAAGCTTAAGGATATGTGTCTAACTATACCTGCACAGTATGTGGGAATTGGGATTGATACAGCTGGCTTGACAAGTCTGTAGACGTAGTGATTTCCTGGACAGGCTTTGACTTGGATTGAGTTTGATCTGTAGGAATTGTATTGAGGATTCGATCCATAAACTTCTCGGGTGACGATGCCGTCCTTCAGGAGTGGATGAGGTCCTCCAAGCAAAAGTCCAGTGTAACCACCACAGAACACATAACTTGTATAAAAAACCCATTCAGGCATCTGAGCACTGCTTCCCTGAAGATACAGACGATACCAGCCGTTCCATTCAAGAAGCGTATCATCATAACCACTGAAGCCGGTGGAGACTGATCTCCAGGCATTATCAAGAACACTGGAGACATTGCAGGGGTCAGAAGTGATGTTTATTGTTGTAGCTGCTGTGAAAATAGGTGTCAGAAGAAGTAATAATAATAATAATATACTAATACTGTTTATAATAGAATAGTTCAAGTATTTTTTATTTGTATAGCAAAAATCTGACAATAGAGTCAGTGAGTTTATTAAATATAAAAAATGTTTTAAACCTTTTTGTTGAGTTTATAATACACAGTTCATGTTATACATTATTACTATGCTTCATATTATTATTATTATTATTATTATTATTATTATTACTATTAATAATAAAATAATAATAATAATAATAATAATAATAAGTTAACAAATGTTCTTGAAGTATCTTTGTTTGTTATTCTTGTAGTATTATAACATATTTTGTTCATAATATTTACCATTTCCCAATTATAAATTCATATTTCCATGTGTTTCTATGGTAATAGTTAATTGTTGTTCCTATATTAGTTCATCTTAGTTACTATGTTAGTTAATCTGTCCATGCTTTCAGTGAATGTGTCTTACAAAAAAACAGTTTTCCATTTTCCATGTGAAATATCTTTTTTACTGAAAGACACTAGGGTCTGTGGACGTGTTATTCATTCTTTATCTTAAATTTTAGGTGAAAGGTGCAAAACATGTCATATATCATCTTAAATTAACTGTAAAATATATATTCTGCATTACTCTTTTTTACCAATTGCTTTATTATTAAAGTTTGTGAAGGTTTTGTTCGGGTGTGTGTTTTTTGTATCACAGTTGTAATAGTGAACAGCCAAATTTGAGAAATCGAATTTCCTTCACATAAGGAGAAAATTATTATATAAATGTATAATAATAATAATTTATCCACAATTCCTACACTGGCAAATAAAAACTACAGTCTTTATTTAGACACTAAATTACTGAAATACTAATATAACAAAGATTCATTGGAAACCTAATACTGTTTCTAGATGAAGCTGAACTACTAATGTTTATACCTGCACTGGTCACAGTCGCTGGGGTGATGTTCAGAGTGATGGTGTTCACATCTGAATAAAGGACAAATTAAACTTATTAAAACAAACATGAAAGCCTAACATTCATTTGAAAGGTTCTGGACAAAATGTATAAAACCAACAAAATACCTGCACAGTAAGCTGCATTGCAGAAGTATGGCCTCACAAACTCATAGACATAATAGTTTCCTGGGCATGCTTTGACTCGAATTGACATGGACCAGTAATAGCAGTTACTTCCTGAATTCCCACAGACTCCACGAGTGACTATTCCATCTGCTATCTGAGGATGAAGACCATTCAGCCACAGAGTGTAATCAGTGCCACATGTGTACAGATTAACACAGCTCTCTGTCATACGGACACTCATCCCATAATACAGCAGTCGATACCAGCCATTCCAGTTGAAGTAGTTGTCACAGATCCCCAGTCTAGTTTCATTAGTGGCTCTCCAGGGTTGATCCAGAGCAGTGTAGTCATTGCAGGGATCATTAACAGTAGCTGTTGCTGAAACAAATAAAATAAGCAAGAGGCGACAGTGGTGAAGCTGTTCAAGGGTTTTCCATACTAGTTTTTCAAGAATGTGAGCTGATCATTTTATTATTTGTTTATTATGTGTTTTATGATTGTTTTATTACAGAGCTGATCCATATAGCTCCCATGAAATTGTGCATCTAATTTAAACAAATCAAATTCTGTGTACTGTTATTTTTCTACTAAATAGTTGTATAAAATATATTCAGGGCTCTTCTTATGAATATAAGTCAAATCTTTTTAGTAGTCTGTGTAGCTTTAGGCTTTACTTACCCAAATTTGTGTCACTGCTGTTTGTGATGATAGTTAGCAGGACCATAGTGACCCCTGGTGGAAAGAATAAATAACTGCTGAATCCTCACCAAAACAGCTGTATGTAAACATTTTCTACTGGAAGTCAAAGTGTTGACTGTCTTGTGGAGTTTATCTCACCACAGCCCATCTGTCACGATAAATGCTGTGATCAGTCACATGGTTTGTATTGGTAACTTTTAGTGGATTCATTTTTAGGCAACATTTGTATTCTATATTATATTGAGTTTGCAGTAAGCATGCTGAATAGGACTGTCATGATTACTCATAATCTTGATTACTTGATTAAAAAGTATAAATTAAAAAATGAATGTATCAGCTTTAATTTGTGATTTTAATGGTGATAATGCATTTTAAATTCTCCCAGTGCTTCTCTAGTGGTGTGTCTTACAACAAAATTGTGTAGGATATGTGACAACAACGGAAAACCTCAAAAGGTTGGGATCATTGCAAACTTAACACAAAACACACACAGCAAAAAAATCTGTATAGTGTGTCTATTTAAAAACCTGACTAACATACCGCTATAGCACAATGTCTATGCTTCAGCATCAGCAGAAACATCCAGTCTATGCATCTAGACTGACACATGCTAATGTTAACGTTAGCATTCAACATAAATCAATATGTTTGCTAGTCGAGATGAAGGCTAGTAATTAATGTCCATTAAATATGGCTATGGAGAATTAAGAACGTAAACCAATACGGTGGCTAGTTATGATGTCCCTAAGCTAATTGAGCTTCATTCATATTATTCTTTTGAAGACAGTCTCACACATGAACACACACAAGAACATGCACCCCTCACACACAGTGGTGCATAAAATACCCCAGAAAGCTAAATATCAGGTGGTGTAAGAAGCAACTGGAGCCTGAAATTGTTCAATCCAATACAGCAGGTATATTCAGATCAGTTGCAGTGAGAAGAGTCAGCAGGTGTAGAGCAACCCTACAAGTCTTATGAACTTACTCTCTGATATTTAGACCATAAATATATAGTAACTGTTATTTGACAATTTTTCTAGTAAATCACAGAGTCTTATCCAATTCAATTCAATTCTACTTGGCAAGAGTTCACAGACTGCATTTCGAACATGATTGTCACAGACAAGCACCTGCTGTCCATGGCGGAAGTTTTTAAATAATTAATATGAAAAAAGACTTTCAAAGGATGATTTCTACTTTCAATCCCAGGTACACACATCTTTCAAGAACCTACTCCATGAAAATGATGGAGTCTGAACAGTGGAACCTTATTGAGGAGCGAGTCAGGCCTTTTGTAGCCATTTGAAAGAGCTATGGTGTTTCTGAGTGGGAACATTATGTTACCCTCTCTGCACTTCCACAGCTGGTGCAAAGCCTACAGAAATCCATACAGAGTTCAGGTTTTGAGACTGCACAGGTAGGATTATATTACGCTTATGAGGAAGTACAGATCACAAGAAGATGGCAATGACTTTCTGTTTTCACCTAAATCTCCAAACACAGCTCTAACTGCTGCTGGTCTGTGTCCCAGGTTTAGAAAACTTTAGTTCCTGCCTGCTGATGAAGCATTCAAGGTCTGGAACCCCACAGTACAAACCATGGCACTTGCTGCCAAAAAGGAAGCGAGGCAGCTCAACGTAAGAGAAAATATAGCCTCCAGCACAGTAATGCACAGTAATGAACTGTTTCTCAACAACATACTGGGATCATCATCAGACACCAGCCCCAGTGATGAAGACAATGAGGAACAGCAGTTAAACAAAACTCTGCAGAAGGAAGTATTTAGGTATTTCGAAGAATATTTCCTGTCCAAGAAGTAGAAGCTGCTGTCATGGTGGAAAATTACAGAAAAATACAAATATAGTTCTCTATCAAATGCTGGAAAAAGCTAGCAAAGTCCATCCTGTGTATTTCAGCAAAACCCAACACACATCAGAGCATTTGTTTTCTGCTACAGGAAACAGCATTAAAGCACAAGTCAAGCCTCAGTTCTGAGCATAGATACACTTACTTTTTTCACTGCAACCATCACACGCTAATTTAAAGGCTTACACACACACACACATCATATCTAACTACAGCTTAACTAGTGCTTATAAAAGTCCTTATGTGGATAATGTAGATGACATGCAGGCAGATAAACAGTACTAAGATCCATGAGGAAAACACCAAAACAAGGTAACAAAGGGCACTGCTAAGAATATGAACTGATAAACTATGAAACACAAAGTCTAAACTAACACAAAGAAAGTGCAAGCAGAGAAACAAGAACACAAAGATCATAAACTTAAACCAGAAACATGCAACAATGCTGGCTGGAGAACAAAGGAAACACAGGGGTACATATACTAACATAGAAGACAAGGAACACCTAAGACTAATGAGAGGGTGGGGCTAGGAAACAAGGAACAGGTGAAGGTTGAAGTAAGGGGAGGACAGAGGAGGAGCTAACACAACAAATGTACATGGCACTAGAAAACAAAGGCACATGGTAGACATAAACAAAAGCACATAACACAAGGAAACAAGAAAACAAAGGCAAAACCAGAGCATCGCTTTGGTTAAGGTCAATGTACACAATTCTACAATAAGCCAGACACTGGGCAAAAATGGCATCCACTGGAGAGGTGCAAGGCACAAACCACTGCTGACCAAAAGAACACAAGGGCTCATCTCACATTTGCCAAAACCATCTAGATCACCCCCAAGACTTTAGGATAATATTCTGTGGACTGATGAATCAAAGGTGGAGCTTTTTTAGAAGACATAAGTCCCTTTACATGTGACATAAGGCTAACACCACATTCCACAATAGGAACATCATATCAACAGTCAAACATGGTGGTGGTAGTGTGATGGTCTGGGGCTGCTTTGTTTCTGTAGGACCTGGACGACTTGCCATAATTGATGGAACCATGAATTCTGCTATCTATCAGAAAATCCTGAAGGAGAATGTCCGCCCATCAGTTTGTGACTCAAGTGCTCAAGTGCCGAAGCTCAAGTGCAGTTGAGTCATGCAGCAGGATAATGATCCAAAGCACAACAAGCAATTCCAGCTCTGAATGGCTCAAAAGAAACAAAATTAAGGTTTTGGATTGGCCGAGTCAAAGTCCTGACTTGAATCCCATTGAGGTGCTGTGGCAGGACCTTAAATGGGCAGTTCATGCTGGAAAACCCTCCAATGTAGCCAAATTAAAACCATTCTGCAAAGAATAGTGGGCCAAAATTCATCCCCAGCAATGTAAAGTAATCACAAATGTTTGTAGTTGTTACTGCCAAGGGTGGTACAACCAGTTCTTAGGTTTAGGGGGCAATTATTTTTTCTCATAGATGAAGTAGGTTTTAAATAAATCCTTATGTTCAATAAATCGAATGATCATTTAAAAGCTGCATTTTTTGTTTACTCATGTCGTCTTTGTCTTACATTTGTCATGCTACTTGTTTCCTCCGAAGTCTCCAATCAACCTGTAAACTCCAACTCCCATAATTCATTTGGTTCTGATGTCATATTCACAAGCTCAAGATCAAGCAATCACAACCAGTTACACCAATCCTCTTCCCCTGAGTTCTAACTGCCTTCACCGGTTCTCATTATCTCTGTTTGCATATGTGTCTGTTCAGTTTCAGATGCTTTTTGTGAAGTATTACCATTGGACTGCTGTTTTGCACACAGAGCATTTTTCCTGTTCATGCCTCTCATGTTATTTGACCCTTATTGTCCCTTGTTTGCTCTCCTGGAGTCTGCCTTTGACTTTGGTATTGTATTATTGCTTTCTCTGGCCTTTAACCCTTGCTTGTTCATTATGCTGTCTGGTTCCCCATTGTACCTGTTTATTGCCCTCACGGTTCTGACCTGACCTGGGTTATTGACTACTCTTTGGTTTGCCCTGTTGTAAATAAAGCCCACTTATTTCACTTCCACAAGCATCTGGCTTGTCTGCATAACTTGACAATATTAAAATAAGTGGGATGTTCTGAAACATTTAGATTTGAGACAACATTTATATCAAATGTTTCTAGACACAAATAGGGAGAGCTTGGGTTATCTTTCTTGGGTAGCTGAGGGGTCAGTAAGAAAAAGTGTAAAGTATGAAGAGAACGAATGGATCAAGCTGAACGAATCTCTGTCACTTAACTGGTTTTGAATTCTCAGAACAAGTTTTTTACAGTTCAAGTTCTCAATTATATTTGTTGTACGTATGTTTATACACAGACAACAGGTGTTTCAAACTGGGTAATGCTAATGTTTTCAAATCTGGTTCTATATCTTAATACAATTTAATTACAAAGACTTTTGTCTATATCAAGTGTTATTCTTTTAAAATTTACCACAAGTACACTGAACACATCTCATCGCATGCGTTTTATTCACGCTATACTTTTCGTTGACAAAAAACACAACTGCATTACTGTTTTATAAATCATCAGTGTATATACACATGATTTATTTAGATCTGACATAATATATGACATAAAAAGAATACACAATACTGCTTACAGCAAAGTGAATAGAAACTTTGAACTTGCTTTCTATTAGGTTGTATTTCATACCAGTTCTTTTTCAAAATGAATGAAAAGATTTTGGAAAGAGGTTGTACTCCACTGAATTTTCATCCAGTTTCATTGTTAAGACATAACACTAACCAGTGTTGTGATGAAAGTAAACAGGTAGTGACTTTAAGCTCTCAGCACACAAACTTTTAGGCTTTGCTCTGTTGTCAGGATGTCACATATTTCTGCCAATACCACATCCCAGAAAGGTCACTGATTATTGGTATATTATCAACAATACCTTTATTGAAATTGCTCAATAATGGCTGATACAAGCCAACCAACATAGTGGTTGGTTTCTAATGTAGGATATAAAATATTTTTCTTTTTTGAGTTGAAGGATTTTTAAGGACAAAACTGTAAAATTATGGAATGTTCTGTATATGAAGTGAAGGAGTATTCCTATACACAGAATATGTGCTGCAATTTAACAGAATTTTAACAGAATTGTGTCTTAATTTTACAGAAAATGTATGAATCAAATTTACAGACTACATTACTAGACTGAAAATTCGGCTGAAACATTTTGCAGAACTGGTAGTGGTGATGCTTTGTAAATAAAAGCCAAAACAAGAAATGGCTAAAAAGGAGAGGTTGGGGCTGATCTTGGCTAGAGGGAAAGGGCTGCATGGAATGACCATTCTCCAAAGTGAATTTGAGGTCAGTAGGCTAGTTTTTCTGTCCATTGTGTCGTAGCTAGCTTTGCTATTTCACTGCAGGTCTAAGTGAACTGATGGCTAATCCAAAATAATAATGTAAGCTAATATTTTTAAATTTTCATTGATAATCTCTGTCTCTCGCACGTCATTCCACACCACTCCTTACTGGTTGTTTTTAGATGTGTTGTAGAAGCCATTGCATTGAGAGATTTTGGACCAAACATTCTGACACTGCCAGAACTTTATTACAGACTATCTTTGGTTTCAGAGCCAGTAAATCGGCAGTTGTGGAGCATGTCACCTTAAATATTCGAAGACCACTGATTTTAACTCAGAAAATCAAACATCAAAGAAGTCTTTCATGATTTACAGTCCTTGTCTGTGACAGTATTACTGTGATGATTACTGCACAGAGTAAACCTGCATTAAAACACGACCACAGCTAATTGACTGGGTGATGGCCAAATTTTTCAGTTTTTTACCATGGCTAGTAGCACCAGAAAGAAGGAAATCTGTACTTCTAATCCATGAAGTGTACACAGAGCTTTGTTACACTAAAACTCACTCATACTAGAAATTTAATTTTCTACCATCTGAACTAAGATAAGCCACAATTATTGATCCACTTACATGGGAAATTGAATGTTTTACTGCCTTACACTGCCAGTCTACAAACAACAGAGAGGCACTGCATTAAGTGTCCTACCCAATGGTGCACCAAGAAAGTCCTGGGATTTGAAACTGTGTCCTTCCCGTTCCAGCCTCACATTTCTCACCACTAATCTACTGGCCACAAGTCTGTGGTCTCCAAATAGTCAATTCTTCACCAGGGTGGTGTGCAGAAGTATTAAGCTTTCTCAGCATTTGCACTTACAATGCTTATTCAGACAGCTATTAAATCACTATCTACGCAATAGGTAAATGTATCAGTGTATCAAAGGGTTTCATGTAGTAATATGATTTTAAAAGAATATTAAGCAGTGTTTTATAAGCAAACAGCACTATTAAACAGAACCTGACAAATGTATAATAATACATTTTTGAAGCATGACATTTACACTGTTCTAGATACCCCTTCCTATATACTCAGAGAAAATAAAGCAATACTCACTTGTCCAAAGGTGTATTATATTTCTATCCATTGTTAATAACATTTGCAGAAAAGAATATATTCTTATTTGCAGATAACAGGTTCAAAATATGCCTTCTGTCATTTCCAGGATTAGAAATGTTTCTTATCAAATGTCTTTTATTTGCATTTTTTTGTCTGTTAAAGGCTGGTGGGGTTCAGTTTGTCAGGCAGCCAATCAGCTTTTCCATAAACAAACAATGTGGTTTTGAAAATGTGTTAATTCCCTGCTGGTTTGAGGCACCTTTTGAACAGAGGGCTGTGTTCTATGATGAATATGACATCAACAAATGGAAACAGGAGGCTTGCTCTCCAATTACTATCAAAACATGATTAATTTAGACACATAGTGATGTGTCTGTAAAGACCAGCCATAGACCCCTACCACATTGCAGGGCTTTCCTGTGGAGAGGCCAATTCCTGTCCTCAAGGACATTTACTTTACAAACGTACTGTTTGCCACTTTCCGTACCTAGAATAAGGACTTTTTGTCATTATTGTATATCCTTAATGCCCACAATGCCATCAGGTACATCAAATGTATAACTAAACAAAGTTGTACTAACTTTACAGCTTTACACACATCTGGCACCAAGTTTGTTCTACTTAGGACACAGATTACTGAATGTACTGAAGCCACATACCCTGTGCGTCATGCTAGCTTTTACTGATCTCTTTTTTTACTGAGGTAACATTAAAGGATGTATACCTGAATAAGAACACTGACTTGCTTGCTCAGAGAAAAGTGATAGAAAATACTGTGGGATTTGGTAAAGTCAAATAACCATGCCCCTATTACAATGCAAGGAACTATGTAATCACTGTTAATTACTGTCTGTATAAAGAGTAGTTACCTCGTTCAGAATATGGAAATAAGGTCTATTACAGCATGTAGTTGACTCATGTAACAACATGTCTAATTTCCACAACTTATTCACAAATCACAAACATTTACAAAAGTCAGACGCAAATAAAAACACAGCAGACTTTGTGCTATAACTTTTTCAATATGACTCTGCATATTTCTCTGTAAATTTGAAAGAATTTGCACAAACAAGTTGGAAATTAAAATGACCACTGGGGTTAAGATTGAAGTCTGGGGGAGGTTCTGTGGCCATACAGTCAGGTCCAAAAATATTTGTTATTGTTACTTTAGCAGTCCACCACAACATAGTGCAGTTGAATATGGAAAACTTGCAGGTTTAATTTGATGTTATGTACATCCAAATCAGACGAACAGTGTAGGAATTACAACCATTTTCATACATTTTCTTTAGCTTCTGTAACAATATTTTTTTTTTTTTACTTCTTATGATTGTTGTTTTTCAGAAAATGGGAAAATTTGCCTTCTGATTGAAACTTGACAGATTTTGTGCTAAAATGCCTTGATTAATTCAATGTTTTCATGGGTCAAAATATTGAAAGTCCATGTGATATGACAATTTGTGCAACGTTAAAAGTAACTGAGCTCTTTAATCTGCCCCATTCTACTGCCACTGTTTGTCTGTGGAGGTTACATAGTTATATGCTTGATTAACAAATAGGAAACAACAGAATAAAGCACTGATGCTAATCGTGTGGCATGTGTATGCATGCATGTTTTGGTTGGGTGGTGGGTGTTTGTTTAGGGGAGGAGGGGGGCAGGATGCATAAATACATCTCTATGTTTGGCTTCTGGGCTTTTTGCATATACACAGCCGGGCTGTCTGGAGAACAAGAACCTCTATGTGTATGCTTCCTGACACATCTCAAAACCATATCAAAATGAGGACAGCTCACCTTAACTGAAACTTTTTTTTTGTTTGTTTGTTCGTTTTCTTTTTTTTTGTTGTGAGAGCAGGCCTTCACAGGCTATGCTGGTGAAAACAGGTTACTTGCTACTGTCACCTTGGCTTCCTTATGGGTGTTTGGACCCACATTTTCTGTTAAGCTGCTTTGTGACAATGTCTGCTCTAAAAAGCACTATATAAATAAACTGTGACTTGACTTGTTAGAAAATGTTAGAAACTTGTTAGAAACTTCCACGTTTAATTTGAGGGTATTTACATCCAAATCAGGTGAACAGTGGAGGAATTACATCCATTTTCATACATAGTACCGTCTGAAGTCTGGAACTCATTGACACCACCAACACTGGGTTTCGTCCATGGTGATACTCTGCCAGACATCACCAAGTATCTTCAGTTTACTGCAGGTATATTAATTTCCTGCTTGTTTTGGGGGAGTTTGCCTTCAGTATGTGAAAAGAATGCAGGCAGTGTAGCCCTGTACACTCTAGAAATTGTCATGCTGCTTTTGTCAGCAGTCAAATGACCAAGAAATACAAGGAACTAGTTCCATTGGCACACATACATGCCCATGCAATAAAACTACTTCCACCATGCTTGACAGATGAGGTGCTGTAGCTTATGAACACTTGCTTCTCATTTCTAACCTCATCTCCTCTTTTTTGGTACAAGTTCTGGTACAATTATTTGCCTTATCTGTCCATAAGACGATTCAGAAATGAACAATGAATTTTTTATCTTCTGTTTTTCCTGTTTGATTGGGTGATTGATTAACAAATAGGAAAAAAACTGAATAAAGCACTGATGCTAATCATGTGGCATGTGTGTGTATGCAGGTATTGGTTGGGTGGTGGGTGTTTGTTCAGGGGAGGAGGGGGCAGCATGTATGAATATATTTCTGTGTTTAGCTGCTGGGCTTTTTGCATATATACAGCTGCTCTGTCTGGAGAACAAGAGCCTCTATGTGAATGCTTCCTGACATATCTCAAAACCATATCAAAACAACGACAGGTCAGCTTAACTGAACCTTTTTTTGCTTGTTTGTTTTTTTGTTGCTATGCTGGTGAAAACAGGTTATCTTATAACACACCAAGTGCTTTTAGGAAGTTTTCCTTGCTACTGTTGCCCCTGTCTTTCACTTGGGGGTTTGGACCCAGATTTTCTGTTAAGCTGCTTTGTGACCATGTCTGCTCTAAAAAACACTATATAAATAAACTGTGACTTGACTTGTTAGAAATGATGTATCAGTCAGAAAAAGAGGCAAACAATTCAAGAACTGAATTTAAACCAACAACTTACATATATTACTTCATGAGTTTTTGCTCCAAAATTAAGATATGCATGATTTATTAGTGTCAACTGAAATAAATAGTTTGTTCCATTCTTTTTTCTTACTGCAGCTCCTGTTAACTCCACCACTGAAGGCATGACCCACTTGCTGCGTCCGCCTCTGCACAACTTCCTACTCTTATTGTTTCAGTAGATCGAGTGAGGAGAAAAACTACTGGGTTCTGAAGGCCTGCACTATCCAGTCCTGCTAGCTAGCTTCATAAACTTGGATGTGGGATTAAGATCAGATTTATGCTGAAGAGCAACAGCTGTCAGAACATACTGATGTACAGAGTGACTTAAATGAGCTCTGGTCATTCTATTTTCAATCAGGACAGGAATATGATAAGTTACAGGTGCCATTTACCCCAACTTGTTTTGAAATTTTTCATGAATTTTATGAAAACAACAGCGGGGACCCTGGAGTTATCAAATCTCGCCATTATCAACGGTGGGATGGAATAGCTTGGCTTTGCGTGGCCTTTGCAGCTATTTTGGTGGTATGTTATGTGCTATTTCTACCAGGTGTTTAATAAAAACACTCGCAGCAAAAATCATGGCCTCCCCTGTGTCCCTGACACCACAACACAGGCAGGGTAAATAGTTACAGATAAATACAGAATTTAGCCAAGATTGTTCCAAAACATAGTAGCAAAGAGGGGCATTCTGTGACAGTTATTACATCACAAACAGTAATTTTGTATAACACTTTGTATAATACTTAATTACAACACTGAACCATAGGAATTGGGCATTTACACTTTATTCTAGTTTTAACTTAAAGCATTGGATGCTTTCTTACACAAAGATTATTTTAAAAGAAAGACAACTTGAGGAAACCAACATCCCAGTAAACAGAAGAAACAAAGCTGTATTCTTACTGACCAGCCCCACAGCTAATAAACTAAGTATGCTGATGTTTTTAGTCTATACTATGTCTGGTAACAGTACAAAAAAGAAGAACTTGTATATTGTATTGATACATGCCCCTGTGATGTTATCTAGGAGTAAAGGGGAAGTAACTTGTAGCATGTGATGAGACACAGACAACAGGAGTAAACCTTTAAAGGTTTTGTGAAGTGAAGTGTTTCAGTGAAATGCAGTAACTATATTTTAATTCAATGTTCCATAATTTGGAACCGCAAGAAGTGGGGAGTGAGTTAGTCCCTTATTGTTATGTATGCATGTGTGTGGGTCCGTGTGGGTGTTATGTATGTGCGTATGTGGGTCCGTGGGAGTTAAGGAATCTGACGGCTTGTGGAAAGAAACCGTTGCACATTCTGGCTGTGAGGGCCCGAATGATGCGGTACCTTCTTCCAGATGGCAGAAGAGAGAACAGTTCACGTGAGGGGTGTGTGGGGTCAGTCACAATGCTACTGGCTTTTCGGATGCAGTGTGTGGTGTAAATGTCTGTGATGGAGGGGAGAGAGACAGGACGATAGTCATTGAGGCAAGACACTGGGGATTTCTTCAGCACAGGGACAATGGTGGTGGCCTTAAAGCATGCTGGAATAACAGTGCTGCTTAGCAAGATGTTAAAGATGTCCATAGGAACTCCCGCTAGCTGGTCCTCACTGCGCTTCATCCAGTCGTCCAGGGGCCCTGGGACCACAGGCTTAAGGAGGGAGATATGGAAAGAGGGTGAGATGCTAAATTGTGTGGGTAAATGAAGCCGGTAAGTGACATCATTTATTTGTTTAACATGTAACCATTTGCCTAGAGAACCCACTAGGTAATTAGCTACAAAACAAATGAGGGGGATACTATCCGGGATGATGTAAATGCTATGGTGTTTAAGGATATATATAGAGGCAGCCAAAAAAGGTGAGTATGCTGACCAACAGAACCACAATGAAACAGGAAGTATCTGAGACAATTTTTATCTAAATGTAGAAAAACACAATAGAGGATAATAGAGAAAAAAGAAATATAACCCAACAATAACCCTACAAACAAACCAGCACAAAAACAAACCCCTCCCCAACCAATCCAACACTCACACACAGTCTTTCGAAAAAACAAATGTCCATAAGCTATTTAGCATGGGTTTTGGTTTTGGGTGATCCTTAAAGAGGAAAATAGTTTGGTCCCACCAGTCTATAGCAGTCCATGGAGATTGCAGCTTGTAGGAGACGTAGGCTCAACAGGACAGATGTAACCTGGGGTGAAGCAATGAACCAAGACTCAGCAAGCCTTCAAATAGTCCTCAGTTTCTCCCAACAACAGCCACAGCATTTGTGCAGTATACAATCTCCTTCTGCATAAGAGGGTAAAGTGAGTTCCCAACCACCATACTTTTAGCATGTTAGCATTAGCATGTTGGCATTAGCATGTTAGCATTAGCATGTTAGCACTAGCATTAGCATGTTAGCACGACTTGGTTTCCCATAAACATATGGACAGGAAACAATACATCCTTTTAGACATTCCAAAAAAGAAAGAAAAGGAAAGAAAATACTTACATTGAGCCTGAAACGCTAGGTTTCTCAAAAAGGAGATTAGCCAGCAGAGAGAACATGTGCCTGAAGGTCAGCTCTCTACTACTTCCTCCCTGGCTTCCTCTATTTATACACCTGAACAGGGCAACCTCCCTACAGCCCTCTAGGATAGGAGGAGGAATGTCCCGAAAAACACTATCTGGCATAAGAATACCTGATACTGGTAAACAGGATAGTTACAAACAATCTGGAATGGACCGATGTATTTTGGCTGCAACTTACAACAACCCCAAACCTGATGTCCTGAGTGGAGAGCCAAACCTGGTCTCCAGGCTGAAGGGATGGGGTCTCCCCGACACCAATCTGCTTTTTGTTGAGCATGCTGCAGGGCCACCTCAATGTTGCAGTGGGTCTGTTCCCAGATCTCCCCACTGCGCTTCATCCAGTTGTCTACAGATGTGATATCTGAGGGAGTAGCAGTCCAAGGGGTGAGCAGAAGTTGATAACCTAAGGCACACTGGAATGGGGTCATACGAGTGGCACGAAGGAACTTGCCTAACTCTTGATTCACCTGCCCACATCGTCCATTAGACTGTGGGTGATACCCAGAAGTGAATCTAACATTGTTAGGCAAGGCAGTTGCCAGATGGGCCCGAGTGTGTCCCATTGGTGCATCATTAAGTACAACATACAACAACAAATGCCCTGGACTGGCTTTCAAAACTAGATCAGTTGGTGTCTTAAACGATTAAATGATTAAGACGATCAAACGATTAAATGATTAAGTACTATTAGAAGGAAAGGTGATAGAGGAGCTTGTTGCAGGCATCAAATTTGGAATGAGTGTACAAAAAATATGAACAATAAAGTTCATAAAGTACAACATTCCAACCATGAACATCATCACTTTAGGACTGCAATATCCCAGCCATGGTTCCCTATCCTGAACTATAAATATGCTGTGTATGTCTATTTTATCTTATACTATTTTTAAAAATATATTTCTTCTTTTGATTTGGGCAGCTTGTAGTGAAGTGCACACTGAATCTGTACAAAGACAAATATATTTGTATGTGTAATTACCATGTTTTTGTATGGTTTTCAGTTTATTATAGGTTGAACAGAGTAAACCATACTTCCAGTAGAAAATTTAAGAAACTGTAGTTTACAAATTACAAAAAAGTATTCAAACAAAGAACAGATATAAATGAACAAAACAACACTAAACAAAAAGTACGTTATGTTTGGATGTTCTGATCTTATTATCGAAATGCTGTTTTAATTAGTGTGTAGATGTCGGGTTTTCCATCACATCTCTCAATGCTGAGGGTTTGAAGCAGCAGCAAAGTGTGTTCAGCCACTTCCTGTACTGCTTTCTGACCTGAAAGTACATGATAGAATCAGGTAGTTAAAAACACTAAAAGAGAGTGACAGCACTGAAACTCAACAACGTAAACATTAATAGTCAAAAAGTATTTTTTTCTTCCAAGCCTTGATTTTCTTCCAAGCTGGAATTACAGGAAATGCATGCAGATCATTGCACATGTCTGAGTGCCGTTTGATCTCAGGGCATGCCAAAAATGTCTGGCCAACAATTTAGATATTTATGAATAAAAATTGGAATGGATACTGACCACTGTGCTAACAGAAAGAGTTAAAGTGCATAGAGGTGTTACGTTTGCTTTTTATCCAGAACATACAATATGCACCTAAGCTGAGTGTGTTCACCTCCTGAGTCACCATTTATATTGTTAAAGAACTCCAGTATACATAGACTTGGAAATTGATGCTTATGCACTCACACATTTAATCAACTTTTGAGACATTGCTGTTCACAGAGGCCAGTATCTGGCATTGCCACAATGCTGGTTAGTCCCAAATCAACCATATTCAGTTACCAAGTTGCTTAGAAAGGCTTTAAAAGATTTATGGATTTTAAAGGGCTCGCAAAATTCTCTCTGGATGTTGGACTGGACGCAACAACGCCATTGTGTATGGTAACTGTTTGTTATTATTTAAGTTGCCACGATTAATTCTGTGGGAGTGAGTGAGGTGCCAATTCAATGCACTAAAACAAGATCTCTACCCATGACATGTCCAAATGATCATAACATTTCTCTTATCAATCATTTTGTTATTATGCCAAATTCCCCATTCAAGCTATTGGTTAGCGACATTATGTTTAAACTTCACCATCTCCTTTAACAGTACTAAAATGCTGTTGCATGACACAGAGGGCACAAATTCTTAATTTTCAGTCACCTTTGAGCCTGTGTGTGAGCCCCTTTCCATTCCCAAACACTTTAGCTCGGCCCCCTATATACTATGGGCCGACCACAAAGACCAGGTGGGTCTCCTAAATTGTGATCCCTACAAGGCTCAAACATCTACCACTAAACCTGTCTGTTGCAAGCAATGAAAATGGTATTGGAGGGGTAATTCAATCTTTACTTGAGCAGGGAGTTATTGTATCCACTGTCTCACCCTACAATACTCCAGTTAACCCCATGCCAAAACCAGAAGGGCGAGGCTGGTGCTTCACACAAGATTTGAAAAGGGTTAACCATGTTGTTATCCCTCACACACCTATTGTCCCTGATGTGTGCATTCTGGTACACCCTAAGTCACAGCCTTTATCTGCCATCACATTTAGAGGTAAAGAACACACATGGACTAGGTTGCCACAGGGCTTTGTCGATTCACCCATGGTTTTTACCATAGCTGTGCATGATTCACTCTCTATTCTGTCACTGCCTGAAGATTGTACTGTTTTACAATATGCTGATGACCTGTTGATCAAGACAAAAAGATGAATCCACCTGCGCTGAGGGCTCTTTGCTGTTGCTACACCATCTGACACAACGGGGGGCAAACAATGACTCTCAGACAAAAGATGAAATCTCATCCATTCTTTCAGTCCACCCATGGCGAAGAGGGGCATGCTAGCCTTTCTAGGACTTATGAATTACTGTTGTGCACCCCAGCCTGCTCTTAATCCGACAAGGTGCCCAAGCCTACCGTATTCACTCAGAAATACATCAAGCCTTTCAGACTCTTAAGAGCTTGCACTGCTTTGCTCCAGCCCTGGGACTACTGGACTATCAGAACCCTTTTAATTTCTATGCACATGAACATGCTGGTGTTAGCACAGCAGAATGGCCCTTGGTATCACCCTGTGGTATACTTTTCAAAGACCTTGGATGTTGTAGCTCAGAGACTGCCTGGTTGTCTGAGGGCTGAAAACATCATTCTTTTTCACCCTTTAACCCTATACACATCACATTAGGTACAAACGGTGCACAACACCCATTTAACACACCATATGAGTGCACAGTAGCGATGTGGGTACGAAAATGTTTTGATAAGAAGTTCTAATCTCACAATCAAATTTTCTTCTTACCATACCTGACTCTGAATTTTTAGCAGTTGATCATAACTGTGTTGATGAAATTATAAAGGATTTTGCTTGTCGTTCTGACATGGAGGTTTACGTAGATGGCTTATGTTTCAAATCATGTTATTGTGTATATTTGGGTAGGTACTCCATGTGTGCACTTCTTAATTTAATTCTTGAAACTCACTCTCCCTTCCCGTACTAAACGTTCAACCTGTATACCTTGTTCGGCAATAAGTGTTGTACTTCCATTCCAAATAACACTGCTCCTGATGGTATGTTTACTCAGGTCTTAACTAAGCTGACGTTTTTTCTAATGAACTGAAGCCCAATGCAAAGTTCAATAATTGGCTTATGTAAGTATCTGGAAAACTTACTCGCCACACTTCAAGTAGAGAAACCTTGTTTGTTGCCTTCTACAGTTGTGACTCCATGTGTGTATGATGGGGAGGAAGCCTGTGATGGTTTTGTCATGAAGTGCACTGTTATTTTCAGCAGTTAACTTGCCCTACCCCTCTGGACTATATCAGGGTGCATTTTTAAGAGGAAAAGGTAAGATAAGAGATTCTCTTTAGATAAGAGAGCAAAAATGGTAAAGATTTTGGAGGAATTTTAATTTTCAAGCACAGCTTTTCCAGCCTGTGGCTCCTCCTGAGGCCTCTGAGGATGTCGATGCAGCAGGCCTGCCTGGCCCTGAGGATATCGCAGTAAGCTTGCCAGCACTAGAAGACAACAATGCAGATTGGCCTGCCTCTGTGAATGTCAGTGCAGCCCCAATACTGCCCTGTGCTCTGGAGAGCACCTGCCAGTTGGCACCTTTCCTCACAACATTGTCTTGTGGCCCGGAGAGCACCTTTAAGCTGACACTCAGGCTTGAAGTGCACCCTAGTGCATCTGAGGGTGATGCAGACTTCCATGCCTCTGAAGATATCAATGCAGGGCCACCAGAGACCATGAACCTGTCAGTCTCTGATACTGACGAGCACTCTCCAGTACTGACTACAGTCCCCTTTGACTGCAAAGCTAAAATGGGTTGCATCCCTGGTCTTTTACCCTGACCTGGCTCCTGTTCTGCCTATGGCCTCCATATCTCCTGACCTGCCTGTAGCCTCCAAGTCTACCTTACCAGCTGCCAAGTGCCCTTCTCAGTCAGTGATGGTCCCTGAAATTGTACCCCAAACTGCTACTGTGCTGGTTTCCCAAACTGCTCCAAAGCCAGCCTCCAAGTCCCCTAATCTGCTGGCCTCTAAAACCCCTGACCTACTGGACTGAGTTTCCTGACTCATTGAACTCTGTTGCCGGTCTCACAGCACCACCCCGTGATCTGGAGAGCATTGGCCCATTGATGTTTGCCCTCAACGCTCTGCCCAGTGCCATACAGAGCACTGGCCAGCAGATGCCTGCTCTCATCATGCCATGAAGAACTACCTTCTCCATGGTGGCTCCCTTAGCCCCTTCTCCAGTGATAGCTAAGTAAGGTACCTCATCTGTGGTGGCTTCCAAAGGCGTTCCAGTTCCTGAACTCCAGACAGTTCCTCTTCCTGCTCCCTGGGCAGCTACAGTCCCTGCATAGGCCTCCCAGCACACTGTTCCAGTGCATGTTCCACACCCAGCCTTCTGCTTAGCTGGCCACCGAGCCAACTGCTCAGTCAGCCATCAACATCTCAGTTCCTGTTTCAACCTTAATGTTCATACCAGTCCCTGTTAATCTCCTTGCTATAGTCCCTGTCACTGTCTTTGTTATGATGTCCATTCATTTTATTGATCAGTCTTCAGCCCAGTCTTGTGCCGTCATCTGCCCAGTCTGGTGTCTGGAAGATATTCTGTCTCACCCCCATCAGTTCTTCTGTCTAGTCTTCTGTCCACTAAATTCTGTCCATGTCCAATCATTTCTTCAGTCTCTTGTTCTGTTCCATGTCCAACCTCCTGTCTTATCCACCTTCTCATTCAATCAACTGTCTTTTCCCTCATCAAGTCCCACGTCCAGATGCCTGGTTAGCCTCCCTGTCACCTGTTCGCTCCCCATTCAGTCATCTGTCCAGTCCTCTGTCTGCTCCCCCATCCAATCTCCTGTCCTGTTTCCTGTTCAGTACCCTATCCAGTTCTGTAGTTCTGTTTCTGAACTCTCCTCTAGGTCAGCTCCTTTGGGTTTTGTTTCTGTGCCTCAGGAGCTGCATGTTAGAGAGGGGGCTTCTGTACTGTCCTTGCTCTGAATCTGTCAGTGTCTGATTTGATTACCTTCCCTCTTGTGTCTAGGCATGTGCTTCTCTTTTTGTTTTCCCTTTGTTTCCAATGTTAGAATGTGAAAATAAGAAGTGTGCTGCTTGTTACCTTATTCGTTTGATTTGGCAATATTCACTGCTCAGTGGTTTTTCTAAGAGTGATTTATGATGATGATAATGATGATGATGAAGTTGGACCTCTAAATGCAGGAAATAATCAATACTCACAACCATGTTTCCAAAAAAGTTGGGAACCTCTGCAAAACTAAAATTAATTACATGATTCAAGTGTATACATCTTGTGCACTTTATTTAAGTTGATTGGAGAACCTGCCAGAAAGACAATCATTTCTGCAGCACCACTTTTGGGTCTTTGATTGATTAGTTACTTTTTTGTTTATGGATTTCTGCAGCATATACTAACGGCATGGCAAGTGCTATGGATTAGCACAAAGACGCAAACGCATCATTCGTATACATCTTTAATAAAGATGAACGAGGTTTAAAGCTACAGACTCTACCTCACCGAAGGGCTGGAAAGGAACAATAATGAATAAAAGTAAACAAAGACAGAAACAAGTTCAAACTAATTTACCTGGTAGTAGAAAAAAGACAAATCACTAAGTGAAAGTGGCATGTTTAGGATAAAATGCTAGTTAAATAAGATACAAGCAATGACTGACCTCTTGGTTGAGGACACAGTGGACCAGGAAGATGAAGGTGCCCTGCTGGGAGTTGAGGAACAGGAAGACAATCATCAGCACCTTACTGCCATTTATGAAAAAACCCAGGATCCAGGGACAACCGAGGATGACAATCTGGATCAGTGTTTTAAAGGCAAGAATTCTAGAGATACAGAGAAAGAGAGAGAGAGAGAGAGAGAGAGAGAGAGAGAGAGAAGGTAGATTCTGCCTGTTTATTTTATGTTAGTGGATACCTCATTGTTGGTGTACCATAGTGCATAACACCTCTGTCCTCCACATGAGACACTGAGCTTCAATTCCTCACTTGAGCAAGAACAACACATTATACTAAAAAGTGTCATTGAGTAAAACTCTTACGGATACATTCATCTACCTCTGTAACTAGATTAAACTGTAAATTACTCCAAATAAGTGTCTGCAAAATATGATAAATGTAAATCAAAACTTTAACAAAGAATTCAATGTGTGGATGTCAAATTGTGACAATAAGATGTGTGCTTTTTGTTACCTCATTTGTTTCACTTGGGAAAATTCACAGTTCAGTCCTGCCACAGTTTTTCTCAGAGTGATGATGATCACGATGAAGAAGATCAAGTTGAACTGCAAATGTAGGAAACAATTATTCTGATTATTGCAACATTATAATTCCTGATGCATAATCCAGTGTGATATATGTAATGGCCCTCAGAATACTCCAAATGATTATTCACCTACCAAATTACTTCATGTGGTAACAAGTAAATTAACTAGTTTTACTCAACCTGAATAAATGCTTTGAAAGAATGATTCTTTCAATCAACATAGTTTTTTAAGTTGAATAAAACTAGTAAATATGTAAAACTAGCAAAATGTAAATAAAATCAGAATGTAATGATATGCTAATCATTGAAACCCTATATTTAATTTAAAATAGTACTTTTTACAGTGTACTGTAGAAGAGATTTCTTGGAACTTACTATAATAATAAAACATACGGGACCCAGAAAACTCCAGACAAAGTCCCTGTCTGTCTTAATCCAACATCTACACAAAGGAAAAACAAAGAACGTGTCACAGATTGTCATCTGTAGAAAATTGCTGAATTAAATCAATTCTAATTAAAAAATTAAATTCTAACTGAGAAAGTAATGTAATGAAACCACGCCCACTCTACGTTCTTACTGTTCACTGCCGTATCCATCAGGAAACAGTCCAACAGACACTCCCACCACAATCAGAGGAATAACATATCCAATCACAATCAAACATTTCCAGCCGAGCACATCCTTCTGCTTTGATCTGATCTTTGTGAGGTTCTTCACAGAAATCAAGAGAAGAACAGCTTCAAAGAACATCCACACAAAAGCTGAGAGAAAAAGGAAATGCAGAACACCTGCCATTGCTGCACACAGCAGCTGAACGGAGAGAGAGAGAGAGAGAGAGAGAGAGAATGAATGAATGAATATCAGAAAACACTGCTACTTTATTATATTTTAATCTGAACACTCTTTAATCTGAAGTATGTTATACTTTAGCATTGCCATTATATTTATCCACAGCTGATGAGGTAAAATAGAAGTTAACAATTCTCACCTGATTAGTCTGTATGTACTGCAGGAATGTCTGTGTGAGAAGGAAGAGGAGGTGAGCCAGAAACAGGCTGATGCACAGGTTTATCAGTGGAGCGAGGTTAACTCTCATGTTTCGACAACAAAGGGCAAAGGTCAACAGAGACAAACTCAGGAAAAACAGCCCCACTGCCACAGCCACCGTGTTGAGCAGCTCCAAGAGAGGGTCACTCTGGAAATGAACAGTAAATACTTAATAATCTCATTTCTTATTCTGATTGTAATGATACAATAATTTACTTTAAAACAAAAGAAGAAGAAAGAAAATATGTTTTGGCCCACAATTTACTTATAAAAAAATATTTCTTAAGATCTGCTCACAGTGAGTAAAAACTTATTTAGCTCATGTGTGGCAGGTGACAATACTGTGTTTACATCTATATATTGATTTTGTAAAATATCTTTGTGTACCACATACATAGTAAATTAAAAAAAAAGCTGAAAAGCCTGAATATTAGTATACTTTGCATTGGTCATTTTATAGCTGTTATCCTGAAATGATCATATTGGCTTCAATATTCTTTTGAAAGCAATTTTAGCTCTTTTTTCCACCTTCAAGTAGATAATTAAGTGTAGGAGAACTGCGTACCTCCTTTGAAGCAGCCAAGTGTGACAATGGCAAGGAAAAACTCAAATCAAGAGAAAGTACCCTTGACAGGAGGCAAGTGTGAGACACATCATCTTTTTTTCAACACCGGATAGCAAAACAAAACATGACAAAACCAATTAGCAATCATTTGAAGTAGTGCAGTTGAATAACTGTGCTCCCACAGGCAACACAGTTATTGGGCGTCTGTACTAAGCATGGATTGTCCATAATGAACATCAAGTTCGAATACAAGGATGTTCACCAGTGTACATGGTACCGGAGCTCCTTGGGTCAAAGGTCAATGATTGACTTTGTTGTTGTTTCATCTGACTTGGGACCACATGTTCTGGACACTCAGGTAAAGAGAGGTGCTGAGCTGTCAACCGATCACCATCTGGCAAGACTGATGGTCAGACCCGATAGGCCCAAAGGAATAGTGAGGGTGTGCTGGGAACAACTGTTCAAAAGGATTTTAACTCCCACCTGTGGGAGAGCTTTTCTGATGTTCCGGAGGAGGTAGGGAACATGGAGTCTGAATGGACCCTGTTCAAAATCTCCACTGTGGAAGCTGCTGGGCAGTAACCCAAGAAACCCCTGGTGGACACTGGTGGTAAGGGAGACCGTGAAGCTGAAGAAAGAGGCCTTTAGGGACTTGATGGCCTGGAGGACACCCGATTCAGCAAATAGATACCGACAAGCGAAAAAGTGGCAGCGGCAATGGTGGCGGAAGCAAAATCTAGGCCATGGGAGGAGTTCGGTAAGGCCATGGAAAAAGACTTTTGGTCGGCCTCAAGGAAGTTCTGGACAGCTGTTTGACAACTCGTGAGCGGTCCGGGTGGCTTCACCCAAGCTGTATTTGGCAGTGGTGGAAAAACTCTGACTTCAAATGAGGATGTTGTCGGTCGGTGGAAGGATCACTTTGAGGAACTACTTAATCCGAGAGACATGCCTCCCTCATTGGAGTCAGGGCCCGAGGCTTCTGGCGTGTCATGTTCCATTTCCCTGATGGAGGTCACTGAGGTAGTTGGCAAGCTCCTCAGTGGCTGGGTTGGATGAAATTTGTCCGGAAATGCTTAAGACTCTATGTTGTGGGGTTGTCGTGGCTGACGCCTCTGCAATATTGCATGGACCTTGGCAACAGTACCCTTAGACTGGCAGACTCGGGTGGTGGTCCATATTTTTAAGAAAGGGGACCAGAAGGTGTGTGCCAACTACTGGGGTATCACACTGCCCAGTCTACCTGCCAAGGTGCTGGAAAGGAGACTCCAACCAATCGCTGAACCTCAGATTGAGGAGGAACAATGCGGTCCAGTCTACATGTGTTTTTTCCCCAAGATATCTTGTAGGAGGTCCTCTGGGAGTATGGGATGCCAGGGCTACTAGTCCAGGCTATTCAATCTCTGTACTCCTGAAGTGAGAGCTGTGTTTGTATACTCAGCATTAAGTCAGGCTCTTTCAGTGTTAGCATTGGACTCCACCAGGGTTGTGCCCTGTCTCCACTCCTGTTCGTGATATTCATGGACAGGGTGTCAAGGCATAGCCATGGTCAGGAGGGCATTATGTGTGGAGGCCGGAGGGTGGCGTCTCTGCTATTTGCACAGGAGCTAATAAGAAGTTCCGCATACAAACTTGCTGTAAAAAGGGCATGTTATTCAGTCACGGCCACTTTCCAGTGATGATGAGGAAGAAGAAAATTTGCTGGTAGCAGTGCCAGCGATTATCTCAACTCAAGACCCCCCCTGGTAATTGGAGGTTAAACAGGAATCTCATGCAGTTAGTCCTTAAGTTGCCCCACCCCCTGTCTGAATGACTTCAATCCCTACAATCTCCCTTTTTCACTGATTGTGTCACAACCAGAACAATCAATAGGGGCTGCTGCTCACTTGGCTGTACAGAATATAATTTTAAATCATTTTAGTCCTTGGCAGTAAGTAGGGTAAAATGGTTTTATGATAGAGTAAGTCACTGGGATGGTGTCATTTCAGCTGAAGCAGATTAACTGGCAGGAATTAAGAGCCTTATAACTTTCAGGGCTTTGGGACCTTGAGATGAAAAATGCTAGCAATTTTTATAAGTTTCTTAAATCCAGTCAATTATGCATATGTTTTTAAATCTTCAGTTGTTCTTACATCATCTAAGGCTTGGTCTGGGTTGGTCTGCATGATGAGAGCGAAGGTTGACAGATGAATGCAGGAGCACACAGTGTGGCTGCTGTTGGTCTGGAGAAGGGAACACCCATCTTCAACCCATACAGTGTTATTCCAGTACACACAGGAAAGTGTACCATTAGGATCAATTTCCTAGAAAAAAGAGAAAGGAAATGATTGTCTTTGAGGCTGTGGTAATCATATTGTGCAGTATAAAAAGGAGATTGCTGCTGTATTGCTAATGTACATACAGTGCTGTGAAAAAGCATCTGCCCCTTCCCAGTTTCTCCTATTTCTGCATATTTGTCACACTTGAATGGTTCAGATAATTAAACTACATTTAATATTAGGCAAAGTTAGCCCAGGTAAACACAAAATGCTTTTAAATGACCATTCCATTTATTAAAGGAAAAATGCTGTTCAGCCCTACCTGGCCCTGTGTGAAAAAGTTATTGCCCCCTTTGCTACTAAATCAACCAATTAACCGAATTCAATTGACTACTGGGTTCAGTTTCACTAGCCACACCCAGGCATGATTACTGCCAGACATGTTGAATCTAAACATCACTTAAATAGAACCTATCTGGTAATGTAAAGCAGGCTAAAAGGTCTTTTGAGCAGCACATTATGCCATATTCTAAAGAGATTCAAATACAGATGCTAATTGAAATCTACTAGTCTGGAAAGGGTTACAAAGCCATTGCTAAGGCTCTGGGACTCCAGTGAACCACAGTGAGAGCCATTATCCACAAATGGAGAAAATTTGGACCAGTGGTGAACCTTTCTAGGAGTGGCCGGCCTACCAAAACTACACCAAGAGCACATCAATGACTCATCCATAAGGTCACAAAAGAACCCAGACGATCGTAAAGAACTCCAGGCCTCATTTACCTCAGTTAAGGTCAATGTACACAAATCTACAATAACAAAGACGCTGGGCAAAAATGGCGTTCTTGGGAGAATTGCAAGGTGCAAACCGCTGCTGACAAAAAGAACACAAACACTCACATTTGCCAACAAACATATAAATGACCTTTAAGACATTTGGGATAATATTCTGTGGACTGATGAGTCAAAGGTGGACCTTTTTGGAAGACAGGGATCTCATTACATCTGGCATAGAGCTAACACTGCTTTCCACCATTAGAACACCATACCAATAGTCAAACATGGTGGTGGTAATGTGATGGGCCAGGGCTGCTTTGCAAATGATGGAGCCATGAATTTTGCTCCCTATCAGAAAATCCTGAAGGAGAATGTCAGCCTATCAGTTTGTGACCTAAAGCTCAAGTGCAATTGGATTATGCAGCAGGACAATGATTCAAAGAACACAAGCAAGTCCACCTCTGAATGGCTCAAATAAACAAAATTAAGGTTTTGATGTGGCCGAAGTCCTGACTTTCCATTGAGATGCTGTGGCGAGATCTTAAATGGGCAGTTTGTGCTTGAAAACCCTCCAGTGTAGCCAAATTAAAACAATTCTGCAAAGAAGCATGAGCCAAAATATCGGCAACAATATGCAAGACCAGATGAGGGGGCAGAGAAACATGAGGGCTTCTTATACAGCATATGAGAGAATAAACACCCAGAAAGGACAAACTAAACCCCGTTGAAAATGCTAACCACTAATAAGAAGGTGGGACCACGGAGGAGACACAGCACAGACATCATGGACTGCTGGTGGGGCAGTAGCAACATTCTTATAGGCATCGTCTGTGATGGGCAGGGCAGCAGTGATGTCCTTTGATGCAAGCAGGACTGTAGTGTCTTCCTCTGTCACAGGCAGGACATGCAGCAATGTCAAGAGGTGTCAGCAGGACTACAGCAACATTCTCAAGTGCAGGCAGTTGTGGGGCAACATTATCAAGTATAGAAAGAGCCGCTGCAACATCTTCAGGAACAGAGATGGGAGCACCTGTATCTTTAGCCACGGGCACAGGTTGAAGAGCCTATACATTCAGCCGTGAGAAGTGTGATGGGAGCTACAGGCAGGCAGAGAGTCAAAACCAGCATTTCTGATCATAAAGCGAACTGACCAACCACTTACAATTTTAAATAAATTACCAAGACTGAATTTATCCGCACAATATAGCTCAGTTCCATCCTCTGCTCAACAACTATAACAAAGTAATGGTGGTAAATGACAATATGCCAGCTGTAACACACTGTCCTCTCCCCAATTATTGATATCTCTGGTAAAGATGAGTAAAAGGGTTTATAACAAATTCACGTTTTGGTAAATTAGCTTAATCTAATGCTGAAAAAAAATAGAAAAATCCTTTAATTGAAGTAAAAAAAAAAAAATCATGAAATAATTATTTTTTATCAAAACCACATTTACCACATTGTACAACATCTCTCGATGGTCCCAAAACCAGTCCTCTTTATGGAATCTCTCCAGATCGTCCAGGGACTTTGGTCATTTCTTGTGCACACTGCTCTTTAGCTCACCCCACAAGTTTGCGATGGGGGTTAGGTCAGGGGACTAAGATGGTCATGACATAAGCTGTAGTGCAAATCCCTGTTTAATTCTGCTTGTTAAAAGGCTTAACTGGATTTAGTTTATTCAATTTGATTCCAGTTGAATTGAATTGACTAAAAGATGGCAAGTTTAGTTATCTTGTGAGAATTTTAATGCAAATGAAACCAGCTGCAGCTTCATGGCCAGCTCACCTACTTTTTGAATGAATGCAAGTTTCCACTAAGTAGGAGAACAGAAGTTTTTTGATGATACGGATTCTAATTAAAATTCTGTCTCATTAATCTGGTAGTCATTTTCTAAGAATACTGGAATTTAAAGTTGCCAAAATTGTTATTACTAAGTATTATTATTATATATAATTTATTATTAAGTAATATATGTTTTGGCTGGTTGGATGATTTCATTCAGCACATCCTGGTCATTTGGGATCTCCATTATTTTGGATGTGTGGTGAACATAACCTCTTAGCTCTTTGCAGTTCATCAGAGACTGTAAAATTTCTGTTATAAGGCACAGAGAAGCCACAGCTTCCACGGAAGTGTACACAATTAGCTTTAGTAATGGAGCAACTGCAGAACCAAATAAGCTTATTTACTATATGTGCTTTTAACTGTCGTGCCAAAAACAAAACAAGCATTTCACACATCAGTGGGTCTTTTTAATAGTCTCTTCACTGTATTTCGTGTTTCAAGAGGGAAATGCATTAAATTCCAACAGCCACATTTTTTTTTCAAAGAGGTAAAAGTTCAAAAGTGACCGCCTCTTTGATCTTATTATGTTTGCTACCTGGCTGTTAGGTCTTTATAGTAAATTGCATCAGGCACTTTTTAATGCCAAGATAAGGTGGACAGCTGCATAAAGTATCATTAAATATATGCTTATATTAGAAAATGCATTTTAAATTTGAAATGAAATATCATCAATAAACTCACCTCAATGTGTTCCAGGGTGAAGTTGACCGGTCTTGAGAGCTGCGTGTTGGTGGTTTTGGGCAGTGTTGCTGACACCACAATGGACATCATGGTTTTTACCGTGTTGTTAGTTGTGTTAAAGAAACTGGGTTTCAGCATGCTCGCCATGCTAGAGAAGCTCATGAAAGCTGCAGCAGCTGATCCTGAAGTACAGCAACAAAACTGTATTACTATAACGAGCATTGTCTACTCAAAAAAAAACAAAAAAAAAACACTAAAAGGAATCAATAAAAAACTGAATGAAACACATTAAACGCAATAATCTCTAACAAACAACCACCACTTTCCTTCCTTATAGCTTTTCAGATAATAATATATAAGCCTCACAATAAAACACTAACTGTTCTTTTCAAAGCAAGAACAATATTTCTGCCTATTGTTACTTGCAGTATTTGTGACACGTGCAAAATTTCTGAACTTCAGAAATGTTCAACATCTCCGTATCCACCAGGGCTGATTCTAGACCCTTTTTAGGCACAACCCCCATGTATTTAATCTCAGCCATCTTTATTTTTCTACTTAAATTAATTGGATTTTGTGATGTTTTTCTCTGCTTTTACTACCACGATGCATGAAACCTCTGAGTTCTTCCCTTCATTTTGTGACTTCTTGAACTGAACTGTACTGAAAGTTCTAGCGCGAAGCTAGACCATAACCCACTACTGCTCAGTCTGAATGAAAGTGATGGGCAGGGATGCCTCACAAGATAGCTGGCTAGATAAGATCCCAATAGATCAGGGTTGCACAATTGCAGTCCTGGAGGGCCAATGTCCTGCAGAATTTAGTGATTTTTCCTGCTCAAACACACCTAATTACACTCATCTGTTAATTGCCAGATTTAGTGGGTGTGTTTGAGAAGGGGAACTGCCAAACTGTGCAGGAGTTGTGCACCCCTGCAATAGGTGTTCTCTGAAGTTAGAATGTTGAATGCGATGTAACAACTGTGTGGCTAGCTTGCATATTGTGGTGTCAACAGAGAGGAAGCCATGATCTGCTGCAAGAAGGGCTCTTTACTGAACATACCAGCCGAAAGAGGCACATACAGAACACTGACCTCGAGGGGCAGCAGTGATAGCAGATAGCAGAGGAGGGTAAAGTTCAGCTCCTCACTGCTGGCATTTAGTTACATCCCTAATTCTTCAGTGATATGAAGCTGAAGTCAGCTATTTGGCAGCTTCTAGTTTTTCCCGTTTCACCTTAAATGAAGCAGCAGTTACATTCTGATGCTTCATGCGTCAGTACTACTGGATTGGGTAATTTAGCTAGCTAGGTACAGAGATATCAGCATACTATTGGCAATTTTTATAAGTTATGAAAAAAAGGACCATAATATATTAAAACAACATTAAACTAAGATAATACAATGGTTACAACAAAAGACTCTTCCACTGTAATTATGAAGGGAAGGCAGACTTCATGTTTCACTTGTTTGCTCTTTGTGGAGCAAACACCTTTTTGTATGGCTCGGAGCCATTTGTAGCTCAAGCCTTCTTGTGGCTTTTTCTTTTCTTTTTGTTTAAATACCCAACTGGGCTGAGTACCATACCGGTCACCCCTCTACAAAGGTGTGGTAAAGGGCTGCTATTTGCCACAGGCTTAAGTAGAGGAATCCACAGGTGTGTCAGGTTGGGCCTAATCAGCCCAAGGGCTTCTGGGAATTTGAGTTCCCTGAAGTTATGACACTTCACCACCCTCTGCTGGCAACTGGTGATGCAGGCTGGGCACCTTGCCACTGTTGCCCTCTGCTGGCGGCCGGCACAGCAGGCTGGACCCTTACAGTGCGAGGTAATGGTTTTAGCCCAGACCTGTGACTCTGTTGAGTTTCTTGACTAAAACTACTTTTTGAGAAATAACATTTTCTGTAAATATTAATGTCAGTTACTTAATATAAGTCTTGATATCCTTCCAGTTGAATTTAATTAACTTGTTATGCCTTAATTGGCTCATTAGGTCTGATAAGGTAGGTCAATTACCGTCATTAGGAATTGTGGACTGATGAGTAAAATTCAAACTTTGTGCTAACACTCAATAATCATAGGCTCCTTTAAGCAACAGGTTAGGGATTTGAGGGGAAAAAAAGCTAATTTATTTTTTAAGTCTATAAAAACATATCAAAGTGTTTCCACCTCACAATTTCCACTGCTCAAAATGTCACTAAGAAATGAAAGCTAAGGGGAGCTGTTCAAATCAAGGCAAGATCTGGAACAGCATGAAAACTCTCAGATAGAACTACTTATATGCCAAAGAGCAGAAGTAAAACGTCCATTTGACAGCAAAGTACCTGCAGGAAGGTTTAGCTGACACAAGAGTGGTGGTGCATCATTTTACTCTACAGTGTTAATGGAAATTCTTCACCAAAATATTTTCTCTAGTAAGATACTGTCATCCAGACACATATTTGTCCAGTAGCTATGCACACAGAGCGCCATGCAGAAGTACAAAGTCATGAAAACTGTTTCTTGCCAGTGAAAGTCAGTAAGTGTGTTTTTGCCTATAAAAATGCTTTAACACAAAATGTATTTGTAATGATTAGTCCCTGTTATAGACTGGCAACCTGTCCAGGGTGTTTCCTGCCTTCCACCTGATGACTGCTGGGATAGGTTCCAGCACTCCCTGAAGTCATGCAGTAATGTGTGACTTCAGGGAGGAGAAGTTTGGTTCCATCATATATTTTGGTTCCATCGGTAGCACCTGATTAAATTTAATGGACTGATCAGATAAACTAGGTTTCGGTGGTAAAATACAGGGCTTCCTAGAGGAGAGCTTTGAAAATGGTTAAGATACTCACACCTATAAAATCACTTCTTTTGCATGGGTATGTTGTGTAATATGTGCCTTCTTCCCAGAATAGCATAAATATTTTCTCACATAGCCTAAGACCTTTGCACAGGACTGCATATAGTGAATATGAGTATATGAATAAATGCACTGTCCCTTTGTCTTTCATGCCTTAAAGTGACTTATTACTTAATGCACAATTTACAAAATAAGAATCTAAATCATTGCTTTTTTCACATCATTTTACCAGTAATTGGTCACTGTGGGATTAAGAGTAAAGAGTTCCAGTAATGAGATCTGTGAAAGCAAGTAAAGATTGCTACTATACCATCATTATTCTTTGAAATGTGGATGAGGTCGATGTCCATCTGAGTGCTGTTTATCCTCAGTTGAGGGATTTCATTTAAGGAAGCTTTTGGTCCAACTGAAAAGACTTGAATGTCTGAGAACCATAAACCATAAGTCATAAACCATATACACACATACAGTGGAGCAAATAAGTATTTGATCCCCCACTGATTTTGAAAGTTTGTACTCTGACAAATAATTAAACAGTCTATGATGTTTTATGGTAGCTTCATTTTAACAGTGAGAGATGGAATATCAGAAAGAAAATCTAGCAAATTAAATAATATTTAAATAAAAATAATTATTTAAATAAAAATAATTTATAATAATAATAATTTGCACTTCATTGAGGGAAATAAGTATTTGATCCCCTAAAAACCATGACTAATGTTGGCTCCCACAGACCACTGACACACCCTAATCTCAGTGAAGTCGTTACCTGCATGAGAGACACCTGTCCCAAATTGTCACCTGTATAAAAGGCCACCTGCCAACAGACTCAGTGACACTCCAACATCTCCACCATGGGCAAGACTAAAGAGCTGTCTAAAGATGTCAGGGACAAAACTGTTGACCTATACAAGGCTGGAATGGGCTACAAAGCCATAAGTAAGGAGCTGGATGAGAAGGTGACAACTGTTGGTGCAATTATTCGGAAGTGGAAGAAGTACAACATTACTGTCAGTCGACCTAGGCCTGGAGCTCCATGCAAGATATCACCTCGTGGAGTCTCATTGATCATGAGAAAGGCTAAAAATCAGCCAAGAACTACACGGGAGGAGCTGGTTAATGATCTCAAGGCAGCTGGGACCACACTCTCCAAAAAAACCATTGGTAATACACTGAGACGTAATGGTTTAAAATCCTGCAGTGCACGCCAGGTTCCCTCTGCTCAAGAAGGCTCACGTCCAGGCCCGCCTCAAGTTTGCCAATGAACATATTAATGACTCCGAGAGAGACTGGGAGAAGGTGCTGTGGTCAGATGAGACCAAAATTGAGCTCTTTGGCCTCAACTCAACTCGACGTGTTTGGAGGAAGAAAAATACAGAATATGACCCTAAGAACACCATCCCCACCGTCAAGCATAGTGGTGGAAGTATTATGTTTTGGGGGTGTTTTTCTTCTAAGGGCACAGGCCAACTTCACCGCATCGACGGGATGATGAACGGGGCCATGTATCGCAAAATCCTGGGTGACAACCTCCTTGCCTCCGCCAGGGCACTGAAAATGGGTCGTGGATGGGTCTTCCAGCATCGACAACGACCCAAAACATACAGCCAAGGAAACAAAGGAGTGGCTCCATAAGAAGCATATCAAGGTCATGGAATGGCCTAGCCAGTCTCCTGACCTCAATCCCATAGAAAATCTATGGAGAGAGCTGAAGCTTTGTGTTTCCAAATGCATGCCTAAAAACCTTAAGGATTTGGAGATGATCTGCAGAGAGGAGTGGCCCAAAATGACTCCTGAAGTGCAAACCTTATAAAAAACTACAAGAAACGTCTGACTGCTGTGCTTGCCAACAAGGGTTTTGCCACCAAGTATTAAATGATGTTTTACTAGGGGGTCAAATACTTATTTCCTTCAATGAAATTCAAATTATTTTTTATTTCTCATTTCATGTAATTTTCTCAGTTTTTCTTTTGATATTCTATGTGTCACTGTTAAAATAAAGCTGGCATAAAATTATGAGACGTTTCATTTATTTTTTTGTATTAAAACTTTCAAAATCAGTGGGGGGATCAAATACTTATTTCCTCCACTGTATAGTCATGCCATACTAGTGTTTAGGATGTTAAATCAAATCAAGAAGATTCCTTTGTACAAATGTTTTGCAACAAGAGGCACAAATAGTTTAATCTTTGAAATCTGTTTAAAACAGATATTTTTTTGTCTCATTACATTTGGACAAACTAGTTTTTGCTTCTGGATCATGGTGAAAGATCCAGTGTTGGAAATAGTGAGTATAATTCAGTCACTAAATTGTGCTTATGTGGTTGTTTACCTAAGCCATTGCGAGAGATGTTAACTGAGTCAGTGGTCTCTGTTGGCTTCACCAGTGTAGACACCAGTTTCTCAGTCCTATTCAGCACTGTGTTCCCATAAGATGCCATTTTCTCTGGACTTGCTGTTTCAACCTTTAGAAGCTGCTCCTGGGTATTCAGCACCATATCTAAATACTTTACTACTACCTGATCAGTAATCAGAGAGAAATTTACATACATTAGCCTATTGCATACAGAACACAGTGCATGTTACCATTATTTTATTACATTGTATAAAGTGGTTCGTCAGATCTACTTAAAAAAATATTTAATGTGGTAACAAGTAAAGTAACTAGTTTTATTCAACCTAAATAAATACTGTGAATGAACGATTCTTTCAATCAAAGTATGTTTTAAGTTGAATAAACCTAGTTCAACTGCTTGTTACCACATGAAGTAATTTTTAAGGTAGATCTGACGAGCAACTTTATACAGTGTACTTGTTCTACTTTATTGCAGAACTTACTTGTGGTGGGAGCACTTGAGCAGTGATGTTCTCAAGTTGGTTAAACAGATCTTCTCCACATTTTGGTGTGAAATTGTCCTGAAACAAAAAGTCAGTTAAAATAATCTGTTTTAAAGAAATCATAATTAACGGACATAATGTGTAATTAAACTGTCACAAACCTTGCATTCTGTAGATACTGTAATATTTGGCACTGAAAGAATAAACAATAAGAGAACATGTTTTAAGATCAGGAAATAAGGCATAACATGTAAGAAACATAAGAAACATATACCAGCTGTTTATACATATGGTGGTAGTTATAATTGTCAGTACATTAATAATTGAAATGTATATCAGGTATTGGAACCATCTAATATTAAATACTCCCTAATAACCTCTTTAATCAATAAGTGTCATGTTTTTTGACCAAATAGGCAGAGATTTTACTATAAAATGTCCTCAGACTTCCCACATTTTATAAGTTGTTTACGTATATGATTCAAGTGTGTCAGTTGGTGATATATGAAAAAAATACTTAATATCAACACAACTAATGTTGGTGTTGTCACTGACTGTTTTTGTTTTTCCTTCACAACTCTCACAATGTTTCTGTCATCAGCTGCTGTTTTCCTCTGTTCAATGCCTGGTTTATCTCAGTTTCCATGATTCAAAGTTATCAGTTGGAGATACATGAAGAAATGTTACATCAACACAATTGATGTCTTTCAGTTTAATTCTGTTTGCAAGAAGTGTGCTGATTTAGCATTGTTCATTCATGTACAACCAATTGCAATTTTTACTCATATTTAATTTCATTTGAATCATATACAGTTGGCACCCCATAATTTTTTGGCACCCTTGGTAAAATTAAGAAAAATCATGGAAATTGTCTTTATGGATAATTGGCCAGTTCAATCTCACACTGAAAATATGATATAAAGCCTTTAAATGAAATAAACTTAAGAAAGTAAAAATGTAAGGTGACACAAAAGCCAAATTCCCTTAGTCATTCATCAACAGGAGAAGATAAGACGATACAAAAAATGAAATAAGATGTATGATACGAGATGTTGACCTCTAGAAATATAATATACAATGGCTAAAAATATCTTCTTGCATGAAAATGTCCATGTCCATTGTTTGGACAATAATTAAACAACCAGAGCAATAGGGAACCTGCCTGGAGAATTGAAGTGTATTTTGCCCCTGTGCACAGTAAAGAGGATGATTCTAAAGGAAACATTGACAAACTGACATACTGATATAATTTATCTTCTGCAAAGCTGGAAATTGATACATTTTGGGGTAACCAAGTCCTCAAAACCATAATAAGATGTGGCCTCTATGCCAACATACTACTTGGAAGGCGTACCAGATGAAACCCTTTCCTTTCATATGCATGGTACATGTTATATTGTATTGTATAAATTGTTTACCACTACTACTATTGATGTTGTTGTTGTTGTTGTTGTTAATATTATTATTATTATTATTATTATTATTATTATTAATACTACAACGTCATCTACTACTACTATACTACTAATAATAATAATAATAATAATAATATCCAGTCAATCTAGTGAAATAAGATGAAATTTAAATGTACCTGGTGTCTCAGCAGCAGGTGTTGAACTAGTAATATCTGAAACAAGACAAACCAATGTCAAAACATACTCAACAAATAGGACAATTACATTAAAACAGATTAGCATGTCTGAAGAATATACAGTGCTTACAAGGCAAGAAAACAATCTCTTCTATTGAGTGTATGAATGAATGAATGAATGAATGAATTAATTAATTCATCCTGCATACATCCATACCTTATGTTCTACTATACCTTTACAGTAACATATACATCTACACCTGAGTTCTACCACATATGTACCCTGTCACATACAGGCAAACATCCCCACCTGTATATATTCACACATACACACACACACACACACACACACACACACACACACACACACTATACATATATACACACATATATACAGAATCCAGATATAAGCTAGCAAGATAAACATAAAATGACATAAAATAAAAAAGAAATGAAATAGGTGAGTAGGTTAAGTACAAACACAGTGTATCAACTTTCTCTCCTTACAGAAGTATTTAAGCTGCAGATTTGAGAGAACAGATTAGAATTTTAGCTTTTATTTCCTGATATTTATATCCAGATGTCTTGACATCTGGAAGTCATTTTAGAACATGGCACCTGTCAGACCACTGCATTTTAGACGAGTCAAAGTCTTAAAGAAAATTAAAGTTATTAACGCTTAATATCGGGATGAATATCCCTTACTTGCATTAACTGTATCAAGAGAATCACTGACATCACTAAACTGTTGCATTCTTCATTTGCAATGGTTTTCCAGGCTGCTTCTTTCAGTTGTGGTTTGTTTTGTGGTTTTTCTCTCTTTCCTCTTCAGGAGACGAACTGGTGCTCAATGGGGTTAAGGTCTGATGATTGACTCGACCAGCCTAAAACCATGCATGCTTTCTTCCCTGATGGAGTGCTTTGTTGTGTTGACAGTGTGTATTCAGTCATTGTCTTGAGTTCTTCCCTATTAAATTGGTAGACCGAATGTTTCTGTAGGCTTCTCAATTTATTTTGTTGCTACCATCATGAATGACTTCATCAAAAAAAAAGTGAGCCCCTTCAGCCATTTCACCCTCTTGCAGCCATGCCAAGCCCAAGCCATGACACTTCCTCCAATGGGCTTGACTGATGAGCTTGCATGTTTCGGATTATGAGCAGATCCTTTCGTTCTCCACACTTTGGCATTTCCATCACGTTGGTAGAGGTTAATCTTGGTCTCATCAGTCCATCTAACTCTGTTCCAGAACTTTTGCAGCTCATTTCTGTATTTCTTTGCAAATTCCAATCTAGCCTTCCAGTACTTACTGCTGATGAGTGTTTTGCAGCTTGTGGTATGGCATTTATGTTTTTCATCTCAAACTTTTTTGAACAATGGTGATATCTTCATTTTTCTTCACAGCTCTCACGATGTTTCTGTCATCAAATGCTGTTGTTTTCCTTGGCCAACCTGTTCAATGTCTGGTTGTTAGTGCACCAGTGGCTTGCTTTTCTCCCGTAGCCAGCTCTATGGTCTTCATGTTGCTTTTTCATTTTTAACAACCAACACAGTTTTCACAGATGAAACCCAGGGCTCAAACCAAAAGTAGATATTCAGAGAAAATAATTGTTTAAACAAACAGTCTAACAGGGCACACCTGGGCAAGAAGAAACACCTGTCAGTCACATTCCATTTTGGCTTACTTGAAAAATGAATGGGTTCATGCTAAAGGTGCCATAATTTCAGCACAAAAAGTGCTTTTCATTTCATTCCTCAGTGTTCGATCATATATTCTTTATTTTGTGAATTTAAATCATCTGAAGCCTTTTAAACTTCACGCTATAGGCTATTTGCCTCCTATCTGTTTTTACTGAGTTTATTTCTTTCCCTTTCTTCTTCTGTCTTGCTTTTTTCTTTCTCCACTAGATGGCACAGTGTACCACAACTGAGAATATCTAATAGTCAACATACTTTCTGTTCCTATGACATTAACTCTTAGGGCCGCATTATACTGATGTAAACACCACATATATGTGTTCACAACCAGCACTGCTCACATCCTCATCTGCGTCCCCTTTGTTTATTTTGTTAAAATGATCCAGTAAATCCAGTAGAGGGGCAGATCAGGGCTGAAACATCCCTGCCTCAGAATGAATGCAGGATGTGAGTGGCAGCCATTCTATACTCTCACGTCTGAAGCTATTTTATTGTATCTCTTAACATCTGTCAAAGAACGACGGATGAAAATTTGCCTTTTTGGCCAAGCTAATTTCTGGCTCATTTACGGTTCTTTTGATACTGTTGACACAAGTAAATTTCACTGTCCCTAATAAAAAAATGAGTAAATAAGTAAAAATCAAAAGGAGGTAGGTCTTGGCCTCTATTGTCTTCTCTTTTCTCTTTCTCTTTTCATATCTTTATCCATTCTTTCACTCACAAACCTTGTAATTCTGTATTTTCTTGCCTTATACATACCATATGTCTTTCAGGAAAAGTACATCTAGGTTATAATGGTAAATTTCATTATTTTCACTGGACACAATTATTTTGCCAGAGATCAAGGGAGTACAAAAGAGGGGGTTATAAAATTGAAATGAAAGCCTAATAAAACACTTGTAAAATTCATGAGAAATGTGCCAGTTAAAGCTCAAAAGATAGTCAGAGTACCTGCACAGTAAGCTGAATTGCAGACGTTTGGACCGACAAACTCATAGACGTAATAAGTTCCTGGACATGCTTTGACTCGAACTGGGTTGGATCTAAAGTAACAGCAGTCACTTCCTGAACTTCCACAGACCCCACGAGTGACTATTCCATCCTCTATCTTAGGGTGAGGACCATTCAGCCACAGAGCAACATCAGTTCCACATCTGGATCGATTAACACAGCTCTCTGCCATACGGACACTCATCCCATTATACAGCAGCCGATACCAGCCATTCGAGTTGAAGTTGTTGTCACAGTAGAACCCTCCAGTCTCATTAGTGCCTCTCCAGGGTTGATCCAGAGATGTGTAGCTATTGCAGGGATCATAACTGGGAGTGTTGAAAGCAACTGTAATGAACAGATAAACATATTAAATCGAGTAAAAACCCTAAAATTATGAAACAAATATTTTAGGTACACTAAACACCAGATAGCCTGACAAACTGAAGGATATTGTTTTCGACTGATTTCCAATGATTCAAGAGGAATAACATCCTCTTGCAAAGAGCTCTCTGTGGTTAACCGTATCTTCATCTGAACACACATTATGGCACTGTCTGCTCAAAGGTGACTTGTCAAAGGTGATTAGCCGTTTAGTGGAATTAATAGTTAACTTTTTCATTGTCATGCTAAAGTTAGCAAATGGTCGCTGAGCCATTCAAATCATTGTTCACTTAAAATGGTTAAATACATAAAGTATGAACTGCTCCCTGGCTGTGCAGTAACTAGTATTAATGACTGCTTAGTGAGGGTTTCTAGTCTTTAGTTTAGCCAGTTCAGCCATGAAATAAATAGCCAGCTTACATTGAGTGCAGAGCATGTAATTGGACTTTTCTTTTAGTTTCATTCAGCTGTCATCCGTTTTGGAAATAACTGTTATAGCCTACATGATTTTAATGAAAAGCATTGTGTTAAATTCAAGAGAAATGCAGCATGGAAGCATTTTCACTAGCAGTCTCATACTTATGTCCCCCACTGTGTGTGTGTGTGTGTGTGTGTGTGTGTGGTGTGTGTGTGTGTGGGTGTGTGAGTGGATATATGCTGTTTGGACCTCTGTCTTTTCTTACTGTACATCTATATCATTAGCTAAAAGTTTATTTTGTTTTTATTAAATAATTATTATGATTGTGGCTATAATTGTTGCATATTTTACACATTTGTATATTTACCATTCATATTTTCTTAATTTTAAAGTTCGAAAAGCATCTTTAAAACAGATTTAACAGTGCCTAGTATACTTTTATTAATTTGTAGATTTTTTTTTTTTAGTTTTTAGTAGAAATTTAATGAAATGTAATGTAATGTGTATATAGATATAATGGTGTATACAAAGCAGGAAGAAAACCATCACTACTCAAGATTTCTTTTTTTACTACTACAACAACAACAACAACAACAACAACTACTACTTCTACTACTACTACTACTACTAATAATAATAATAATAATAATAATAATAAAGAATAATAAATATAACAATAATAGAAATAATAATAATAATAATAATAATAATAATGAACCCAGCTCAGTGTCTTGGACTAATGTTCTAGCACAAGCTTAAGGATATGTGTCTAACTATACCTGCACAGTATGTGGGAATTGGGATTGATACAGCTGGCTTGACGAGTCTGTAGACGTAGTGATTTCCTGGACAGGCTTTGACTTGGATTGAGTTTGATCTGTAGGAATTGTATTGAGGATTCGATCCATAGACTTCTCGGGTGACGATGCCGTCCTTCAGGAGTGGATGAGGTCCTCCAAGCAGAAGTGAAGAGTAACCACCACATCTCACATAACCTGAATAAAAAACCCATTCAGGCATCTGAGCACTTCTTCCCTGAAGATACAGATGATACCAGCCATTCCATTCAAGAAGCGTATCATCATAACCACTGTAGCCGGTGGAGACTGATCTCCAGGGATTATCAAGAACACTGGAGACATTGCAGGGGTCAGAAGTGATGTTTATTGTTGTAGCTGCTGTGAAAATAGGAGTCAGAACAACATTTTTCTATGAGGAGCCCTAAATACTATATAACCATTAAAAACTGTGAAACTGAAGGTGGACAATATAACCTCGAATTTATTTCATGATATTTTCCAATACCTTGAAAAATGATACTATTACTATTATTACTACTACCATGAATAATAATAATAATAATAATAATATAATAATAATAATAATAGCTTAATTAAAATACAAGAATAAATGTCCAGTTTTATTGCAAACCTACACAATGTCAGTACTTTTTAACTGAATTGTGTCTTTTTTATTTAAAATAGTTCATAAGAAACGTAATTTTTTTGTGGTTAGGGTTATGTGGTTCACTGTTTTGGGCTCATTACAATGTTCATGCTAATGGTTTCAGAGTGCTTACTCTGTATTCTTTGATCTCATCAAGTATTACAGGAGAAAACTTATGTAATATTGGAAAAATGAGGTTTTACAAAGTACTGATGCAGGGCTGCCAATAAGAGCGATTTTTCTTTCATATATTTTTGATAACTGTTATATTAGATGTAATTTATTTCAGCTAAAGCTTAGATTAATTTCATGTTTCCAGTGTTGGAATGATTTCACTGACGACAAAAACACTTTTTTGATTACATCTTACATACATCTATCTTTTTCCTACATCTGTCAATTTGCATCTGATCTTTATTTTTTTCTCGATTTTAACTTCATTTTTAAATGTTAGATATTACATATATACTGTATTATTATTATTATTATTATTATTATATTATTATTATTATTATTCTTGGTGGTGGTGTTTCACTTTTAGACAGAATCAAATGAAATCACATGGAAGTTTAAAGTACCTGTTGTCTGCACAGCAGGAGTTGCACCAGTAATATCTAAAAGAAGACAAGCAAAACAGAAACATACTCAACAAAAAAGACCATTACATTAAAGCAGAGAAGCACAAATACAGCGATTAAAAGTAATAGCTATGCAAGCTATGCACTTATACAGTAACACAGACATCCATACCCTGAGTTCTACCACACTTATACAGTAACACAGACATCCATACCTGAGTTCTACCACACTTATACAGTAACACAGACATCCATACCTGAGTTCTACCGCACTTATACAGTAACACAGACATCCATACCTGAGTTCTCCCGCACTTATACAGTAACAGACATCCATACCTGAGTTCTACCGCACTTATACAGTAACAGACATCCATACCTGAGTTCTACACACTTATACAGTAACAGACATCCATACCTGAGTTCTACACACTTATACAGTAACAGACATCCATACCTGAGTTCTACACACTAATACAGTAACAGACATCCATACCTGAGTTTTACCACATTTATACAGTAACACAGAAAGGAGACATAATGCAGTGGTAAACATGCTTATTCGAAATGTGTTTCCAGCATCATATTAGGTATCAATAAGCATGAATTTATGAAGAAGAATAAAGTTCACAAGATCAAATATAAAATTTTGTGTTTTTTTGAACAATTTTCAATTTAAAACATTTCAAACAGAATTTCCTCCTTTTTGTTTTGTCACTGATCACTATTCTGTTTCTGAAATCCATGTATTTGAAAATTCACTGACATAAAACTAAAGTGGAAGTATGATAAAACACTAACAGAAACTACTGAAAAATCACAGTATAAAACATTTATGACAAAAACAGTACCTGCACAGTAAGCCGAATTGCAGACGTTTGGCCTGACAAACTCATAGACATAATAGTTTCCTGGACATGCTTTGACTCGAATTGGGGTGGATTTGTAGTAACAGCAGTCACTTCCTGAATTCCCACAGACTCCACGAGTGACTATTCCATCCTCTATCTGAGGGTGAGATCCATTCAGCCACAGAGTGATACCAGTACCACATCTGGATACATCAACACAGCTCTCTGGCACACGGACACTCATCCCGTTACACAGCAGCCGATACCAGCCATTCCAGTTGAAGTAGCTGTCACAGATCCACAGTCCAGTTGAATTAGTTGCTCTCCAGGGTTGATCCAGAGAAATGTAGTTATTACAGGGATCATAAATAGGAGTGCTGAAAGCAACTGTTGAGAAGTGATTAAACATTTGAATATTTTAGTTAAGTAACAGTAAAAGATATACAATGCCCTCCACAAACATTTTCTCCTGGTAATCATTTGTCTTAATTACTTATGCTTTTGATCTTTCACTCAAAGTAATGCTTATTTAAGATGTAATTAAATTTTGCATCACTCTTCTTTGCAGAATTGTTTCAGTTTGGTTACAATGGAGGTTTTTCAAACATGAACTGCCTGTTTAAAGTCCTGCCACAGCATCTCAATGGGATTCAAGTCAGGACTTTGACTCGGCCAATCCAACACCTTAATTTTGTTTATTTTGAGCCATTCAGAGGTGGACTTGCTTGTGTGCTTTGGATCATTGTCCTGCTTCATAATCCAACTGTGCTTGAGCTTCAGGTCACAAACTGACGGGCGGAAAATATCTTTTGGATATTTAATGAAATGTGATGTGATGTAATGTATGTATAGAAATAATAGTGTATGCAAAGCAGGCAGAAACAACTACTACTACTACTAATAATAATAATAATAATGAACCCAGCTCAATGTCTTGGACTAATGTTCTAGCACAAGCTTAAGGATATGTGTCTAACTATACCTGCACAGTATGTGGGCATTGGGATTGACACAGCTGGCTTGACAAGTCTGTAGACGTAGTAATTTCCTGGACAGGCTTTGACTTGGATTGGGTTTGATCTGTAGGAATTGTATTGAGGATTCGATCCATAAACTTCTCGGGTGACGATGCCGTCCTTCAGGAGTGGATGAGGTCCTCCAAGCAAAAGTCCAGTGTAACCACCACAGGACACATAACCTGAATAAAAAACCCATTCAGGCATCTGAGCACTGCTTCCCTGAAGATACAGACGATACCAGCCGTTCCATTCAAGAAGCGTATCATCATAACCACTGATGCCGGTGGAGACTGATCTCCAGGCATTATCAAGAACACTGGAGACATTGCAGGGGTCAGAAGTGATGTTTATTGTTGTAGCTGCTGTGAAAATAGGTGTCAAAAGAAGTTACAATAATAATTATAATAATAATAATAATAATAATAATAATAATAATATACTAATCCTGTTTATAATAGAATAGTTCAAGTATTATTTTTTTGTATAGCAAAAATCTGACAATAGAGTCAGTGAGTTTATTAAACATAAAAAATGTTTTAAACCTTTTTGTTGAGTTTATAATACACAGTTCATGTTATATATTATTACTGCTTTATATTATTATTATTACTATTACTACTACTATTAATAATAATAATAATATAATAATAATAATAATAATAATAATAATCATATTTTGTTCATAATATTTACCATTTCCTAATTAATTCATTTACCATTTCCTAATTATAAATTCATATTTCCATGTGTTTCTATGGTAATAGTTAATTGTTGTTCCTATATTAGTTCATCTTAGTTACTATGTTAGTTAATCTGTCCATGCTTTCAGTGAATGTGTCTTACAAAAAGACAGTTTTCCATTTTCCATGTGAAATATCTTTTTTAATGAAAGACACTGGGGTCTGTGGATGTGTTATTCATTCTTTATCTTAAATTTTAGGTGAAAGATGCAAAACATGTCATGTATCATCTCAAATTAACTGTAAATAAATAAAATATATATTCTGCATTACCGTTTTTTTACCAATTGCTTTATTATTAAAGTTTGTGAAGGTTTTGTTCGGGTGTGTGTTTTTTATATCACAGTTGTAATAGTGAACAGCCAAATTTGAGAGATCGAATTTCCTTCACATAAGGAGAAAATTTTATCCACAATTCCTATATTGGCAAATAAAAACTACAGTCTTCATTTAGACACTAAATTACTGAAATACTAATATAACAGAGATTCATTTGAAACCTTATACTGTTTCTAGATGAAGCTGCACTACTAATGTTTATACCTGCACTGGTCACAGTCGCCGGGGTGGTGGTTGGAGTGATGGTGTTCACATCTGAATAAAAGACAAGTTAAACTTATTAAAACAAACATGAAAGCCTAACATTCATTTGAAAGGTTCTGGACAAAATGTATAAAACCAACAAAATACCTGCACAGTAAGCTGCATTGCAGACGTTTGGCCTCACAAACTCATAGACATAATAGTTTCCTGGGCATGCTTTGACTCGAATTGACATGGACCAGTAATAGCAGTTACCTACATAACTCCCATAGACTCCACGAGTGACTATTCCATCTGCTATCTGAGGATGAAGACCATTCAGCCACAGAGTGTAATCAGTGCCACATGTGTACAGATTAACACAGCTCTCTGTCATACGGACACTCATCCCATAATACAGCATCCGGTACCAGCCATTCCAGTTGAAGTTTCTGTCACAGATCCACAGTCTAGTTTCATTAGTGGCTCTCCAGGGTTGATCCAGAGCAGTGTAGTCATTGCAGGGATCATTAACAGTAGCTGTTACTGAAACCAAATAAAATAAGCAACAGGCCACAGTGGTGAAGCTGTTCAAAGGTTTTCCATACTAGTCTTTCAAGAATGTGAGCTGATAATTTCATTATTTGTTTATGTGTTTCATGATTACGTTTTATTACAGAGAGCTGGTCCATAAAGCTCCCATAAATTCTGTTTACTATTATTTTTCTACTAAATAGTTGTATAAAATGCATGCAGGACCCTTCTTATGAATATAAGTCAAATCTTTTTAGTAGTCAGTATAGCTTTAGACTTTACTTACCCAAATTTGTGTCACTGCTGTTTGTGATGATAGTTAGCAGGACCATAGTGACCCCTGGTGGAAAGATTAAGCTGTATGTAACCATTTGCACTTTCTACTGGAAGTAAAAGTGATGACTTTCTTGTGAAGTTTATCTCACTACAGCCCATCTGTCACCACAAATGCTGTGATCAGTCACATGGTTTGTGTTGGTAACTTTTAGTGGATTCATTTTTAGGCAAGGTTTATCTTTGCAGTAGTTTGCAGTAAGCATGCTGAATATGGCTGTCATGATTACTCAAATAATTTTGATTACTTGATTAAAAAGTATAAAGTAAAAAATGAATGTATCAGCTTTAGTTTGCGATTTTAATGGTGATAATGCATTTTAAATTCTCCTAGTGGTCTATCTTAGAGCAAAAAAACACAGCCTGATGGATCCGAGAGAGAAATATACGGTAGCAATTAGGGCTGAAACGATTTACTCAAGAAACTCAATTACTAAAGATCATTGATACAAAGTCTTTGCACAGAAGCTTTGTTTAATGCATAGAACTATATACAGTTCACTGTGTTTCACAGGGATTAGTTTTACCGCCACACAATGTGAACATGCACTCCTCACACACCTGCACCCCTCACAGTGGACTATAAAATACTCCAGAAAGCAAAGCCTGAAGAAGTCCATACAGTGTTCAGTTTTTGCGACTGCACCAGGAGGATTATATTAGGCTCAAGAGGCAATTCAGATCACAACTGCTGGCACAGATGGCACTGACTTTGTGTGTTTCAACCTGAATCTCCAAACACAGCCCTAACTGCTGCTGGTCTGGGTCCCAGGTTTAGAAAACTTGAGTTCTTGCCTGCTGATGAAGCATTGAAGGTCCAAAGCACAGTACAAACCATGGCACATGAGACAGCCCAATGGAGAACCAAGCTCACGGGGGCCTGCATGCACCCAGCAGTCCTCGGCATTGCCTGATAAGGAAGACAATGGAGGGTCCGCCAAAGCACTGCGCAAGGAGGCAAAAATGTGGGAAGAGGGCTGGGGTCCATGCTAGGCCCGAGCCGGCCAGCTGTACCATCCATCTACTCCCCAATGTCTGCTCACTGGACAATAAACTGGACTACATCAGACTCCAGCAGACTACCCAGCGTGAGTTCAGAGACTGCTGCTTTGGTTTTTACTGAAACGTGGCTTAGCGACAACATTCCCGGTGCTGCCATTCAGCTGGACGGGCTGGCTGTGTTTCTTGCCAACTGGAATGCAGCTCTGTCGGGAAAAACATGTGGAAGATATGTGTGTGTTTACATCAACATGGATTGGTCTAAGAACTCTGTGCTTGTCACAAAATGCTGCTCTCCGCTTGTGGAGTTTGTGTACTTTTATCTACTGCATGAATTCACCTCCATCCCCCCTAGCGCGGACACCAAGGAGGCAGCCTGTGACTCTAGGGAGCCATCAGTGAACAGCAGAACAAGCACCCAAAAACTGACTGTTTATTGTCACTGGGGATTTTAATCATGCACATCTCAGGTCAGTGGGCCCAAAATTCCATCAACATGTGGACTTTGCAAAGAGTGAGATGAACGTGCTGGACCTTGTTTAGACAAACATTTCCAATGCGTACTGGGCGGAGCCCCGTCCCCACCTCGGCTACTCAGACCACATTTCTGTAATGCTAATCCTCACATACAGACCACTCCAAACCAGGCAGAAGCAAACCTGTCCAGCATGAGACATTTCTGCTCTTCAAGACATCCCTTGTAGTCTGTTTTGAGCAGACTACATGGGATGTGTTTAGGGAGGCTGCCACCGACAGTGACTCTATTAACTTGGAAGAATATACAGCATCAGTGATCAGCTATATTTGTAAGTGCATTGATGATGTTACTGTCTCCAAAACCATTAGCAAAAATCAGAAGCTGTGGATGACTGCTGAGGAGCGCAAGGCCCATGATTCAGCCTTTAGAGCAGGTGACAAAGCGGCCCTAAGAACAGAGAGGGCCAAACTGTCATGAGCTATCAGAGAGGTGAAGCGCGCACAGAAGAACCGCTCCCACTCCACTGGCGAGGTTCAGGTTGCAATCAGGGCTCTGAGGCTGGTGATACTAACTACCTCTCTTTAGCAGAATCGAAAGTTATGGATATATTCTCCCTGGCCAGACAAGAAATATCTACCTTCCTTCTCTGAGGGTGGTTCAAACTTAAGGTGTGTAGACGAACAGGCATATTACAAAACAACAAAGGTTTCAGATCTGAAAATGTAGCGTTCTAATACTTCTGACCTGTCTTTCTGACCAAGGCCAGCACAAACTTAGAAACTTAGCTATCCTTTTGTTGCGAACGCATGAATCTGAACTGAAATCAAATTTGCGGTGCACTCTGGTTTTGCTTGGCTGGAGGCCCTACCCTTTGGAGGTGGAGCCAGAGCGCTGATAGGTTCTCCTCACCTAAGGTTACCAGCTACTCATTGTTTCCAACTCTGATTGGTTCTGCATAATTTTAGGAATGCCTTCCCCAGAATCACTGCCGCCTTTGTTTCAGCTACTTTAAACGAAGAGAAAGAAACATTTCTATATCATCAAATTGGTTTAACTTTCAAAATCAAGGAATGAAAAACTAGGATATTCAGGCATGTTTCTAAGAGAGAGTTTAACCCTTGTTACCTGATACACAACACATGTCAAAGAACACAGGTACTATTTGCCTATCATATCTGAACATGACCCAATGCATGAAAAATAAAATTGACAATAAAAGGCAAGGAACAAAGGAAGAAAAGAAAAGAAAACCACATTCAGGATGCAGATTGGTCAATGGTCTAAACTCATAGCAATTAAATGGTTGGGTCTGACTGTTATCAAAGTTATACTCTATGTATTTCTAGTAGAATATGTAGAAAAAGATACAGGTAATATTTAGGTACTACCCAACAATAAGGTTAATACAACAAGTAATATTGCTTACAGATTATATAAATGTTGATAATCAAGCAGACAAAGCAAGAAGTTTCTTGGGTTCCTTATAAGCACAAGTACTTATGGTGGTGATGTGGTAATTAGCAGTTTCACCCCTTGGGGGTGCTGTGGGTCCATGCTTGAGATCCCTAGGGAATTTAGAAAGTTGGAATTTTGTCGTCCAAAGTCGTACGAGTTCCATTTTTGGTATGTCTAGTTTAGTTAAAAAGAGTTCTAATGAATGGTTGCAGTTTGGAGTGGACATACCTTAGAAATGTACTTTCTGTTACTTAAAGATAAAGTTGTCCACAGGACTTTGGAGGGCCATGTGGCCAATATCCTAGGGAGGCATTGTCCTGTTGCACTCTAGGTCAAGGGAGAGGGGTGCTGGTTCTTGATTCAGCTGTAAATCTGACTGAGTCTGGGGTTGGGGGGTGTTAAGCCGACAGATTTACACCTCAATTCCAGACTTGCTGGAGCCAAAAGGCCCTTAACTTTGGGTTGTTGATACGTTAGAAACACTAACCTAGGGGTAAAGTTTCAGCCAGCGTTCGCTACACTAATGTAGGATATAAAATATTTTTCTTTTTTGTGTTGAAGTAAATGTTATTTGTATGTATGTGAAGTAGAGGAATATTCATGTGTATACACAGTATACGCACTGTAATTTAACAATATTTTCCATTAAATGACAGACTTGTCTCTTAACTTTATGGAAAATGTACCAGTATTTTTTTTTTTTGCCATTTTTTTGCCAGTACTGCAGTGTAGATCTTCACATGCTAAAACACTGCAATAATTTCATGAACCTAACGTTAAAGAATTACATTTACAGACTACATCACCAAACCGTGTGGTAGCTAGCTTTGCTATTTAACTGCAAGTCACTCTATATGTGAACCGATGGCTGAGCCAGAATAATAACGTAAGCTAATATTTTTAAACTTATGAGCAATGAAGTTTTTAATGTCAGTGATCATCTCTTTCTCTTGCACACACATGTCATTCCACACCACTTCTCCCAGACCGTCTTTGGTTGTAGAGGCAGTAAATCGGCCGCTGTGGAGCATGTCACCTTAAATGTTAAGACCGCTGATCTTAACTCAAAGAATCAAATATCTTTTGGGAATTGTTTTGTGACAAGGTATAAGAGCTGTGTGTCTGAACTGCTGTTGAGAGTTGGTCTTGGTAACAGAATCGGACAGAGCACTCTTTTGATTAAACATCAGCTTTTTTGCAAACCTTGGTCTCATGAATCTCTCCATGGCAAGATCAAAGATTTACATCATATCAAAACCTCTTTCATGATTTGTTATCTTTGCCTGTGACAGTATTACTGTGACAATTACTGCACAGTGTAAACCTGCATTAAACCACTACCAAAGCTAATTGGCTGGGTGATGGCCAACCTTCTCGGACCATACCATGGCTAGTAGCACCAGGAAGAAGGAAATTGTAACTTCTAATCCACAAACTGTACACATAGCTTTGTGACACTGAAAGTCAACGTGTCACTCATACTAGAGTGATCTAATCTTGAAGTTCCATTTTTTTACCATCTGAACTAAGCCACACTTATTAATCCACTTATATGGGAAACTGATTGTTTTACTGCCTTACACAGTGTACAAACACCAGAGAGGCACTGCATTAAGTGCCTTGCCCAAAGGCACAACAAGAAATCCCTGGGATTTAATCCTTACCCTTCCTGTTGCAGCCTCATATCTCACCACTAAGCTACTGACTACAAGTCTGTGGTCTCCAAATAGCCAATTCCTCACCAGGGTGCTGTGCAGAAGCATTAATCTCTCATTTGCACTCACAAACCTTATTCGGATGGTTTATAGAACAGTTTTTAGGCGATATGTAAATGTGTCTGTGAGTGAAAAGTTCAAGAACAGTAACTATCACAACATCTTATACTTTTCATTGACAGACATAGACATACAGAACATTAAACCAAGATAGAAAAGCAAGTTAGAAAAGCAAGAAATCAACCTAAGTCAGTTGTTATTATTGTAAAAACTATGAACATTAAAGTGTTTTAGAAGAAAATTGAACCATTAAACACAACCTGAACGATGTATAATACTACGTTTTTGAAGCATGACATTTCCACTGTTACCTTTTCCTATACACTCAGAGAAAATAAAGCAATACTCACATGTCCAAAGGTGTATTATATTTCTATTCATTGTTAATAATCATTTGCAAAAAATAAAATATACTTGTCCACAGACAACACATTCAAAATATGCCTTTTGACACTGAAATGCTTCTAATCATGTGTCATTTATTTGCATTTTTTGTCTGCTAAAGGCTGGGGGGGTTTCAGTTTGTCAGGCAGCCAATCAGCTTACTCATAAACAAATTATGTGGTTTTGAAAATGTGTTAGTTTCCTGCTGGTTTGAGGCACCTTTTGGACAGAGGGCTGTGTTCTGTGATGAATATGATGTCAACAAAAGGAAGCAGGAGGTTTGCTCTCCAATTTTTTATCAAAATATGATTAATCTTTGCATGCAAGAATGTGACTGTAAAGACTAGACATAGACCTGTACCACATTACAGTGCTTTCCTATGGAAAAGCCAGTTCCTGCCCTCAAGCACATTTACTTTACAAACTTACTGTTTGCACTTTCCATACCTAGAATAATGACTTATTGTCATTATTGTATATCCTGAATGCCCACTCTATCAGGTACATCAACCGTTTAACTATACCAAGTTGTACTAACTTTACAGCTTTACACACATCTGGCACCACATTTGTTCTACTTAGGACACAGATTACTGTATGTACTGAAGCCACATACCCTGTTTGTCATGCTAGCTTTTACTGATCTCTTTTACACGGCATCATTAATGGATGTACAACTGAATAACAACACTGACTTACGTGTTCAGAGAAAAGTAGAAAATACATTGGGGTTTGTTGAAGTAAAATAACCATGCCATTTTTACAATGTAAAGAAAAATGTAACTACTTTTAACTAATTTCTGTATAAAGAGCACATGGTTCAGAACATGGAAATAATGTCTATTACAGCATGTAGTTGACCCACGTAATTACATGTCTGACTTTCTTACAAGTCAAATTACAAAAGAAAAAAGTCAGACACAAATAAAAATAGCAGTCTTTCTATTATAACTGTTTCTGTATGACTGTATGCATAGTTTTCTGTAAATTGGAAAGGATTTAAACAAATCAGCTGGAAATAATAATGATCACAAGTTTAAGATTAGAGTCTGTGGGAGGTTGTGTGCCCATACATACATACATACATACATACATCATCTAAACCGCTTATCCTTCTGGGTCGCGGTGGGATGCTGGAGTCTATCCCAGCTGTCATTGGGCGGAAGGCAGGATACACCCTGGACAGGTCGCCAGTCCATCGCAGTGTGGCCATACAGTCAGTTGCATAATTATTTGTTGTTATTGTATTTTAGCTGTCTACCACAGCATAGTCCAGCTGAATATGAGCCCAAAATGCATATATATATATATATATATATATATATATATATATATATATATATATATATATATACAAGATGACATCCTGAAAGAACATAAAAATAAAATAAAAAACATTATATATATTCCAAATTTTTCCTATTCTATTATTTAAATAAATGCAAACAGTGAAAGCATTATGATTTTGAGGGAAACATAATGAAACAAAATAAAAGCTGTTACACATGCATAGTGCCCCCAGGGTCTCAAAAGCAATTGGACAAACTAACAATCATAAATTAAATTGTAGTTTTTAATACTTGGTTGCAAATCATTTGCAGTCAATGACTGTCTGAGGTGTGGAACCCACAGACATAACCAAATGCTGGTTTCTTCCATGCCTAATGCCAGGCATCATCAAGTATCTTCAATTCACTGCAGCTGTATTTAATTCCTATTTGTTTTGAGGGAGTTTTTCCTTCAGTAAGAGAAAAGCATGCTCAATTGGATTGAGGTCAGGAGACTGATTTGGCAATTGCTGAACATTCCACTTCTTCACCAAAAACATCTTGGGTTTCTTTTGTAGTATGCTCTGGCTCATTGTCCATTTGTACTGTGAAGTCCTGCCCAGTGCGATTTGTAGCATTTGACTCAATCTGAGCAGATAATGTAGCCCTGTACACTCCAGAATTCATCGTGCCACTTTTGTCAGCAGACATATGACCAGTAAATACAAGGAAACTGCCTACATGCTCACGCCATAACACTATCTCCACCATGCTTGACAGATAAGTTGGAATGCTTTGGATCATGAGGAGTTGCTTCCCTTTTCTAATGTCATCTCCTCTCATTACTTTGCTACATTTTGTTTTACAATTATTAGATTCATCTATCCATAAGATTTTCCAGAACTGCAAATGTTTTTTTTTGGCATACTCTGTTTTTCCTGTTTTTCAGGGCATGCTTATGGTTATCTTGTGGTAAACCCTCTGTATTTGCTCTGGTGAAGTTTTCTCTTGAAACAAAGCTGACAGTCAATATTGGATGCTCATGATCTTCAGGCCCTCAGACGGCAGTGCATTAAAAACAGGCATGATTCTGTACTGGAAATCACTGTATGGGCTCAGGAGCACTTCTAGAAATCATTATCTGTGAACACAGTTCATTGTGCAGCCCACAAATGCAAGATAAAGCTGTATCATGCAAAGAAGAAGCCATATGTCAACACAATGCTCATTTTAAATGGACTGAGGCAAAATGAAAAACTGTTTTGTGGTCAGATGAATCAAAACTTGAAATTCTCTTTGGAAACCATGGACAATGTGTCCTACAGACTCGAGGAGAGGGTCCATCCAGCTTGTTATCAGTGCACAGGTCAAAAGCTTGCATCTCTGAAGGTATGGGGTTGCATTAGTGCCTATGGTGTGGGCAGCTTACACATCTGGAAAGGCATTATCAATGCTGAACAGTATATAGTGCCATTATATAGTGCCCTTGAGCAAGGCATCTAACCCCAAACTGCTCCCCAGGTGCCGTAGATAGGGCTGCCCACCGCTCCGTGTGTGTGCTCACTAGTGTGTATGTGGTGTTTCATTGCACAGATGGGTTCCAGACAACGTCTCTTTCAGGGAAGGCCTTGCATATTTCAGCAAGTCCATACAAAACCACTTGCTGCATCCATCACAACAGCATAGTTTCGCAGAAGAAGAGTCCGGGTGCTGAACTGGCCTGCCTGCAGTCCAGACCTTCCACCGATAGAAAACATTTGGTGCATCATGAAACGAAAGATCCGGTAAAGAAGACCCAGAAATGTTGAGCAGCTAGAATCCTACATCAGACAAGAATGGGACAACATTCCTCTAACAAAACTCCAGCAATTGGTCTCCTCACTTCCCCTGACGTTTATACACTGTTGTTAAAAGAAGAGGGGATGCTACACAATGGTAGACACGGCCCTGTCCCAACTTTTTTGAGAGGCGTTGTTGCCATCAAGTTCTAAATGAGTTCATATTTTTCATGAAATGGTAAAATATCTCACTTTCAACATCGGATATGTGTTCTATGGTTTATTATGAATAAAACGTGGTCTGGGAGATTTGCAAATTATTACATTCTGTTTTTATTTAGATTTATTCACATTTTACACACCGTCCCAACTATATAATCTACATAGAACCACATGAACTAATATAAATCATTCAGCTTTAGCCTTAACCCTCTTTAGCTTCTGTAGGATATTTTTCACTTCATATGATTGTTGTTTTTCAGGAAATGAGGAAATTGAAATTCTGACTGAACATTGATCATTTTTGCTCTAAAATGCCTTGATTGATGCAACAAGGTTTTCATGGGTCAAAATGTTGAAGGTCCATGTGAAATGACAATTTGTGTAACATTAAAAGTCCCGAGGTCTTTAGTCTGGCCCTTTCTACTGCCACTGTTTGTCTATGGAGGTTACATGGCCATATGCTTAATTTTACACACATTATCAATGGTGTAGCTGATATACCTGCGCTCACTAATTAGAAGGAGTGTCCAAATAATAGCATACTTTTGGTCATATAGTGTACTTAACAATTTATTATTTCAAAATATGTTTTTCAGGGACTGAATTATGACTTCAGGAGAACTTTCACAAATAGAAAGCAACAGAATAAAGCACTGATGCTAATCATGTGGCATATGTAGGTATTGGATGGGTGGTGAAGGTTTGTTTAGGGGAGGAGGGGGGGGTAGGATGTATGAATACATCGTTATGTTTGGCTGCTGGGCTTGTTTTATATATAGACAGCTGGCCTGTCTGCGGAACAAGAGACTCCGTGTGAATGCTTCCTGATATATTTCAAAACCATATCAAAACAAGAACAGGTCAGCTTCCCTGAGCCATTTTTTCAGAGCAGGCCTTCACAGGCTATGCTGGTGAAAACAGGTTATCTTATAACAACCAAGTGCTCTAAGGGAGTCACCCTCATGGGGATTCGGACCCTAATTTTCTGTAAAGATGCTTTCTGACAGAGCCCGCTCTAAAAAGCACTATATAAATAAACCGTGACTTGACTTGTTCGAAATGAATTATCGATCAAAAAAGTAGCACAAGTCATTTACAGCATTTGGTAGATGCACTCCTTACAATTTGACTATTTCACACAGGTAGGCAAAGGTAGTGTTAGGAGTCTTATTGGTACAGTGTAGGGTGTTTGCCAAGGCAGGGGATTGAACCGCAGTCTACAGCGCAAAAAGCAGAGGTTTTACCCACCACACTATACCAACCTCATTCAAAAACTGAATTAAAACCAACCAGTTTCACACAGTACTTTGAGTTTTTGCTCTGAGATTCAACTCTTTGAAATGAAGGTATGCATGATTTATTAGTGTCAGTTGAAATAAATAGTTTGTTCTATTCTTTTTTTTCTTGCTGAAGGCCCTGTTGACTCCACCACCGAAGACACGACTGAAGACAAGCCTGCTGTTTCTGCCTTTCCACAACTTCCTATTCTTATTGTCTCAATAGATCAGGTGAGGAGAAAAACCACAGGATTCTGAAGGCCTGCACTATCCAGTCCTGCTAGCTAGCTTCAGAAACATGGATGTGGGCTTCAGATCAGATTTATGTTGAACAGCAACAGCTGACAGTTACAGAAGCCATTGGCCCCGGCTTGTTTTGCAAATTTCCATTAATCAACTACAGTGGAGACCCTGGAGATATCAAACCTTGTCATTATCAATTGTGGTGTGGAACTGAACGGCTTTGGGTGGCCTTTCCAGCTATTTTGGTGGTATGTTATGTGCCTTTTCTGCCAGGTGTAAAATAAAGAGCACAACTTGCAGCAAAAATCATGGCCTGCCCTGTGTCTTACTCTATGCTGACACCACAATACAGGCAGGATAAATAAAATAACTAGTTACAGATAAATACAGAATTTAGCCAAGATAGTTCCAAACCACAGTACCAAGAAGGGGAATTCAGTGACAGTTATTACATCTTTTATATAACAGGAGCCTAAACAATACTTTATTATGACATCTAACCATTGGAATGAGGCGTTTACAAGACTTGCTGAAACTTCTTCTAGTCTCAAGTTTAAGTATTGGATGCTTTCTCACACAAAGACCATTTCAAAGAAAGACAACTTGAGGAAACCAACAACCCAGTAAATAGAACCAGGTATGCTTACACATACAAGGACATGGTTTTGGTTACAGGAGCTCACAGTGGACAGTATCTGACAAACATTTTACAGTAGTAATAGTAAATAAAAGAGTATATAAAATAAAAAAGTTCAATAGTAAATTAAATAAAAATAAATAAAAATAAACACACACACATCTTCTAAGCCGCTCATCCTTCTGGGTCACGGGGGGAGTTGGAGCCTATCCCAGCAGTCAATGGGTGGAAGGCAGGATACACCCTCGACTCCATTCAAAAACATCCTGAACCGACTAATTTACTGACACAGCCATTCTCACTACAGGTTTGTAGTTTGAAGAGATTTGCCTTTTTTTTTTTTTTGATAGAGGAAGTAAAATTTAAAGATAGTTGTGATTGGCTGAGGGGCATGTCAATCATTATTTTATTTTTGAATTCTACCATTGCATGATTGCAGACAAAATAACCACATTTGGTTCTCTAAAGAACCATTCAATATGTGGATCTTTGGAGAAATGGGGTGTGTGAGGATGAAGAACCCTTTTGTTAATATAATATAAAGGTTCTTGGAAGAAAAGCCCTAAATTGCTAATGCAGCTTTTTTGTGATGCCATGCAAACCAATACATTCACATGTATCCATCTATTTACTCCACAGCAGTTTAGCCCCGCCCATTCATGCCAGGTAATTCCCACCATCTTTTGAACTCATCTGCAAAAAATGCAGCTTTTTGCGTGGAAATAAATGCCTGCATATTATTTGAACCTTATTTTTTATTGAAGCAAATAGAAATGTACAGATTACATTCTGAATTTAAAAACCTCCACCCAGCATATGAATGTGGTGTGTACATCAAGATTTATTACAGCACTTAGCATTTCATAAACTTCATAGAGACATTCCACAACAAATTGTATACGTTTATATATATGTTTTTATATCAGAGATTTGAGTTTAAAATTCACAAAGACTTTAACATATCACAATATTACAGACTCATATATAGCAGTTTGAGTTAAACCTTTTAAATTGTTAATAGTATATAAGCAAAAAAATCTCCGTCTCTCTCTGTTGGGGCAGTTTAAGTGGATCAGTGTTGTTTCTTCAAGTCTAAAAAAAGATGACAAACAAAATTAAGGCAGAACACACACACACACACACAAATACACACTCGCCTACTCAGTTAATTTATATTAAGTACACATTGTGCTGTTTTAATAACACTACACTAATAGGAGCACAGTAAGAAATGTATATTATAATATATATATATATATATATATATATATTCTTTCAAAGAAGGGCAAAAATTATATAATGATACATTTAATATTCAAGGTCCACTTTATTATGTGCTGTTATCAAATAAGTAAAAAGCTCATTGTTATGAACTTCAGCGGATCCAAGATAGCACCATATGAATTGGCTAAGATGGGGCTGATCTAGCCCAAGCTTTAGATTCACAGATTGACTATATTTTTAATTAGGGCTATTTTTTGTCCAGCTCTGGGTTTCCACAGTTTGTAGTATTAGCTGGGACAGATAGGTCTGGTTTTAAAATCTGAGACATAAAGCCATTAAACATGAGACATTGTAAAATATTGCATGTACACACTGAGTATGAGTATGAACTTTTTAATTTTGGTTTAGACTGAGAGTTAGATCAAATAGTGAGTATGTTATTATTTGACAATAATTAATGCAAAAATGTTGTGTTTGATTTGCAGTATTATGTTATTAGAGAGCTAACAGTGGTGCTTTAGCGGCTGCACATGGGTATCTGAAGAGTCCAGAGTACAGAGTTCAGTAATGATTTGAACTTGAAATGTTGTCATGTTCTGTACATGTAGTTGCGATGAATGCTGCTGCACAATATAGTGTAATTTCTCTGATAGCTTGCAGTAGCCATTATGCACAGGTAATGTACACATCATCAACTGTAGATTGTAGCTAGCTTGACAGCTAATTTCCATCACTGATCTGTAGCATTCCCAGTGACCAGTAAAATAATGACGAGTGTAATAAGACTTTCATGTCGGTAACTCACTGGTAGAGTCTCGTACACTGGAGGACTGATTGCATCATTGTAGATTTCTTCATCCATATTTTCATCGTTCACCTCATTTCTCCTGCGTCTTCAAAGAATAAGTATTATTATGCAGGATAGACAGAGGCATTTTTATTTAAGTGATGTACATCATATATTTTTATTAATAATATAATGTAGACTACTGAATTTACCTTAATTTTATCTTGAAATGTTTTCTTACCTTCTCCAAAAATATACCGCAAGAAAAGCTGCAATCCCACAAAGTGCAATTCCAATAGCTACGTACAAAATTATTAAATAGTCTGTAGAGGGATAGACACACACACACACACACACACACACACACACAGCAACATTCGTGAAATCTGTCAACATTTGAAAAGTGTCAGAATTTTATACTTAAACTTTAAGGAAAACCTAAAAATTTAAGCAGGTTTAAGTAGGTCTAAGATATACTTCAGTTAAGGTTTAAGATAAAGCTCAGGTAAACCTGATATACAGCATGATCTAGTGGCAGATGGGTGATTTTAAATGCTTAGAATCCAAAGACCAAGTGCAGAAATGCATTCTAGCCTTCGTAACTTCAGAACATCCCACAGAACCCACTCTACTTTTGGGGCAAAGCTAAAACCAACTACATACTTGATGAAATTAGTTTTAAATGAAATCTTAAATATCTTTGTGCTCTACATGATGTATTTATATATTTCCAGCTAGAAAGACTTTTAAAAAAACACCATCACAAGATGTTTGAATTTTTCATTACATTTACGTCATGTCTTATCCTATGAGTTGATTAGCAGGTTGCAAAACAGAAATCCAACTATTGCCTGACTAATGAAGACTCAGTTTCCACATTATCTGATCACTCAACTGCACATAAACTATTTAAATAAACAAATGATTTTCTGCAGTTATTCGATTAAGTGCATGTAAATCTGTCTAGAAACCCCACCCAAAAACCTGATATAAGCTCTCTGCATTTAGCTTTTATATTATAACAAAGGGTTAAATACAGCAACATCTTACACATCAGAACACTCAGCAGACTCAGCCCTCACTAACCAATCTGATTCCATCTAGCTGTGACCAAACATGATGGTCCAATTGCCCCAAGAGGAACTACTTATACCAAACACAATCAATCAAAACAGGTAAACACAAAACATAGAATGTCCAAAGCAAACATTTCTGATTTAGGGGCAGAGCTGGGCCAGGCTTTAGCAAGAAAAACTAGCATGGAGTAAAGCATGCAGTTTATCATCATTTAGAAAATTAGAAAGCTAACAGTCTTTATTTAGACAACTGAATTATGAGAAGGTAAAACACAGAGACAGCAACTGGACACCTACTAGTGTTTGTATTTGATGGTGGAACACTGGTTGTAGAGGTCAGGGTGGTGTTTGGAGTGATGGTGTTCACATCTGAATAAAGAACAAGTTACAACAGATAAGAAAACCCAATAATTATTAGCAAAACACAGACAAATGTTCAATAACCAATGGAGTACCTGTACAGTAAGCTGCAGTGCAGAATGTTGGCCCGACAAACTTATAGATGTAATAGTTTCCTGGACATGCTTTGACTTGAATAGGGGTGGAATTATAGAAACAGCAGTCACTTCCTGACCTCCCACAGACTCCACGAGTGACTATTCCATCCTCTATCCTAGGATGAGAACCATTCAGCCACAGAGTGATATCAGTACCACATCTGGACTGATTAACACAGCTGTCTGCCATACGGATGTTCATCCCGTTATACAGCAGCCGATACCAGCCATTCCAGTTGAAGTTTCTGTCACAGTTCCACAAACCAGTCTCATTAGTGGCTCTCCAGGGCTGATCCAGCACAGTGTAGTTATTACAGGGATCAATGAACGCAGCTGTTTTTGAAATAAATAAAAATATGCATCAGTGGTGAAGTGATTTAGTTCCAGAGAACATAACCTAAAATATTAAAAACCTACAATGAAAATAACTACTCACTACTAAAATATCACTACTACTCAACTAGTGCTTGTGTCTTTTGATTCTACAGTGAATGCAGACAGTGCACCCACATACCTTAACTCATTCAAAAAACAATTAAAACTCTGTTCACTGTTATTTCTCTGCTAAATCATTATGTTGAGTATAAATTCTCTAAAATATATAGATGTTGGGATATTCAAAGTCTTTGCAGTTTTACATTGAGATTTTTCTGAAATTGTTCAACATTTTTTTAGATGCAGTTTTTTTTGCAGATTGTTGAAATTTTGCCCATCTTTGCTTCTGAGAGACTCTGTGTTTCTAAAATGGTCTTTTTATACCCAGTCATGTGAGGTAGTCGTAAATTGCTCCTCTATCTGTATTTTATTAATACCACTTACTTTTCCAGCCTTTTGTTACCCCGTCCCAACTTTTTTCATGAAATGGAAAAATGTCTCACTTTCAACATCTGACATGTGTTCTGCGTTCTATTGTGAAAAAAATGTGGGTCTATGATATTTGCATTCTCTTTTTATTTACATTTATTTACATTTTACACAGTGTCCCAACTTTTTTGGAATTGGGGTTGTATATCATGACAATTTAATGATTTTTTTTTTCCTGAAGGTGGGACTCCTTCCATCACACAATAACACAAATTGTTTTCAGTTCAGGGCAGCTGTGGCATCACCAGGATTCTAACACATAATCTCCTGATAATGGAGAAATTTAAGAAGTGGTCGTTGTTGTTTTTTTATACTGCCAAAACCAAAAGGGCAGACAATCAAAATAATGGCAGTTTACAATTTTAGGCAGATTACGACTTTAATGGCAGATTTGTTAATTTATTTCTTAGATTGGATTAAGGTCTAGAAATCTGATAAAGAGAGCTGGATTTTAGCTTCATAACCAGATTCCTCAGTGCATGTAAACTCTTACTCTGATTTCTTTCATTTTTCTCAGTCTGCAGCTTGTGAAAACAGAGTGCTGCACCAGAAATGGCAAGCAGCGATTAACAAAGGAACTGGGAGATTGCAAAAAAATACTTTTGGGGCGATGCTACAACCAACTACATGCTTGATGAAATTAAAGACTTAAATAAAATCTTAAATATCTTTGTGATCTACATGATGTATATACATATTTCCAGCTAAAATGACCTGATGTTTAAAAAAAAAAAATGCCATCACAAGATGTTAGAGTTTTGCATTACGTTTACGTCATGTCTTATCATGTGAGTTGATTAGCAGGTTGCAAAGCAGAAAACCAATTATTGCCTGACTAATGAAGACTCAGAGTTTCCACATTATCTGATCACTCAAGTGCACATAAACAAATTAAACAGATTACTGACAAAATCTGATTTTCTGCAGTTATTGGATATTAAGTGCATGTAAATCTGTCTAGAAAACCCACCCAAAAATCTGATATAAGCTCTCTGCTTTAAGCCTTTATATTATAACAAAGGGTTAAATACAGCAACATCTTACACATCGGAACACTCAGCAGACTCAGCCCTCACTAACCAGCCTGATTTCATCTAGCTGTGACCAAACATCACCCAGTAATCTCACTCCACAAACCACCCCAAATCCACTCACTACCATTGTATTAGCTTTTAGCCTTTAAATTATAGCAAAGGGTTAAAAGAGTGACATGATTCAAATTTCAGAATACTTTTGATAGTAAACATACAATCGAGATTGAAAAAAAAATTAAAAAATGAAAAATTGTGACACTAAGTTTTAAAAAAAAATAGCCAAATTCATAAATATCTAAAAAATCTCTTAGCATTTACAAGTAAAATCATGACATATCTGAGTAGCCCAGGGTCTCATGAAAACATAATTTGTGACTGTCTCATATAAATTCTTTCTAATTGTAATTGAACAAAATGACAAAACAATGACGGTTAAATCATGTTAAATTGTAAACCACAGTTAAGTTAATGATGGTGCAATTGCCCCAAGAGGAACTACTTATACCAAACACAATCAATCAAAACAGGTAAACACAAAACATAGAATGTCCAAAGCAAACATTTCTGATTTAGGGGCAGAGCTGGGCCAGGCTTTAGCAAGAAAAACTAGCATGGAGTAAAGCATGCAGTTTATCATCATTTAGAAAATTAGAAAGCTAACAGTCTTTATTTAGACAACTGAATTATGAGAAGGTAAAACACAGAGACAGCAACTGGACACCTACTAGTGTTTGTATTTGATGGTGGAACACTGGTTGTAGAGGTCAGGGTGGTGTTTGGAGTGATGGTGTTCACATCTGAATAAAGAAAAAGTTACAACAGATAAGAAAACCCACTAATTATTAGCAAAACACAGACAAATGTTCAAAAACCAATGGAGTACCTGTACAGTAAGCTGCAGTGCAGAATGTTGGCCCGACAAACTTATAGATGTAATAGTTTCCTGGACATGCTTTGACTTGAATAGGGGTGGAATTATAGAAACAGCAGTCACTTCCTGACCTCCCACAGACTCCACGAGTGACTATTCCATCCTCTATCTTAGGATGAGAACCATTCAGCCACAGAGTGATATCAGTACCACATCTGGATCGATTAACACAGCTGTCTGCCATACGGACGTTCATCCCGTTATACAGCAGCCGATACCAGCCATTCCAGATGACGTTCCTATCGCAGGTGGACCCTCCAGTCTCATTAGTGGCTCTCCAGGGCTGATCCAGTACAGTGTAGTTATTACAGGGATCAATGAACGCAGCTGTTTTTGAAGTAAATAAAATATGCATCAGTGGTGAAGTGATTTAGTGCCAGAGAACATAACCTAAAATATTAAAAACCTACAATGAAAATAACTACTCACTACTAAAATATCACTACTACTCAACTAGTGCTTGTGTCTTTTGATTCTACAATGAACGCAGACAGTGAACCCACATACCTTAACTCATTCAAAAAACAATTAAAACTCTTCACTGTTATTTCTCTACTAAATCATTATGTTGAGTGTAAATTCTCTAAAATATACAGCTGTATGCAAAAGTTTGAACACCCATAGTTAAATTCCTGTGAATGTTTTGTTGATTTTTTTAACTGAAAATAAGCAATCACACTTAAATATGGAATTTTCTATTTATTTATTGAGTTTAACATACTGGGAAAAAGAAAACATAAAACCTGCCATAACTTTTGCACAGGCCACATTAAAATGTGCAGAAGTGTGTTCTCTGTAAAGGATCAGTTAAGGGTGTTTCCACACCTGCTTCAGCATCTCAAGTGGATTCAGACCACTGAGTCACGGTTTTCTGGGCACATGTGATCACGTTAATAGTCCCCAAAAACAAACAGAAACTCAGATCACCTCTTGAGGTGGTTTCTGTACAGTTCATTTGTAGTTTGTTTTGTGGTTTGATTGACTTTTGCATTGTGAAAACAAAACAGCCCAAGACCACCACATAGTGTTTTGCATTATGGTAACCTTGAGGCCTACTGTATGTAAATAGTCACAGAGTCATTCTCCCATATTGGCCAAGTTTCAGTGTGGCCAATAGGAGAGCTGTAGATATATCTGATCAGTTCCTGTTGTTACTCATATTGATCCAGACCCCTTAAAGTCTGCTGTCATCAGAATATAGATGATATTTATATACTGGATAAAATTCTTTGGTCCCACTTCATATTAAGTGCCTCTAATAACTGTGTAGTTACATATGAATAATCTATGCAACAACAATGTAACTACTGATGATTTAGTCAAAGTTACAGATGGATTATAGAACTACAGCCTATGTAATTATACAAGTGGATCTTACAGGTCAGAAGTATTTTCCAGCAGTAAAAGGAAGTATGTTTTGCAATTTTTTTTTTTTGCAAGTTTTGTATAATTACTGTGAAATAACTGTGTTGTAACAAGGTAACCTACTCACATCTCATTGATTAATACCATTCTGTAATTGCTCTGTACCTATATAGCAACTACACTTGCCTGTAGTGTTAAAGATACACTTTAAAATAAGTGGACAGTTCCTGTGTAGTTGTTATGCAGGTACTGTGTAATAATGCAGTGGTAATATAGACATTGCTTTTAATGCAATACCTGTAATTAATGTTATAAAAAATACATTTTTAATATAAGGGGGCATCTGCTGTACCATCACATTACAGAATAGTTTAAAGCTGAAACTGGTTACAGTGTCTCAGCACTACCAACATAAATGCTAGCTAAATGTTAGGAAAGCTGGCAGATACAGTGTAAGTAACGCCTTAATGTAAGTTATTACATACTTCCTTTTACTGCTGGAAAAGACTTTTGAAAACTGCTGTTTCAGTCTGATTACAAATGTAATTACATTTGTGTTATTACATGAGGAAGAATAGGCAGTTACAACTATTAAGATGCACCTGTGTAATTACATGAGGCAAAACTGAAGTTGATACACATGTGTAATTACACAAGGTGTATTGCTTTAATCTGTGTGTAGTCATTAATAGCTACATTGTTGTTGCATATATTGTTCATATGTAACGACACAGTTATTAGAGACACAATATAAAGTGGGACCAATACTTTTAATCAATTTTGTTTATCATTTTACTACTCGTGTTTTTTTTTGTTGTTTTTTTTAGGATATGCTAGTCTAGTATAGCCATTCATTTGTTTTGACTGTGCTGTTTAAGTGTATAATACACTTAAACAGCTTAATACACTCCTTTCTTTGTCTCTCTCTCTCTCTCTCTCTCTCTCTCTCTCTCTCTCTCTCCTTTATCACTCAACCAAACTACTATACAAGTGTGCAATGAACCAATGAGAACATCACTGATGCTTGGCTGCACTCTGCGGTCCACCAATCAGAGTTGTTGCTTGTGTGGACAGGCAAGTGTGGGTGTATTTATACATACATAGTAGTTGTTTGATTGTTTAGACACATCAGGTAAGGGACGAGTGCCACCTGCTGTGTTTTGGTGAGGATTAGACTTGGCTAGGCAGATTTTGGTTTATTGATTTCATTTCTTTGGCACCGTCCTCCGTCCACGTTTGCGTTTGGTTGGGTCACACAAGTCAATGTACACACTTAACCCGTGGTTAGTTTAGCTCTTTCTTTGTAAATATTATTCTTACATACACTTTTTGCAAGTAGGAAGGAAAGTAAAGTAAAAAAGCATTGACTGAAATTGCAATGTGTCCTAGTGTCCTTCCCTTCCTTCTTCCATCACATGCCACATGTTACCTCTCCTCTACCTCTAGCTACATCTGAGGGGACCGTAACAGCAACAAACTAAAACAAGTTTTCTTGGATCACTGTTAGGAATTTGTCTCCTTCTTTATTTGGTCCTAGCTAGGGTTTGATTATTTTTTTCTATATGAAAAAAATGAGACTGTCATAATAATAATGATAATAATAATAATAATAAGAAGAAGAAGAAGAAGAAGAAGAATAGTTCGTATGTTAAAGGGTGTCTTGAACTCAAGACAGCTGTCAACAGCTTAAGGTGACACTTTCCAAACAGACTATGAAGGGAACATTTAATTTGTTTTTTGAACTAAAATTCACCATAAGATACTGACCATATCAGCTGTACATTCATTATTAATAAAAAAAGAGGAAGCTGCAGACTTTACCTGCACAGTATGTGGGCATTGGAAGTGATAAAGCTGGCTTGATGAGTCTGTAGACGTAGTAATTTCCTGGGCAGGCTTTGACTTGGATTGGGTTTGATCTATAGGAATTACATTGTCTGCTGTCAACTGAGGATCCATAGATGTCTCGGGTGACGATGCCGTCCTGTGGTACAGGATGAGATCCACCAAGTAGAAGTGCAGTGTAACCACCACAGGTTATATAACTCCAACACCAATCAGATTCAGGAATCTGAGCACTTTTTCCCTGAAGATTCAGACGATACCAGCCACTCCATTCAACAAGAGTGTCATCAAAGCCACCGTAGCTGGTGTAGAACACACTGTTTGTTCTTCTCCATTCATTATCAAGAACAGTGTAGAGACTGCAGGGGTCAGAAGTCATGTTGTTTGCAGTGTCTGCCATGGAAAAAGGATCATAAAAAGCAAATATTTTCTGTACAATTCTCACTGCTTTATACCCAAAATCACAGAACACACAAAAACCAAACATCAAAAAACACATGTATATGTTTGATGTTTAATTGTAATGAGTAGTAGTGATGATGATGATGATAATGATGTTCATGATGACCTTTTGCCTGACCCTTCGGATTGTTTGCCTGTATGTTTGTGCTTCTCTGTTATTTGCCCTTTTTGGATCTGTGACTGTTTATTGACTTCGATTTTGGATTGTGTTTTCATCAGTAAAGCCTCTCATTCTACTTTTACCCGCGAACGTCTGTGTCATTCTATCATGTTACAGAATACTGCATCTACCATGCAGATGGCGGATCCTGAGGCTTCACAGAAAGCTCTCACTGAGCAAGGATATCTGCTAGACCGACACCAACAAGTATTAGCCAGGGTAACTCAATCCCTTGAGTCCTTAGCTCATCAACAATCTGAACAACAAGTTCAGCTGGCGTTACTGGTTAACAGCATGAAGGATCTCACCACCCAACCTCAGACCCTCAGTACAGTTGAGCCGGGAAGGGAGCTCCGTCAGCCCTACAACCCAAGCTGAAGCTGCTACTGCTCTGTTTCCAGTGGAGAATAATTTTTGGAGAATATTTTGTATGTAAAAGAAGAAAAATGTGAGTTCCACATTCAATCTGTCACGCTTTTGGGTTATGTCATTAGTCCTACCAGAGTTGTCATGGATGACAAGAAAGTTGATGCTGTGCTCAATTGGCCAACTCCAACTCCATCTTCAGTCAAGGAGCATCAGAGATTCCTTGGCTTTGCCAATTTTTACCGTGGTTTCATTCGAGGCTTTAGTACTATTGCTGCTCCACCGACTAACTTACTCAAATGCCCAAATGGCTTCATTGGATGGAACAAGCAGAACTGCTTTCTTAGCACTCAAGGAAGCTTGAGTGCTAAGAAAGGTGACATTCCCGTATACCAACCCAGAGACAGAGTGTGGCTTTCTACAAGGGACTTCAGAGCTATTGAGGGAAGTAGAAAGTTGTATCCTAAGTACATTGGTCCATTTAAAGTGTTAAAACGAGTTAATGAAGATTTGCCCCCCCGTTTCAGAGTCTCTCGCTCATTCCATGTTTCTTTGTGAAAACCTGTTATTTCAGGCCCACTGGACAGGGCCACTCCAGGCATCATGCCACCCCCTCCGGAGGTGATAGATGGAGCACCTGCGTTTGCTGTCCATTGGTTGCTGGACTCCCAGAGACGTGGAGGTGTCCTCCAATACCTGATGGATTGGGAGGGATATGGCCCTGAGGAGCAGTGTTGGGTCCCCGCACGGGATGTACTGGATCCTGGTTTGATTGCTGACTTCCGTAGTCGTCACCCGGAGAAAGCTGCTCCTTGCCCCAGAGGCTGACCATGGAAGCACCCCTCCGGTCCACTTCCTGAGAGTGTGTGGGGTCATTGTGGATGAACCCCATCTGTACAGCACCGCAGCATCTTGGGCCCTGCTTCTGTTCGTGGGTGTGGTGGTCGTTCTGGTCGGCCTCATTCCAAAGACTCTTTTTGGCGGGGGGGGGTACTGTCACAACTCCCTTTGGCTCTGAGGTCTCTTTGGACTCCATCTCCCAGAACTCCCAGGATCTCAAGACTACTGCCTCAGTCTCACGCTCCAATCAGTGCTCTAGGTCTCCAGAGTACTGATCCTGTCCACCTGCAGCTCATTCAATAGTTTAGTATGAAGCCCACTGTGTAGGATATTTCTTTGCGAGGTATTGCTTCTGTCTCTAGAGCTACTGAGCGTTCATAACTGTTTGTTATTCTGGTTCTGACTTTTCGCCCTGTTTTTGACTTACCTTTCGTCTGACCCTTTTTTGGATTGTTTGCCTGTATGTTCTTCTGTGTTATTTGCCCCTTTTGGATCTGACCTATGCCTGTTTATTGACTTCGTTTTTGGATTATATTTTCATCAGCAAAGCCTCTCATTCTACTTTTACCTGTGAGCGTCTGCGTCATTCTGTCATGTTACATATATACACACTTATAACCTCAATTCCAAAAAAGTTGGGACGCTGTGTAAAATGTGAATAAATCTAAATACTATGATTTGCAAATCTTATTGACCATATTTTATTTATGATAGAACATAGAACACATATCAGATGTTGAAAGTGAGACATTTTACCATTTCATGAAAAACAGTTACTCATTTAGAACTTGATGGCAGAAATCCATCTCAAAAAGTTGGGACAGGGCCGTGTCTACAGTTGTGTAGCATCCGCTCTTCTTTTAACAACAGTCTGTAACATCTGGGAAGTGAGGAGACCAATTGCTGGAGTTTTGGGAGAGGAACGTTGTCCCGTTCTTGTCTGATTCTGCTCAACAGTCCTGGGTGTACTTTGCCGGATTTTTCGTTTCATGATGCGCCAAATGTTTTCTATTGGTGAAAGGTCTGGACTGCAGGCTGGCCAGTTCAGCACCCGGACTCTTCTTCTTCGAAGCCATGCTGTTGTGACGGATGCAGTATGAGGTTTAGCGTTGTCTTGCTGAAATGTGCAAGGCCATCCTTGAAAGAGATGCTGTCTGGTTGGGAGCATATGTTGTTCTAAAATTTCTATGTACTGTTCAGCATTGATAGTGCCTTTCCAGATGTGTAAGAGGCCCACGCCATAGACACGAATGCAGTCCCATACAATCAGAGATGCAGGCTTTTGAACTGTGCAATGATAACAAGCTGGATGGTCCCTCTCCTCCTGAGTCCACAAAATTCCAAAAAGAATTTCAAATTTTGATTCATCTGACCACAGAACAGATTTCCATTTTGCCTCAGTCCTTTGCATGATACAACTTTAACTTGCGTTTGTGGATTGCTCGGCCAACTGTGTTCACAGACAGTGATTTCTGGAAGTGTCCCATGCAGTGATTTCCAGTACAGAATCATGCCTGTTTCCAATGCAGTGCCGCCTGAAAGCCCTAAGATCATGAGCATCCAAACTTGACTGTCAGCCTTGAATCTTGCGTACAGAGATTTCTCCAGATCTCTTCACTTTTGATCTTTTGTTACTTTGATATTATGTACTGTAGATGGTGGGATTTCCAAAGTCTTTGCAGTTTTACTTTGAGGAACATTTTTCTGAAATTGTTTCATAATTTTTAGAGGCAGTTTTTCGCAAATTGGAAAATCTCTGCCCTTCTTTGCTTCTGAGAGACTCTCTAAAATGCTTCAGTCATGTGAGTTCGTTGCAAATTGCTCCTCCAGCTTTTTTTTATTAGTACCACTTACTTTTCCAGCCTTGCCCCTGTCCCAACTTTTTTGAGATGTGTTGCTGCCACCAAGTTCTAAATAAATTAATGTTTGTCATGAAATGGAAAAATGTCTCATTTTCAACATCTGATGTGTGTTCTGTGTTCTATTGTGAATAAAATATGGGTCTATGAGATTTGCATTTTGTTTTTATTTACATTTATTTACATTTGACACAGGGCCTTGGAATCTTTTTTGGAATTGGGGTGGTATATAATATGATTTAAAAGCTAGAACAAAGTTAGCTTAGCAAGTTTTTGACAAGAACACATGCATCTTCACTGTCTCCAGTTTCAGAGGAATTTGCTGTGGTGTTACTATATTACTTGCTGAAAAGGGTCACTAGAGAAAGATGCAGGGAAAATCTGTGGCACATTTCTATTATACCTGCTGAAACTATCAGACTGATAGTTGCTGACTGGCCAGTGAGTAATTAGTTGGATTTTCCATTGGCCTGATACTGATATTAGATGGTCTGCATACTATATATATATATATATATATATATATATATATATATATATATATATATATATATTTATGCAATGTATGCCCATAAAGCCATCATTCTTTATTTAGACAAGAAAGTCTTCAAAATCCAAAATACAGTAAAACCTTGGGAAGACCTACCAGTGTTTATCTGTGATGCAGCAACACTGGTCGCATTCATCTGGGCAGTGTTTGGAGTGACGGTGTTCACATCTGAATTAAGAGAACATTGATACAAACATAAATGACCTTTGGCAACATTCTTGAAAAAATATCATCTAAAGCTAATAAAATAATCAAAGTACCTGCGCAGTAAGCAGCATAACAAACATTTGGCTTCACAAACTCATAGACGTAATAGTTTCCTGGACAGGCTTTAATTCTAATTGGGGTGGATCTGTAGTAACAACAGTCACTTCCTGAACCCCCACAGACTCCACGAGTGACTATTCCATCATCTATCTGAGGGTGAGAACCATTGAGCCACAGAGTGATATCTGTACCACATCTGGATAAAGCAACGCAGCTCTCCGGCATACGGATGTTCATCCCATAATACAGCAGCCGATACCAGCCATTCCAGTTGAAGTTTCTGTCACAGATCCACAGTCCAGTTGCATTAGTGGCTCTCCAGGGTTGATCCAGAGCAGTGTAGTTGTTGCAGGGATCTTTAAAATTAACTGTTGTTGAAACAAATAAAATAAGCATCAATCGCAAAGAAATGCAAAGTTTATTTATATATCACTGCTGTAGGGACAAAATCTTTTCTATCCATTTTTGTCATTTTTCACACTTCCACACTGAGGTTTTGATGATTTCTTGGATTTTTTTTTTTCTTAGAATAAATTTACTTTAAATTAAAGGTTGGAGTGTTATATTTTTTTCTACCTACACCTACTCCTAAATCTAAAGATACACACAGAAGCACAAAGCAACTCTCAGGAAATTGATCTAATTATTCTGTCAACATTTAAAAAGAGTAACAAATTCATAATTTAATTAAATTTTAAAATAAACTCTAAAATTTAACCAGGTTTAAGATAAACTTCTGTTAAAGTTTAAGATAAACCTCGGTTAAAATCTAATATAGAGCATGTTCTAAAGGCAGATGTGCAATTTTTAAGACTTAGAACCCACATGCATAGCTGCATTCTAGCCTTCAGAACATGCTACAGACATGGTACACAGATCAGAACACTCAGCAGACCCCACCCTCGCTAGCCAGCAAGACGTCATCACATCAGTCAGTGTGTTTAAATGCACTCAGTAATCTGATCATAATCACAGTTGTTCAGTTATCTGAAATTCTTTCTGACATTTTATAATTGAAAAACACTTTAGTTACATTTTCTTTACAAGAATTTCTGTGAGAACTCACATTGCAATAATATGAATCCTTACAGCAGATAACTCATTGGTTTATTGTTTTCTTAGACTAAATTTACATTTCTATCTTATATTTGTGCCTAACCAGCTCAAACTAACACTGACAATAAGATTGAAGAACACTAGAATGTATATGATAATTAGATTACCTGCACAGTAAGCTGCATTACAGATGAATGGCCTGACAAACTCATAGACATAATAGTTTTCTGGACAGGCCTTGACCTGAATTGGGGTGGATCTGTAGTAACAGCAGTCGCTTCCTGACCTCCCACAGACTCCACGAGAGACTATTCCATCCTTTATCTGAGGGTGAGAACCATTCAGCCACAGAGCGACATCAGTACCACATCTGGACTGATTAACACAGCTCTCTGGCATGCGGACACTCATCCCATTATACAGCAGCCGATACCAGCCAGTCCAGGTGAAGTTTCTATCACAGTAGGACCCTCCAGTCTCATTAATGGCTCTCCAAGTTTGATCCAGAGATGTGTAGTTATTACAGGGATCATAACTGGGAGTGTTGAACGCAACTGTCATGAAAACAGATGAACATTTAAAAAGAAATCAGTTAAATAACAAGAAAGGGCATTTTTAGCTTAATGAAAATGTATCAGTGATGCCCTTAAAGTCAGCAGTAGAATATGGATGATATTCTTGTTGTGAATAAAAGTCTTTTAATTATTTTTTTGATTAACCACCCACTCAACACACATATTTTTGTATATACTAGTGTATAGTCAGAATTTCTCTTCATTTATTTTAACTGTTCTGATTAAAATGTAAAATACAGCAAACTACATCAGGTTTTTCTGGATCACTGTTAGCAATTCATCTCCTTTACTTGGTCCTGGTTAAGATTGGATTTTTGTAAATGAAAAAAGTAAGACTGTAATAAAAATAACAACAAAACAACAACAACAACAATAATAACAATAACAACAATAATAATAATAATAATAATAATAATAATAATAATAGCCTACTCTCACCAGTTTAAGAAGAAGGCAACCTATGAATTACTTTTTAAATTAAAATTCACCTTAAGATACTGATCATACCAGCTGTGCACTCATTATGAATAAACAATATAGGAACCTGCAGACTTTACCTGCACAGTATGTGGGCATTGGAATTGATAAAGCTGGCTTGACGAGTCTGTAGACGTAGTAATTTCCTGGACAGGCTTTGACTTGGATTGAGTTTGACCTGTAGGAATTACATTGTCCACTATCATTAGAATAGACATAAGTGCCATAGATGTCTCGGGTGACGATGCCGTCCTGTGGTCGAGGATGAGATCCACCAAGTAAAAGTGCAGTGTAACCACCACAGGACATAGAACTCCAACACCAATCAGATTCAGGAATCTGAGCACTTTTTCCCTGAAGATACAGACGATACCAGCCACTCCATTCAACAAGGGTGTCATCAAAGCCACTGTAGCTGGAGTAGAACCTACTTTCTGTTTTTCTCCAGTCATTATTAAGATCACTGTAGACACTGCAGGGGTCAGACGTGATGTTGTTTGTAGTGTCTGTCGTGGAAGCAGAATCATAAGAAGCAATTATTTTGTGCACAATCCTCACTGCCTTATACACAAAATCACAGAACACCATTCAAAGACTGAACATCAAAAACAAATGTGTATATATATATATATATATATATATATATATATATATGTGTGTGTGTGGGTGTGTGTGTGTGTGTGTGTTTGTGTGTGTGTCTGTGTAAGCAGGGATGTCTTCCATCACACAATGACAAAAAGTATTTTCAGTTCAGGGTAGCTACTATCTCTATGATAATGGTGCTGTTGTTGAGGGTAATATTGTTTTATACTGCTAAATCCAAAATGGTGGACAATCAAAATAATGTTTGCAGTTTACGATTTTCGGCAAAATAAGACTTTAATGGCAGATTTGTTAATGCATGTTTAAAATTAAGTGGTGCAACAACAGCTAAATTTAAAGTAAAACTTAGACTAACAAATGCTTGATTAGCTCTAAACTGTTTATTTAATCCTTGTTGGTGCAACATGATAGATATGGTTTCAACCATATCTATCAAGATGGCTATTAACTGGATGATTTGCCTATCAGAAAACATGCATCTCTCATAAATTGCTCTTGTGAAGCAATTTATTGGCTGTAAAATTGGTATTTTAACAGAACACACCAACGCTAGAACAAAGTTAGCTTAGCAAGTTGGCAAGTTTCCGACAAGAACACAATCATCTTCATTGACTCCAGGCTTTGCTGTAGTGTTGCCACATGAAAGGAGTCACTTGAGAAAGATGCAGGGACAATCTGTGGCACATTTCTATTATACATGTTGAAAATGTGCTCTGACTGATTGTTGCTGACTGGCCAGTGATTACTGAGTTGCATTTACCAGTGGCCTGATATTGATAATATGTATTATAGTACAGCAACCATACTATATATGTAGTGTATATCCATAAAGACATCATTTTTATTTAGACAAGAAAGAATTCCAAATCTAAAATAATGTGAGATCTTTTGAAGACCTACTAGTGTTTATCTGTGACGCAGCAACACTGGGCGCACTTGTCTGGCCGGTGTTCGTAGTGACGGTGTTCACATCTGAATAAAAATAAACATTGACACAAACATGAATAAACATTGGCAACACTATAAAATACACAGTCTAAAGCTTATAATGTAAATAAAGTACCTGCACAGTAAGCAGCATCACAAACATTTGGCTTCACAAACTCATAGACGTAATAGTTTCCTGGACAGGCTTTAACTCGAATTGGGGTGGAACTGTAGTAACAGCAATCACTTCCTGACCTCCCACAGACTCCACGAGTGACTATTCCATCATCTATCTGAGGGTGAGATCCAATCAGCCACAGAGTGTAATATGTACCACATCTGTATTGATTAACACAGCTGTCTGGCATACGGACGCTCATCCCATAATACAGCAGCCGATACCAGCCAGTCCAGTTGAAGAATCTGTCACAGATCTTCAGTCCACTCGCATTAGTGGCTCTCCAGGGTTGATCCAGAGCAGTGTAGTTGTTGCAGGGATCATTAAATGTAGCTGTTGTTGAAACCAATAAAATAAGCATCAGTGGCAAAGAAAGTTTATCTAAATATTTTTGCTCTTTGGCCAAAAACTTTTATCTCCATTTCTGTCTTTTTTCACCTTTTGACATAATTTGAAATTCCAAACTTCCTTTACATTTTATCAGAGTTTGATGATAAATGGACTAATATATAACTTATCTCTTGGGATTTTGCTGATTTCTTGATGATGAATTTCTTTTTTTCTTAAAATAAATAAAGGTGGGAGTTTTCTGTTTTCTTTTTTCAGTGTGAGAATTTAGGCTATTTCACCAAACAAAAGGTGTTTATATATATAATACTGAATGCATGTTGATATAAACGGAAGCAATATTGATATATATTGAAAAAAGACCTTTCTAAAAACTCAGCAACATATCAGCACAGGTTTTGTTACGTTAATGTCACTGCCAGGTTCAGAGTGGTGCAGCTCCCAAAAAGATTCATTCAAGAGCAGTTCTCTTCTCAGACACTGTTGAAGGGCTTGAAGATGGCTAAGAAAATCTGGCTGTATCCACAAATGCACATCAGCTAACACCAGGTGGAGCCCAAAGTGGCCAATATGTACACAAAGTGAATTCTTGGATAAAGGACTTTGAAGGAGACATGTAATTAACACTTTGAATTAAAATTCACCTTGAGATACTAATCATATCAGCTGTACATTCATTATACATACATACATACATCATCTAAACCACTAATCCTTCTGGGTCGCGGTGGGGTGCTGGAGCCTATCCCAGCTGTCGTTGGATGGAAGGCAGGATACACCCTGGACAGGTGCATTCATTATGAATAATCAATATAAGAACCTGCAGAATTTACCTGCACAGTATGTGGGCATTGGAATTGATACAGCTGGCTTGACGAGTCTGTAGACGTAGTAATTTCCTGGACAGGCTTTGACTTGGATTGGGTTTGACCTGTAGGAATTACATTGCCTACTATCATTAGAATAGACATAAGTGCCATAGATGTCTCGGGTGACGATGCCGTCCTGTGGTCGAGGATGAGATCCACCAAGTAAAAGTGCAGTGTAACCACCACAGGACATAGAACTCCAACACCAATCAGATTCAGGAATCTGAGCACTTTTTCCCTGAAGATACAGACGATACCAGCCACTCCATTCAACAAGGGTGTCATCAAAGCCACTGTAGCTGGAGTAGAACCTACTTTCTGTTTTTCTCCAGTCATTATTAAGATCACTGTAGACACTGCAGGGGTCAGACGTGATGTTGTTTGTAGTGTCTGTTGTGGAAACAGAATCATAAGAAGCAATTATTCTCTGCAGAATCCTCACTGCCTTATACACAAAATCACAGAACACCATTCAAAGACTGAACATCAAAACACATGTATTTATTTGATGTTGAAAATGATAATGATGATTATAATGAAATAATGATGTTTAAATACTCTATATGCTTTATTTTAACAGACTAGAGTTCGCTCACATCTAGCTTTAGTTCGAAATATTTCCAACTCACAATCTTTATATCATATATAAAGTGAGTACCCTAACATTTCTGCAAATATTTTATTATATCTTTTCATGGGACTACAATATATAAATTAAACTTGAATACAACTTAAAGTAGTCAGTGTACAGCTTGTATAGCAGTATAGATTTACTGTCTTCTGAAAATAACTAAACACACAGCCATTATTGTCTAAATAGCTGGCAACACAAGTGAGTACACCTCACAGTGAACATGTCCAAACTTTGCCCAATTGTGTGGTTGTCCTTCCCTGGTGCCATGTGACTTGTTAGAGTTACAAGGTTCCAGGTGTGAATGGGGAGCAGGGCTGTTAAATTTGGTATTTTGGGTACAATTCGCTCATACTGGCCACTGGGTATTCAACATAGCACCTCATGGCTCTCCACAAAGATGGCCTAGGCTATAAGAAGATTGCTTACACCCTGAAACTGAGCTATAGCACGATGGCCAAGGTCATACAGTTTTTTTCCAGGACAGGTTCCACTCCAAACAGGCCTCACCAAGGTCGACCAAAGAAGTTGAGTACATGTGTTCAGCATCATATCCAGAGGTTGGCTTCAAAAAATGGATGCATGAGTCTGCCAGCATTGCTGCAGAGACTGAAGAAGTGGAGGGTCAGCTTGTCAGTGCTCAGACCATACGCTGCACAATGCATCAACTCAGTCTGCATGGCCGTCGTCCCAGAAGGAAGCCTCTTCTGAAGCTGACACACAAGAAAGCCCAGAAACAGTTTGCTAAAGACAAGCAGTCCAAGAATATGGAGTACTGGAACGATGTCCTGTGGTCTGACGAGACCAAGATAAACTTGTTTGGCTCAGATGGTGTCCAGCATGTGTGGTGGTGCCCTGGTGAGGAGTAACAAGACAACTGTCTCTTGCCTACAGTCAAGCATGGTGGTGGTAGCATCATGGTCTGGAGCTGCATGAGTGCTGCCGGCACTGAGGAGCTGCGGTTCATTGAGGGAAAAAATAATTCCAACATGTACTGTGACATTCTGAAGCAGAGCATGATCCCCTCCTTTCGGAAACTGCGCCGCATGGTAGTTTTCCAACTCAATAACGACCCCAAATACACCTCCGAGATGACAATTGCCTTGCTGAAGAAGGTGAAGGTAAAGGTGATGGACTGGCCAAGTATGTCTCCAGATCTAAACCCAATTGAGCACCTGTGGGGCATCCTCAAGTGGAAGGAGGAGGAGTGCAAGGTATCTAACATCCACCAGCTCCGTGATGTCATCGTGGAGGAGTGGAAGAGGATTACCAGTAGCAACCTGTGCAGCTCTGGTGAATTCCATACCCAAAAGGGGGTTAAGACAGTGCTAGATAATAATGGTGGTCACACAAAATATTGACACTTTGAGCACAATTTGGACATGTTTGGTGTGAGGTGTACTCACTTGTGTTGCCAGCTATTTAGACATTAATGGCTGTGTGTTGAGTTATTTTCAGAGGACAGTGAATCTATACTGCTATACAAGCTTTACACTGACTACTTTAAGTTATATCCAAGTTTCATTTCTATAGTCTTGTGCCATGAAAAGATATAATACAATATTTGCAGAAATGTGAGGGGTGTTCTGACTTTTGTGGGATGCTGTGTGTATGTGTATATATGTGTGTGTGTGTGTGTGTGTGGGTGGGTGTGTGGGTGGGTGTGTGGGTGGGTGGGTATATGGGTGGGAGGGACGTCTTCCATCACACAATGAAAAAAGTATTTTCAGTTCAGGGCAGCTGTGGCATCACCAGGATTCTATCTATGATCTCAGATACTATCTCATGATAATAGCAGATACTTAAGAAGTGGTTGGTGTTGATTTTTTTATGCTGCCAAATCCAAAAAGATGGACAGTTAAAATAATGGCAGTTTACGATTTTTGGCAAATTTTCACTTCACAAAAGTGAGTACACCCCTCACATTTCTGCAAATATTTGGTCATATCTTTTTTATGGGAAACACTATAGAAATGAAACCTAAATATATATTTATATAAATTTATATAAATATAAATATTGATATAACAAAGTTGTCAGTGTACAGCTTGTATAGCAGTATAGATTTACTGTCCTCTGAAAATAACTCAACACAAATAGATCGTTTTGAAGACCTGCTAGTGTTTATACAACCCCATTTTCAAAAAATTCAGGATGCTATGCAAAATGAATGAAAAGAAACAATGACACAAACATGCATAAACTTGGCAACACCATAAAATACAGTCAAAATCTTATAATGTAAATAAAGTACCTGCACAGTAAGCAGCATCACAAACATTTGGCTTCACAAACTCATAGACGTAATAGTTTCCTGGACAGGCTTTAACTCGAATTGGGGTGGAATTGTAGTAACAGCAATCATTTCCTGACCTCCCACAGACCCCACGAGTGACTATTCCATCCTCTATCTGAGGGTGAGAACCATTCAGCCACAGAGCAATATCTGTACCACATCTGTATTGATTAACACAGCTGTCTGCCATACGGACACTCATCCCATAATACAGCAGCCGATACCAGCCATTCCAGTTGAAGTATCTGTCACAGATGTTCAGCCCAGTTGTATTAGTGGCTCTCCAGGGTTGATCCAGAGGAGTGTAGTTGTTGCAGGGATCTTTAAAAGTAATTGTTGTTGAAACAAATAAAATAAGCATCAGTGGCCAAGAAATGCAAAATTTATTTATATTTTATTTCTGTGGAGACAAAAACTTTTATCTTCATTGTGTCAATTTGAAATCATAAACTTTCCACTTCCAAATTTCTTAAATTTTTGCACATTTGACACATTTGAACGTTTCAGATCATCAAGCTGTTTTAGACAAGGTAACCCAAGTAAATAAAAAAATCTCCTTTTAAATGATGATTTTGTTTACTGAAGGAAAAATGCTGTTCAACCCTACCAGTCCCTGTGTGAAAAAGCAATTGCCTCCTTAGCCTCAAACAGTTAACCAAATTCAGTTGTCTACTGGGCTCAATTTCCCGAGCCACATCCAGGTATGATTACTGCCAGACCTGTTGACTCTAAGCTTCAATTAAATAGAACATGCCTGGCAATGTGCTGTAGGGTAGAACGTCTCAAAAAGGAGCATATGATGCCACATTCTAAAAGATTAAAATACTGATGCGAAACAAAGTCATCGAAATCTACCAGTCTGGAAAGGGCTACACAGGCATTTCTAAAACCCTGGGACTCCAGAGAACCACAGTGAGAGCCATTATCCACAATTGAAGAAAACTTGGGACAGTGCTGAATCAACCTAGGAGTGGCCGGCCTACCAAAATTTCACACATTCAGGAAGTTACAAAAGAAACCAGATGAACATCTAAAGAACTGCAGGCCTCACCTGCCTCAGTTAAGGTCAATGTACTTGACTCCACAGTAAGAAAGAAACTGGGCAAAAACGGCATCCATGGGAGAGCTGCAAGGCACAAATCACTGCTGATCAAAAATAACATACAGGCTCGTCTCACATTTGCTAAAAACCGTCTAGATGACGCTCAGGATTTTTGGGATAATATTCTGTGGACTGAGGAGTCAAAGGTGACATGTTTAGTCATGAATCCGGTTACATCTGGCCTAAAGCTAACACTGCATTCCACTATAAGAACATCATGCCAGCAGTAGTGTGATGGTCTCTGGCTGCGTTGTTCCTGCAGGATCTGGACAAGTGTCATAGTTGATAGAACCATGAATCTTGCTTTCCATCAAAAAATAAAAAATAAAAGAAAAAAGAAAAGGAGAATGTCTGCCCATCACTTTGTGACCTAAAGCTCAAGCACAATTAAGTTATGCAGCAGGACAATGATCCAAAGCACATCAGCAAGTCCACTTCTGAACAACTCAAAAGAAACAAAATTGAGGTTTTGGATTGGATGAGTTAAAGTCCTGACTTGAATCCCAATGAGATGCTGGGGCAAGACCTTAAACAGGCAGTTCATGCATGAAAAGTTTTATTGCCATTGTTACTGGATTGCAGTTGTAAGGCCACAGCCAGTTATTAGGTTTTGGAGGCAATTACTTTTTGACATGGGTGATATAGATTCTTAACAAATCTTCATCTTCAGTAAATGGAATAATCGCTGCAGTTTGTGTTTACTTGTGTTGTCTGTATCTTGTATTAAAGTGCCCAGTGTACACCTACTCCTAGACCTAACCCCAACCTTATCGTCAACACTAAGCCTACATCTACTCCTAAATGTAACGAATGAAACATAGTTTCATCCAATATATTCAACATTTCATTCCATATATTCAGAGGTTTCAGTCATTAGATATATAAATAATTTCCTAAATGGAGAAAACTTTGAGAAGTGCTGGAAACATATTTGAGATTGGTATGATGGTGCTTACATCTGAAAAGAAGTAATAATAAATAAACAAACAAATGAATAAAATAAAAAAAGGTAGTTTTTAGAGGGATTATAATGGAGAGTGTTAAAAGTAATGATGGAAATATAAAAAAGCTAATATAATAAAAGTGTCCTATAGAGCATAGATAACATTAAAAAGCACATGTAAAAGTGACTCAAATATAATGTGAGATTATTGTTCGCACAGCTCTCAATAAATAGACCTATATGTCACGTTTACACATGACCTGTTTGGAATCACTCTAACCCTGTAAGGTGAACTTAGCCTGAGCTATTGACGTGCAATTACCTCACTAGATTAGAGGGGGGTACATGCTATAGAGTAAGTACATAGAGTTAAATTTCTGGTATATACTCTGGACATGATTAGTAACTATATGGGAATTTTCAAGCAGGTATAACAGTACATTCTCAGAGATTAATTATAAAATATTATGGTGAAAGGACTGAAAAATAAGGTATCTCGGAACATAGTAATTACGCAGTAACTACCTGTTAAACCATTCTCATCTTTTAAAGATATTTACCAGACATATTACCTGGCACATACTGGTAAATTCTAACTATAAACTATCTGTTTTCTTGTTTTTGTATTTTTCAGAGCTAAACCCTTACATAGTGTAGATAACAATATATAATATTCAAAAGCATATATAATGTTCATAACACAGTGTAATAGATCAGATTTAGGTTAAAGCACAGCAGTGGTAAGTAGTGTTTGAATGCTATGGTGAAATATGGATAAATGAGGCAAATAATCACACAGGATTAAGTTAACTACAGAACACAACTAACTGGATTTTAGAGTTCAGCTTTGACACACGGACACCCCAAACGTAACTTCAACTGTAAACCTACACTTACTCCTGCACCTAACCCTAACCTTAAGTTCAACTCAAAATCTAAGCTTAAACCTAAACCTAACCCCAATGTTAACTTCAACACTAAACCTACTCCTAAATGTAACCCTAACCTTAACCTAAACACTAAACATACACCTACTCCTAAACCTATCCCTAATCTTAACTTAAATACGAAACCCCGCCTACTTCTAAATTTCACCCTAGCCTTAACGTAAGCACTAAACCTACACTTACTTCTAAACCTACTCCCAAGCTTAACTTAAAAAATAAACCTAAACCTAACCCCAATCCTTAAATTCAACACTAAACCTACATCAATTCCTAAACGTAACCCTAACCTTAAGTTCAACCCTAAACCTACACATACTTCTAAACCTCACCTAAACTTGACTTTAACACTAAACCTACACCTACTCCTAAATGTAACCCCAAGCTTAACTTCAACACTACAGCTCAACCTATTGCTAAACCTAACCCCAGTCTTAAATTCAACACTAAACCTACATCTCCTTCTAATCCTAACCCTAACCTTAACTTCAACACTAAATCAACTACCTATTCCTAAACCTAACCCTTACCTTCACTTCAACACTAAACCTACACCTACTCCTAAACGTATCCCTATCCTTAATTTCAACCCTAAACCTATATCTACTTCTAAACCTCACTCTAACCTTAACATCAACACTAAACTACACCTACTCCACAAACTCATCCTAACCTTAACTTCTACACCTACTCCTAAACGTAGTTACATTCAATATATTCAACGTTTCTTTCCATATATTCAGAGTTTTTTCTCATTAGATATATAAATAATTTCCTAAACGGAAAAAAAAACTTTGAGAAGTGCTGCTGAAAAGCATTAGTATAGTAATATTCCCTCTGGAAACCTACTTGGAGTGGAGGTCAGTTCAGTCCCAGTGGCTGCTATTGTGATATTTGAGATTGGCGTGATGGTGTTTACATCTGAAAAGAAGTAAAAATAAATTAATAAATTAAATAATAAAAAGGGGGATATCCCCCTTACAAGCTATCATGTCCCGGGGAAAAGGGAGGGACGCCATAGCATTGAGGTCTTTCAAGTGAATGGGCAAGGATTTTAGGTAGGGGTTGTTGTGGGAGCTCCTGTGAGGTGAATGGCAGGTTTCTTTCTGTAATAACATTTAACTGATTAATGAGGGTGTTAATTATGTCCTCACTCTTTAGGATAACTGCTGATAGATTTTGTGTTGACTCAGTCTTGGTGAGGCACTGCTTGCATCCGTATGGAATCTCACACATCCAAAACACAAGACGGCTTCAGTGCCTTGACGACGTCAGATTTCATTCCATATTCTCAAGTTTCCTTCAATGTATTCAGACTTTTATTCCATAAATGGCATGCCATAGTATATATATATATATATATATATATATATATATATATATATATATATATATATATATATGCATACATGTGTGTGTGTGAGAGACAGATAGAAAGAGAGGCACCCCAGAACTGTGAAGGGCATCTTAAAAATGTGAACTGCACCTGAATTGTCCACCTGAAGTCATTCACATGTCGTTGATCGATATTCAAACTTGTCTTCTAAGTAAGATTATTCAGAGTGAAAGACGTTGAGAAGTGCTGCTGAATAGTATTACATTAACTAGTAAGTTACTCAACATGATACTGACTAATCAGATTGCCACTTCAGCCCTAAAACATTCCTGCATGAGCGATCAGTGGCTTTTTTTTTATAAAATTAAGCAGACATTTATATGGTCATGTTGCAGTCTAAAGGTGTCTGTTCACCTTTACAACCTGATATTCTCAATTATCATTATGACCAAAATCTTAACAAACAATGTGATACTGTGATCCACTACAGTGTTGATTTGGTCTGTGAGTTATTTCAAGGTTAAAATAAGAATTCAGAGTCCCTCTGGAAACCTACTTGGAGTGGAGGTCAGTTTAGGCCAAGTGCCAGCCATTGTGATATTTGAGATTGGCATGATGGTGCTTACATCTGAAAAGAAGTAATAATAAATAAATAAACAAATGAATAAAATAAAAAAAGGTAGTTTTTAGAGGGATTATAATGGAGAGTGTTAAAAGTAATGATGGAAATATAAAGAAGCTAATATAATAAAAGTGTCCTATAGAGCATAGATAACATTAAAAAGCACATGTAAAAGTGACTCAAATATAATGTGAGATTATTGTTCGCACAGCTCTCAATAAATAGACCTATATGTCACGTTTACACATGACCTGTTTGGAATCACTCTAACCCTGTAAGGTGAACTTAGCCTGAGCTATTGACGTGCAATTACCTCACTAGATTAGAGGGGGGTACATGCTATAGAGTAAGTACATAGAGTTAAATTTCTGGTATATACTCTGGACATGATTAGTAACTATATGGGAATTTTCAAGCAGGTATAACAGTACATTCTCAGAAAAAAAAAAAAAAGATTAATTATAAAATATTATGGTGAAAGGACTGAAAAATAAGGTATCTCGGAACATAGTAATTACGCAGTAACTACCTGTTAAACCATTCTCATCTTTTAAAGATATTTACCAGACATATTACCTGGCACATACTGGTAAATTCTAACTATAAACTATCTGTTTTCTTGTTTTTGTATTTTTCAGAGCTAAACCCTTACATAGTGTAGATAACAATATATAATATTCAAAAGCATATATAATGTTCATAACACAGTGTAATAGATCAGATTTAGGTTAAAGCACAGCAGTGGTAAGTAGTGTTTGAATGCTATGGTGAAATATGGATAAATGAGGCAAATAATCACACAGGATTAAGTTAACTACAGAACACAACTAACTGGATTTTAGAGTTCAGCTTTGACACACGGACACCCCAAACGTAACTTCAACTGTAAACCTACACTTACTCCTGCACCTAACCCTAACCTTAAGTTCAACTCAAAATCTAAGCTTAAACCTAAACCTAACCCCAATGTTAACTTCAACACTAAACCTACTCCTAAATGTAACCCTAACCTTAACCTAAACACTAAACATACACCTACTCCTAAACCTATCCCTAATCTTAACTTAAATACGAAACCCCGCCTACTTCTAAATTTCACCCTAGCCTTAACGTAAGCACTAAACCTACACTTACTTCTAAACCTACTCCCAAGCTTAACTTAAAAAATAAACCTAAACCTAACCCCAATCCTTAAATTCAACACTAAACCTACATCAATTCCTAAACGTAACCCTAACCTTAAGTTCAACCCTAAACCTACACATACTTCTAAACCTCACCTAAACTTGACTTTAACACTAAACCTACACCTACTCCTAAATGTAACCCCAAGCTTAACTTCAACACTACAGCTCAACCTATTGCTAAACCTAACCCCAGTCTTAAATTCAACACTAAACCTACATCTCCTTCTAATCCTAACCCTAACCTTAACTTCAACACTAAATCAACTACCTATTCCTAAACCTAACCCTTACCTTCACTTCAACACTAAACCTACACCTACTCCTAAACGTATCCCTATCCTTAATTTCAACCCTAAACCTATATCTACTTCTAAACCTCACTCTAACCTTAACATCAACACTAAACTACACCTACTCCACAAACTCATCCTAACCTTAACTTCTACACCTACTCCTAAACGTAGTTACATTCAATATATTCAACGTTTCTTTCCATATATTCAGAGTTTTTTCTCATTAGATATATAAATAATTTCCTAAACGGAAAAAAAACTTTGAGAAGTGCTGCTGAAAAGCATTAGTATAGTAATATTCCCTCTGGAAACCTACTTGGAGTGGAGGTCAGTTCAGTCCCAGTGGCTGCTATTGTGATATTTGAGATTGGCGTGATGGTGTTTACATCTGAAAAGAAGTAAAAATAAATTAATAAATTAAATAATAAAAAGGGGGATATCCCCCTTACAAGCTATCATGTCCCGGGGAAAAGGGAGGGACGCCATAGCATTGAGGTCTTTCAAGTGAATGGGCAAGGATTTTAGGTAGGGGTTGTTGTGGGAGCTCCTGTGAGGTGAATGGCAGGTTTCTTTCTGTAATAACATTTAACTGATTAATGAGGGTGTTAATTATGTCCTCACTCTTTAGGATAACTGCTGATAGATTTTGTGTTGACTCAGTCTTGGTGAGGCACTGCTTGCATCCGTATGGAATCTCACACATCCAAAACACAAGACGGCTTCAGTGCCTTGACGACGTCAGATTTCATTCCATATTCTCAAGTTTCCTTCAATGTATTCAGACTTTTATTCCATAAATGGCATGCCATAGTATATATATATATATATATATATATATATATATATATATATATATATATATATGCATACATGTGTGTGTGTGAGAGACAGATAGAAAGAGAGGCACCCCAGAACTGTGAAGGGCATCTTAAAAATGTGAACTGCACCTGAATTGTCCACCTGAAGTCATTCACATGTCGTTGATCGATATTCAAACTTGTCTTCTAAGTAAGATTATTCAGAGTGAAAGACGTTGAGAAGTGCTGCTGAATAGTATTACATTAACTAGTAAGTTACTCAACATGATACTGACTAATCAGATTGCCACTTCAGCCCTAAAACATTCCTGCATGAGCGATCAGTGGCTTTTTTTTTATAAAATTAAGCAGACATTTATATGGTCATGTTGCAGTCTAAAGGTGTCTGTTCACCTTTACAACCTGATATTCTCAATTATCATTATGACCAAAATCTTAACAAACAATGTGATACTGTGATCCACTACAGTGTTGATTTGGTCTGTGAGTTATTTCAAGGTTAAACTAAGAATTCAGAGTCCCTCTGGAAACTTACTTGGAGTGGTGGTCAGTCCGGTGCTCACATCTGAGAAAACAACAAAAAAAAAACTTTAGTTATTACGGGGATCAAAATGAGGATTGTCGATAGCAACTGTCATGAAAAAATGCTAAAACAGTAAAAGTCTCCTGTTGAATATGGATAACATTCATATGCTTAACAAACATCAGACATGAATTTGCTCTAAAGCACATCTAATATGATGTGATCAGTGTTCACACAGCTCTGAATAAAAACACGTCCATGTCACGTTTACACACAACCTGATTTGTGTCACTTTTACTCTCTAATGTAAAAATAGCTTAAAGTAGTGTTGGCAACATGCAGCCTTTTTACTGCCCTGTTGCGTCTCCACAGCACAATTAGATTTTTAAGTCAAAATAAAATAATTCTCCTTTGCAGTAAAATACTCTCTACTGATCGTTCAACAGTTTTAACAATAAATGGTCTGGAGTTATTGTATATCTGCTAATTCATCCTTTAAGCCTGAAGATTGGCACGCAGATTGCTTGTCTCCGTAGCAACACAGACAACAGTCTTGCCTAGCTAGTAGCTAATGAAAAGGCAAAAAGAGAGATTTAAGACAAACATTGCTAATTTGGAGACAAACTGATTTATTACCACTTACAATCACTCCAGTTGGTTTCCAGATACATTTAATCTGCAGTAAGAAACTGTCAAATGCTAAAAAGTCATGAGGCTGAAGTCAGCTTCTTGTTTGGATTTTCATGTTCCACCTTAAATGGTGCAGCAGTTACATTTTGGCACCACAGGCACAGGAAAATTTGAACAAGAAGCTGGTGAATTAGAAGCTGACTTTAGCTTCTTAAAAAAGTCTAATGTTAAGGGACATTTTACAAGAAACTACTCCACTTTTGTGAAAAAGAATTCCTGCCAGAGACATGAGAAAAGTGGCTGAGCTAAAGCTTAAAGCACAGCAAAGTAAGTCTGTGTTTTAATTTATATTCTTTGTTTAGCCTAGACTAGTACATTGCCACATACTGAGAAATATTGACAGCCACGATGGTAAAATGGACATAAAATGTTGTGGCTCCCAAGGTGGTTTGATTTTTATTGAAAGGACAAAATGGCTCTTCTTAACATTTGGGTTGCCTTCTCCTGGCCAAAACTAATAGACCATTCTCACACTTCCATGTTTGTTAATGCAGAAGCATAATTAGTAGCATTAAATGGGATTAAACGGGATTCTGCCGGGAATCATTGCTGCGGACTATTGTACTCCTCTGCATTTCCAAATGCAACTGTAATTCAACTGAAAAGCTTTACCTGTGAGTTCACTCAATCAAGTTTAATAGTGTTAAACTTTAGGCAAAACTTGATTTGTCACTTCTCACAATGTAATTGATCAAAAAGGACATAAAAATTATTAACTGTTAATGAGTTAATGTTGTGTAGCACTTTATTTTATAGTGTACTAAGCAACTAGCTTTTAATAGGTAAATTTGTGTTAATTACCAGTATTCTCTGATAGTTTCCATGCATATATGAATTTACATAAATTCTATGTATATGAAAGTCTTAGGTATGCATAAAAGTACTTGCTCAGAATTAAATGTTAAATATGTAATGTTTATAAGGAATATTATGCATAATTTGCCAGTACAGTATCAGATAATACAGTTGGATGTTTCAAGTTTATCTATGTACATATTAATCATACACTAACTACTAATTCTCTTATCATATGCAGAAATAAACCAGACATACTACCAGGGACATACTGGAGTAAATCTGTACTTAGTATTTACACAGCAACTATTTATTTTCATGTGTTTGTGGGATGCAGAGCAAAAGCCTACATAGTGTATATATATGGAATGTTTTTTATGGATTATGGAAATTATATATATATATATATATATATATATATATATATATATATATATATATATATATATAATTTCCATAATCCATAAAAAACATTCCATAAAGGTACTTACTGCGTTCTCAGTCGCAGGTACTCTGCAGTTTTTACACTATTATCATCTGTACCTATAATCTACTCATCTCTATCACAAAATCATGACACAGACATGTACCTCCTGAAGTAATTTGGTAGTACTTGGCATTACCATGCAATTTTTCATGATTAAAAACTGAAATATACCTCATATTTCTCACATTTGTTACTTTTTACCTATGGAACCAACTTGCAAATTGTAAATGCTATATTTTTATCATTAAATTCTGCTGTACATATGTGGCACATACTATGTATGTTCAAAGTGTGTACTGGAAAATGACTTTTACCTACTAAATACTTAGCAATTAAACACTATTGGCTGTGTTGGTGCAGTTTGCATTTGGACCACAGAATTCAGGAATCTCAGTACATTCATCCACATCTGGATTAAATGAAGTAACAAAACAAAGAGACTTTTAAACATTTTGTATTAAACCATATTTACTCCATTCCATAATCCAGAGAGTCCCACTCAAATAGTCCTTTATATGTAATACACTTGATCATTTTACTTCACCTTAATGCACTGGATCAGAATCAGTGTGAAATCACTGGATGCTGTACTAATTTGTCATTTTTCAGAACTCATTTTCTAAATCAAGCTGTAGGTCAAAGGAAATCCAAATATTCTCACACTAAAGGAAACTGTCACATGGATTTCGTATAGAAGTCTTATTAGTCAAATGTTTCAGGACAAGAACTTATTGAAATGTTTAAGAACAGACAGCAGTTTACTTACAGGAATTTGAAAGCATTGTATGATTATGAAAGCATTTTGAGCAACAACTGCAATATTTCATATTATAAAATTGTATAATATGAAATTATACTTCAATTTCTTCTAATTTGTCACATTTAAATGTTTCAGACCATCCAACTAGTTTTAATATAAGATAACAGCAAACACAAAATGCAGTTAACTTAATACCTGGTTGTGCCACTCTTGGCAGTAACAACTGCAAACATTAATGATAATCTGCAGTGAGTCTTTTATATCACTGTGGAGAAATCTGGCCCACTCTTATTTGCTTTAACTCGGCTTCTATGGAGGGTTCTGGAGCATAGACTGCTGTTTAAGTTCTTACCGCTGCATATTAATGTGATTCAAATCACGACTTTGACTCAGCCACTACTAAACTGTAATTTCCTCTTTTTGAGCCATTCAGAGCTGGACTTGCTTGTAAGCTTTGGATCACTGTCCTGCTGTATAATCTAGCTGGGCTTGAGCTCTAGGTCACAAACTAATATTCTCAATTATCATTATGACAAAAATGACAACAAATGATGTACTACTCTGAACCTCTACAATGCTGATTTTTTTTTCTGTAAGTAATTTAAAGTTAAAATAAGAATTCCAGAGAATTCTCTGGAAACCTACTTGGAGTGGAGGTCAGTTCAGTGGTGGTGTTGGCCATTTCTATGCTGGGGCTCCACATGATGATGCTCCCATCTGAAAAGAAGTAAAAAAAACTAACATTGAAACAGTAATCTTTACCCCATTTAAATTTAAATTTCTCTTATGTGATAAAATTTCTACAATTTCTTCATAACAGTATTTTTTTTCATTTTCATTTTGATATTTTCCAGTTGTTTACTCAAAAATTCTCTGTAACACTTTGGTAATATTATTGGCCACTGACTGCTGAAGCATACAGAGCCTATCCTCTGTGAATAACTCACTGAAGAATTCCAGCTTGCCTATGGAAGCAACACCAGCAAAAGGACGGCATGTTAGAAGCTTCATGAAATGGGTTTCCATTCGCACATTGAATAGCCTACCCTAGCTGCACCTGTTGTTTTTTTTTAAGTTTTGATGATTTATTATGAAAGTTTGATTGGCAGCAACAGGTTATTGCAAAATCTGCAATAAGAATTAGGGACAGAAGTAAACCAGTGCTGACTGCAGACCATCCTAGGAGTCTGCCTCAGTGCCCAGCTTAAGTCTGTTGCTTGATTTCACCAGCCAACCTTTTCAAGCCAACTGAAGAGCTGCCTTCCTGACCAGAGGCCAACTTGCCCACTCAAGGTTCCGTCAGATGTGATGCTCCCAAGATCACTTCTTCAGCTGCCTAGCCCCTTTCACCCATGGACCCCTCTCTAGCCCATGCACATGGGCCACGGCTCCTTTTCAACTTCAGGCTTCAAGGTCACACTCTCACTTCTTCGACTATATGGTTCAGTCTTGCTGTGTTACTCTGCCCCGCCCCTTTTATCTAAACTTAATCTGTTGTTACGCTAGCATTAATGTTCTGTTCTGTGTACTGCTCAAACGCCATAACAATTTCTGAATCTCAGATAATTACAGTATGTTCATCCAGTGAATCCCATGTCTCTAGTTTTCTCTGCATACCCATTAATCTAACATGAGTACCTATATATCCTTGTATCAATAATTTATTTTTATTAAAGCCATCACTTGTGTTTAGTCACCACAATTTGATCAATAGATCACTGTTCACAGGAAAACCCTAACCTCAGATTAATCTAAGTAGCTATGTTTTAGTGTAAGTGGCCCGCTACAATTCCTAATGTTGAAACAGTGTAAAGTTTAGTGGACATATGTTAAAAGTGGGCACTAAACAATCATTCCACATATTGAGCACATTTGGAAATTCATCACATTACAAAACAACCATTTCCAAGTAGTCCATAAACAGCAGATTTCGCTTCACTGTCTGTCATCCGATGCACAAATCAAAGATCAATTCATTTTACTGCAGCATGTAAAAGTCATTTTGAATCAAAGTTACCAAATCATTTCATAATGTTTGTAATTTACACCCCATCTATTGAACCGTGAGTTAAATGCAACACATTATGAAATGACTATTATCAAAACATAGACCGATATAACAGCACAGTTTAAAGTCTGTCATACTATGAACATCAAGATGAGGGCCATTTAATGCAGTATTTTAAAGTAACTGGCAGCAATGCTGAGTCAATGTCAACACACCATAAAATAACCATTACCAATACATAGTGATTTAAAGTCGGTCAAACTGTTAGTACAGAGGTCACTAATAGGCGGACCGCGGTCCGAGTCTGGACTCAGATGCTGTCCTAGGCAGACCTGGACCTATAGCTGATAAACAATGGAGAATTATTTAATTTTGACTGGGTGGTCATATTTTAATCAGCATAGCTTTTCTAGCCTTTACGGTAACTTTGGCAGCCTGGGAGACTCACAGACCAATCGCACGCATTGTAAAAATCACACGTGACACTACTCAGCCAATCAGATATGTGCATTACGTTGAGCACTAAGACTCGAGTGAGTGGTGCACACACAGGGGAGGGACGAGAAGAGAAATAGCAGTTGGAGAAGAAAGTGAGCCAGATTATTTCACATGGCATGATTTAAACAGAGAAAACTGAAAATAAATATTGTTGAAATATTACTGAATTGTACTTTATTTGATTCAACTTTCAGTTGCTGACTACCCTTGTTGATATAACTACTACTTCAGTAAACAGTATATGGCCCTGAATCATAATGCAAGTTAGACGTTATGATGTTCTGATGTTCTGGACCTTTGCTTGAGGAAATTTTCTTTGACTGGACCTTACTGAATTTTAATTACAGATCTCTGTATTAGTATTTCAAAGACAGAGACCATTTACTGCACCATTTTGAAATAACAGGCATCCAAATTTACCAAATTACTTCATTGTCTTAGTGTTTTGCACTCCATATGACTGGCTCATGAGTCAAATTCAACACATCATAAAATACCCATAAAACCACCAAAAGAACAGCATCGTGTGGTTTTAAGTCTGTCATAGTAATAGTATATTAAAGATGAAGTCTATTTACAGCAGCATGTTTAAGTAATTCATAGCCATAGTTACCAAATCAGTTCATTTGTACCCTATCCAGTTGAGTCATGAGTTATATGTAAACCATTATAATCTGACCATTACCAACCAGCACACCAAACAAGCAATAGATTTTCATTTAAAGCCTGTTACGCTATGCACAGACCTATGATGAAGTCCTATTACTGCAGCATTACATGGCAACCCAAGTTAATAAAAGAGTTCATTATACTAATACTTTGCATTCCAATCAGTTAATCAGCATTAAATTTCAGATGTATTTATGGAACTTTACTGTCATGTACACAATTGAAAAAGATGCTATAGGGCCTCTTCTAGACATAAATGACCTTGGCAGCTGACTTGTGTGACATCGAGTGAGGGGAGCCATTCTACTGAGTTTCAGAGGTGCTGCTGGACAGTATTAACTTTGCTAAAGTTACTAAATATGATACTGAAAAATAGTTTTTGTCACTTCAGCCCTGAAAATTTCCTGAATGAGCGCTTAATGACTTATTTCTTTTACTAAATTCAGCAGACATGTATATGCTCACATTGCAGTCTAAGGATGTCAGTTCACCTTCACAAGCTAATCACAACAAACGATGTACTACTCTGAACCTCTACTGTGCTGATTTGGTCTGTAAGTTATTTAAAGGTTAAAATGAGAATTCCAGAGAATCCACTGGAAACCTACTTGGAGTGGAGGTCAGTTCAGTGCTAGTGGTGGCCATTGTTACAGTGGGGATCAACGTGAAGGTGCTCCCATCTGAAAAGAAGAAAAAAAAATATTGAAACAATAACCTTTACCTCATTAAAATGTAAATTTCTTGTGTGTCATAAAATTTCTACAACAGTATTTTTTTTTTTAATTTTCATTTTTATATTTTCCAGATGTTTACTGGAATGTTCTCTGTAATACTTTGGTAATATTGTTGGCCACTGAGTGCTGAAGCATACAGAGCCTATCCTCTGTTGAATAACTCACTAAAGAATTCCAACTTGCCTCTGGAAGCAACATCAGCAAAAGAACTGCATGTTAGGAGCTTCTTGAAATGGGTTTCCATGGCCGAGCAGCCACACACAAGCCTAAGATCAACATACAACTGCCAAGCGTCGAGGGGAGTGGTGTAAGGCATGGTGCCAGTGGACTGATCAGTGGGACTGATTTATACATTGAATCTAGTTTACCAAGCAATGATGAGGTGCACATTTGAGATGTTTCAGAAGATATTTCTTTAGCTTAGTGAGATAAAGCTGCTCAAAAAACACTAAAAGCAAGTTGCTTGCTTAAATGTCAAGAAGCATGAGTTCACTTGACACTTGCTCCTGAAGGATGATGTCCTCTGTTCAAGACTACAGAATGTACCCATTAAAGCCTAGACATTTTTGAAAGGGTTAATGCAAGATTTCACGCAAACTGCCCCACAAAACATTTTGTGTGATTGATTTTTGTCCATTATGTTAATTTTTATCTGTGTTGTTTTTTAATTCTGTAAACAATTTTGTATTGCTTGACACTAGAAAATGTTTTCTCCATTTGATGGTCTGGTTGTGGGCTTTAATTGTTTTATTGACTGGATTCATCATTTAATATCCTTGAATATTTGTGTTCTGCTGTGTATCAGTTTGAGAGTAAAATTCACTTTTCTAAATTTAAATTCTATGTGTGATTTTTTTCAGTGTATTCTTCTGTAAACTGCTACTACTGGCCAACAAACTCATTTGACTATAGTTATCCTGTTTATTTTACTTAATTCGTTATTTTCCTTTACACACACACACACACACACACACACATATATATATATATATATATATATATATATATATATATATAACACATCTTCTTCATTCTCAATTGGAGAATTATTTACTTTAACTCTTTAGCAAACCTCTTCAGTAAGTAGGTAGTAGGTGGGAACTAAATGGCTTTAGATTTTACTTACTTGAATCTGCAGCACTGCTGTTTGTGAAAGTAGTTAGTAGGACCACAGTGACCCCTGTTGGAAAGATAAGAAAATGGTGAATGCTCCCACATGCAGCTGTTTACTGGATATTCACAGTAAAAAATTGTGCCAGAATTCAGGTACAGGGCTGTTTTAGATTGAAAACTAGATAATTGTATCATGATGGCATGAAGAGGTAGGTTTGTGAAGAGGTAATTTCATGTAATGAGGATCAGTTGTGACGCCAGGAAGAGAGAGACTGATGGTTTTACAAAGGAGCAGATCCAGTACGGCTGGGTTGCATGTAGCTGGGGACAGGATTGAGTTTGCTGGGGCTTACAGATCTTTTGTTGACCCAGAGTGGTGTGAGACAGTGTGGATCTGGTTTGAATTCAATTTAACAGTGAACTGTTTTTGTAGAGGCCAGTTTGGTGGCAAAAAAAAAGACTTGACTTGTGAGACAGCAGACTCTAGGACTGTATAGAGGGACTTGATGGCCAGCCAGTGAGGGAAGTCTGTTTTTTTTCTTTCTTTTTAATTTCAAGCTTTATGTAGCCTATGTGCGTATGCAGTTCTGGAGTGGGTAATCCTCAAGTTCTAAGGTTTGCTGATTGTAACTCATACAGTGAAGAGAGATGCCTACAGGCCTGTCTCACAGTGGCTAATGTTCATGTTCATGAGTCCATCATCAGGAGAACACTGAACTATAATGGTGTGCATGGCAGGATTGCAAGGGTTGCAAGCCACTGTTCTCCAAAAAGAACATTGCTGCCCATCTGCAGTTTGCTAAAGATCACACAGACAAGCGCAGAAACAAATGGAGTCCAGCTGCTAAAGCTAACAGGCCAGTGTCACATCTTAAGCAGGCCTATGGGCAGCCATGCCTCCCGTGCCCTCCACGGCCAGTAGCCTTGCCAGCGATCCCACAAAGTCCAAGCAAAGCCTGAGCAAAGTCAGAATCTCTGGGGCAGCCACCTATACCAAGCCTAGAGGTTCACATTCTTCTGCCAACAAAAGCACTTACTGTTTGAACACTTTCTTCAACAAATTGATGAAAAACTATATAACTGTTTGTGATCTGATAATATTTTAGGTCACATTTGTGTAGAAATTCACAAAATGATAAAGGGTTCGCAAACTTGAAAGCAGCACTGTAAATAAAAGGAGAAGAATCTGAAAATGTACTGGTCTGAACAAAAGTTCATGATATGCACATAATGCACAAAAGCTTATTTGTTACATATTGTTCTGATACAACTTTTCCAAAACCACTGCATCATATCCATCATCACTTTGAATCTAATCTGAATTGATTATCGTCTAATATCCTAATTTTCTAAATGTATTGTTCTTATTATAAACATATATCTACCTGAACACATTCTGTTACTGTTACTATACTACAACAATCAGAATGGTGACTGTGACTACTTTTAAGAAGGGAACACATTCTTATTGGCCAAATACGTTAACCATAACCATAGCTAATCAACACAGTGTATGCCATGCTATAATCTATATGCAGACATTTACATGCCATTTTTTCCCATATAGATTTATTATACCAAAAGCAATGTTTCACTCAAATGAAGACTGATTTGATCTTATAAGGTTCTGAGTTGCTTTTAAACCTCAATTTTCTGCTTAATAATAAAAAAATAATAATAAAAAAATCTCCCTCCTCGATTCCTGGGTTGGTATGTAGTAGGACAACACTCTGTAATCATTTTGGCTACCAGATTCATTTAGACTCTATTCCTGATATCTCTAATGATCATTACATTACAATTTCATTCAGTAATGAACACACACCGAAATGAGCTGAAGAGCATCATCAATTTAAAATCGCACAATCGTATTCTTGCTTTGATTTCTCCATTGCGACTCTTGCTAATGACAGTGAGAGAAAATAATAACTAACCTTAACAATAGCAAGACATTACACCAGCCTTTGTTCCACAGATAACATTACAGCGCACCACCTCTACTAATAAATATGGCTTAAAGAAGGAAAAACAGGAGATGAATAAATTCTTATTATTAGAGCTGTAAACTTATGAACAAATATCAGTTCATTTTAATGCAAAAAGATCACTGAATAAAACTTTGCAGCAACATTCATAAGTAGATTCTTCCCCAAATATCTAAAACACTTTTTTATACTTTTACTGTCCTATTAGGCTATAAATAAAGTACTCACATCTTAAAAATCCTGTTGTTTTTGTCTTCATTTTAATAATCATCTGTGGAGATGTCCTTGTCTGCAGACCAACAGGTAGAAACGCACCTTGTAGTTTGCACAGGATGTGAAATCTTTTTCGTTTCTTAAGCGGTAAAAGTTTACATATCTATCCACATGTCCATAAACAAATGACATGGTTTAGAAGATGTTTTCATTACCTGCTAGCGTGGTGTGACATCAAAACAAAAGACTGTGTTCTGTTTTCTTCTAGGTCTTTTCCATGTAATTTGTGTAGGACAAATGTGTTGTCCATGAATTATATGGAAATAATTTCCATATAACCTTCAATACATTCATTTCCATATTTCCACATGAGTCTCAGTAGTCCACATTTTCAAATAATTTCTAATCTAAAAAAAGGGAATCCCAAACTGGATGAAACGTCATGCTGACAACAAAATTATTCTACAATAATAAGCACCAATGTTTGGGTAAAGACATTGGGCCAGTTAAATACAGCAAGCTGCAAGTTTGGAACCACTTTCAATTCAAGTTTAATTTAGCTCATTTTTGAGTTAAAGGTTTTTGTACTATTTAATTATGAATAGTGATATGCATTTAATATTGAGAGATTGTGATATATGAGCATCTATAACAAGTCACCAACCATGTTCTTTTAACCATTAGTTAGAAAAATAGGGTAACACTTTATACTGTGTTCATTAATCCTTAGTTATTATTTAGTTATTGATTAGTAAATAGTAATTCAATACTCTATTAACTGAGAGTTTGACTTAACTTATTAATTCATAGCTGAGTATAACACTGATAATAACCTGAAAAGTGTGTTACTCATATAAAGAAGTAACAGAAGAAATAACTAGTAAGTTAGCCAGTTAGTGCCATTTATTATCGTTTAAATAACCTAATGATTTATCATTACAATTTCCATCAGTTTCCATCATACTATTATCTTATTATCTTAAATTTTAAGGTGCCAAGAGGGTGTTTTTAGGGCGATACCATGGAAACCCACTCTTGGATCCCTAAACAACCTGTCGATTACTACTTGGTTTATAGTGTAGAATCATTTAAAATAAATATTATTGGTGTTGTATGTATATTTTCCTCTTTATTTGAGAGGACACAAAAAACAAGCAGAGAGAGAGATTATGATATCAGTAACTAATCAGGCCTTAATTATGAGTTTGTAGTTTAAATAGTGGAAAATTATCATTTTACCTGGAGGGACACAAAGTATTTATTGTAATTAATTACAGTAAACCAGTAGATTATTCAACAGATAAAAAGTAAATAAGTATTTACTCAGTAACTAATGCTTAATGAGCAGTTAAGTCATATAGAAATATTCATTATTTCATTATTAGTTAGTTTGTAAAGTCTTACCTGAAAAAGAAAAACTGATAAACATATCATAAAAAGTAACTGATACCATAAGTTTGATAGAGGCCAAATGTATAACTCAATATATATAACACAAACATTATGTCATGCTATCTTTTCAATACTATGGATTTGCCTTGTGTATGTCTGTCAGTGGTGTTTTGATCTCTGCCTGCTGTGATGACTACGTACTGGATTTCTCTTAATAAAGCTTCTTTGTGCTTGTATTTTTATGTAACACTAGATAAACTCAGGGTTTCCCTCACATACACTCTAAACAGATATAGATACCAAAACAGATACCAAAAAACAGATACCATAGGACCATGCTAAAAGGCTGAATAAAATACTATTTTTTTTTCTGTATAGTACAAAATAGTTATTTGACGAAACATAGTGGAACCAATATATGATAGTATGCTACTTCCTGCTTTGGACAATCTATATATTCTCAGTAGTGTGTACTGCATTTGTTTTTGTGTTTATTGTAAGTCTCTTGTATTTATTGCACTGTATTGTCTGCACTGTGTAT